GAATTCTAACTTCAACCAATTCGTAATTTAGTGCGACCACCAACCAATGTCATCGGTTGCCTTGTAACCGGAAGGTCCTGGGTTCGAAACCTGGCCGTGGGTAAGTACTGCCAATGATTCTCAAACTAGGACAGAGGAAACAGCTGTTCAGTACTCCCTGGTTTTCAATGGTTCTCTAACTGACATCAATCCGTGATCAAACTCGTAAAAATATGCATATATATTTAAGAAATACATTAGATTATTTGACTCATGAAATGGTCAACTTCATTTTTGTTGGAAAATGATTCAAAGATGTAGAAAATATAGAATGTGAATACGTTTCTTTCATTGGCCTATTTTTTACATTATAGAAAATGCTATTCTGAATGAAGTATCGCGAAATACACTAATTGATTCATAAGGAAAAACACAGTTTTTTTGTTCTACGAAGAAATATCTCTTTTCAACGACTTCATTTTCAAGCTGTACAATCGTATTTATATTACGGAAAAAGAAGGCATTAAGTGGCACTAGAAATTGCTCAGTCAATATTGCACATATGACAAGAATAAAGATAATTAAAATGATGTACTAAGGTGGGTAGAATTGAAGTGGATGAATTACAAAACTTTTAAAGATTATTAAATAAGTGAATTGGTATTAAGATTTTTTTTAAATTGTAAGTTAAGCATTGTCTAAAAAATTAAGAGTACGATGACGATAACAGTAAAGACATCGAGGGTGAAGTGAAGTGGAATGAATTCAAGTGGGAAAATAGAATAAAATAAAAGAACATTACTATGACCAAGGTAAAGAAAGGGGTTTAAGAAAACGTTTTTGAACACATAATTTAGGTTTCTATCCATGTATAGCTAGAGCTTCGGCTATGCATAAGTGAAGAAAACGTAAGCTTTTGGAGTGGTTGGATTAGGTTCTGTATTTAACTTTAATGGATAAATCACGTGGGGCTGAATGACCTGACTCCAGATGTTCACAAATTGAAGACTTTGTCGTCCTTTGCTCACTTTTCATTAACCAAACCGGGTAATGTTCAGCTACGCGTTTACGCAGAACATGCTTACAACGTGCAATGTAATCAGCTCCACACAAGCATGTGAATGGATACATACATATAGAGGTGGACATAAGTGGTAGATTATCCTTAACGCATTGTGGAATCATATTTCGGCTGGTAAATACTAAATGTAAGTCAGCTGCATAAAAACACCGTTTAATACATTTAGATAAACGACTTTTAATAACTTCAGCAATATTGTCACCTTTGAAAGCCAAACTCATAAACAGTGTCTTCTTTGGCAGTGTGATTTGGCTGGAGACAGTTACTTCCTTGATGTTTTTGTCGATAAACCTTCTAAGATATCCATTATTTAAGCGAGTTGTGCGAAGGTTTTCTAGTTCTATGTCGGCCTTACCTATAGAGCAAATTTTCCGAATACATCATTTTAATTATCTTTATTTTCGTCATATGTGCAATATTGACTGAGCAATTTCTATTTCCATTTAGCACCTTTCTTCGTAATAAAAATACGATTGTAAAGCTTGAAAATGAAGTCGCTGAAAAGAAATATTTCTTCGTTGGACAAAAACTGTATTTTTCCTTATGTATTCTGAAGTGCGCAGTTGTTCAACTCTTTCCTGTCGTTATATCATTATTATTGTTTCCTTGGGTTCCTAGTGGAACATAGGGCTTCAACTGCACGTCTCCACTTGCTTCTGTCTTCTGCTGTACTTTTCACCTGCATCCATGTTAGTCCATACTGTTTCAACTCCTCTTCACACGATCTCCTCCATGTCACCCTAGCACTGACGTCCCACTCGCCGCTTCCCTTTCGGGTTCCACTGGAGCTATGGCCTGGCGCGCGATGTCACCCGGCGGTCTCCTCAGCGAGTGTCTAACCCATCTCCACTTTCTCCTGCATATTTGTTGGGCGATTGGTTCTTGTTTTGTTTGTTCCCATAGTTTTTTGTTGGTGATTCTTTCGTGTCGTTACTCTTGCTTAATTAATTGTCTCTTATATCTTCTTCCTATCATTATAATAATTATTATTAATGTTATTATCACCGGCGGTTCATTGATAGAAGGCTCGCCAACCAAGCGGGAATTCCGAGTTCGACTGCCAGCCGACATAAAATCACCCAGTAGAAAAAACTGCAACACTGCTATGAAAACATTAAAAGCTTGAAGCCTCAAGGAATGAGAAAAAATATTATTATTGTTTTAGCCACTCACTTCGTGTTTATAATCCGAAAATCTTCTTAGCCTTTTGAATTATTGACCAAAAAGGAATCTAAATCTAAGTGCTGAGTGGTGAATTAAAAAGGTAGCATTATTGATAACCCAAAACCGTTTTTATTTTTGGTAATATTTCCAGCAAAATTACTGCCCGTGATTACACCAACTGTTGGAATTTTTTGTTTTTTTTAATTCCTCAATGCTCAAACTTTTTACTAACATTAATTGGTAAAAATATTAGTTATGTCATGAAAATTTAAAATAAAATTGAAATTGTGTTGGATGCTTGTTGATTAGAAGTAAATTTCAAATATTTACTGTCTCAGTATTCAATGTGCTTAAAATTTATTGATTACACTTTCGCAGCGATTTTGATCTTTTGTTTCATTTCTTGAGTTCCTAATGGAACATATAACTTCAAGCATTTTTGAAATTCCAGTAGCAGTGGTTTCGTTTTAATGGAGTGAAATTACCAGCCTCATGCCTAACCGACCCTCTATTCGGGGCTTAAAGGTGTGCGTCAGCCTAGAATCGAAACCAGACCATCTGCACAAGAACAGGCTACGAATTCTATTAAAGTCTAATTTGATTACAACAATATAAACCTGTCTACTTCTACTACGACTCAAGTAAACACTTTGTTAGAAGAGTGTTGAACTCCACCGTGTATTCGATTTTTGCTTGCTAGCTTCCTTCATTTTTATGTTTATCTTTTTTCAAAATGCTTTGAAAATTTTCTAGGATTTATAAAGTTGTTACACTGAAATGTGTGGCGTGTGCTACTGATAAGATTTATCAGTAGTATATAAGGAGACATTCATCAACACAAAAATATCAAATAGCAGGGTGATATACTTGAAGTCAAAGACAGAAAATAAACCAGTGTTGTGATAAGACATAGGAGACAAGAAAAGAAGACAGAGAAGCACATTTCGAAGGCCAGAAGTAGCACTACATGGAAGATCTGTGCAAATGATGATGTGTGCATAAATTCCCAATATAGAGATGTCAAGTTCCGAATAAACACTCTGTTACCAAGTCTCTTGTCATCTACCGTTACAAATGTATATCACTTTCACCAAGAGTTTTTTGAAGTGAGTCGTCGTTACACAAGCTCCTGCTTAGGCTAAGAATGGGATGAACTTTATACTTCATTGTAAATTCCGACTTATTGATGATGAATGAGAATTGTTATCGTATGATCAGATTTCAGAATTAAGTTTTGTTAACACAGTTTTAGTGTTTTTGAAAGCAGCAAAACGAAATAAAGCTTCAATTTTCAAGGAAATGGAGATGGATTGAACGTACATATGCTGAGGAGACCGCTGAGTGACAACACAAGTTAGTCCATCGAGGAGAATCCGGATGAAAAACGGCGAGTCGGGCACCGCTTCGAGTGTGAAATCGATGAGATAGTGTAAGAACAAAATGAAAGACCATGGAAAATCGTGGAGCCAACTATTAATGACTACAGAGAACAGAGGGAAGTGGTGGTGTGATTCTAAAGCCCTATGTTCAACTGTGACCCCAAGGGAACAGTAATAGTGTAAAGACAGAAGACAAGGGCCAGGCAACAGATCCTTTATTGAGCAGAGAGGTAACGTCTTCTGATTTGTTGTTTTCCTATTACAGGTTATTCTGTCATTTCTTCGTTGCCGTTTCTTAGACAGTCCGTTGATATATCTGCGGGTCAAATCCGCTCACGCTAAGTCTGCTGTCGACATGAAGAACCTAAAAGACCTGGATTTCGCGGATGATTTATGTTTGATGTCACACAAAATCGAAGACTTACAAGCGAAAACTGACAAACTGGTCGAAGAAGCAGCTGGTGAAGACAGGACTCCAGGTGAACATAGACAAGACGGAGGTCATGAAAATAACCAACCAACAACAGCAGCAACATCCACCGCCAATCACCATCAACGGGAGGGATTTGAAGGAGGTTACTTCATTCACCTTTCTAGGGAGCATTGTCTCAACTACAGGAGGAACGCACGAGGATGTCAAATCGAGAATCAGGAATGCGAGAAACACATTCATCAACCTGAAACCAATCTGGAAATCTTCGTCACTCAACACAGCCAGCATCAACAACAAAATTCGGATTGTCAATACAAACGTCAAGTCAGTTTTGCTATACGGATCAGAAACTTAGCGGCGGGTCACAAAGAATATTTCCATCAAGTTGCAGACATTTATCAACAACTGTCTTCGCTCTATACTCAAGATCAGATGGCCGGAGAGAATCACCAACAAAAAACTATAGAAACAAACAAAACAAGAATCAATCGCCCAACAGATATGCAGGAGAAAGTGGAAATGGATTGGACACTCGCTGAGGAGGCCACTGGGTGACATCGCACGTCAGGCCAACGCTCGATTAGAACCCGAAACGGAAGTGGTGAGTGGGACGTCCAAGAGTGACATGGAGGAGATCTTGTGAACAGGAACTGAAACAGTATGGATTAGCATGGATGCAGGTGAAAAGTACAACAGAAGACAGAAGCAAGTGGAGACGTGCAGTTGAAGCCCTATGTTCCACTAGGAACCCAAGGGAACAATAATAATAATAAATAAGTCTGCTGTGATTGGTTGGTGAGTTCCTCAAGGTTAGACCAAGATTTGGGACGTAAACATTGACGTAAATTGTTGTCTACAATTTTGTCTTGCAGGCAGCTCTCACCACAATAGTATTAGTAACAGTAACGATATATATATATATATTCAGTTGTATTCATTCTATAATCTTTTTATTTACTTCTAGGTTCACCATTAAATCATATGAGAAAGAATATGATAAACAGCAATGAAGGTGAAAAGTGTGATATTGTAAATACGCTTAGAAAGCAAATATTAAATGTGAGTTTTAGTGATCATGATGATTATGGTGAAGGTGAAGATGTGACTACAAGCGATGGTCTAGGATCATTAATTTATTTACGTTATCATTTAACACGTCATCATCAACACTGTCAACATTATCATCAGCATCTTGGAAATGAGCGTCTTCAACAGAGAGACAACTTGTTGGTTGATATGAATCATCAGATATCACCGACATCAGAGACCAGCACTTATCGAAAGCATAGTTACAATTTTAGAAATGATAATGATAATTCGTCTACCTTGTCATTTAGTCATCAAAGTACTCAGAGTAATGAAGATATATCACAATTAATTACTGGCGTTGAAGTATCTAGTCATTGGGGTACTGGAACATTAACGTAAGTTATATTTTGTTTTGAAATATAAATTTTATGTATGAACTTTGCATAAAAACACTTTTAAGCTGTAATATGTATGATAAATAATAGTGATGAGAATACTTATTAAAACCTTCCTTTTATTGATTAGAGTGAAACATTAGAATAATTGATATACTACAAAAATTGAAGTACTCAAGATGAAACATATTCGACGAAAATTGAAATTTCTTAAAAGAACATTTCACTGCTCACTCACTTTAAACCACATTTCATTTACATCTGTGGTGAGACCTGTCTGCTAGCCAAAATTGTAGACAACTATTTACATCAATGTTTACGTCCATAATCCGGGTCATCAGAAAAAAACAATAACGAAGCTTAACCTTGAGGAACTCACCAACCAGTCACAGCAAACTTAACGTGTACGAATAGGATTCGCAGAAATATGGCTTAACTTTCTGAGAAATGGTCACAAGTGGTACGGAATAACCTTCAACAAGAAAAGAACAGATCAGAAGACGTTGCTTCTCTGCTAACAATAACGCTAATAATAATGTACATAAAAATCTATAAATACCTCTTGATTTTCTTAATAAAGGATCTGTTACCTGGCCCTTGTCTTCTGTCGTTACACATCGACTTGGACTACCAGATAGTACAGTTGCGTTCTATGCATAGTACGTCAGTCATATAGTTGTATATTATGGAATGCATACATAGTTGAGTTATACTACTTTTATACTGTTTTGTTTATCCATCTTCAAATTTTTCTTCATTTATTTGAGTTCAGGGTGGGACATAAGAAGCTAGGCTTGAAGCCTTGAAGTTTCTACAGCCATGTTGTTTTTACGAAGTAAGGTTGCTAGCCTCAAGTTTTATTTATTATTTAATTCCTTTTGTGTTCCGAGTGGAACATAGGGCTTCAGTCTTCAGCTTTGAAGTTTCAGTAGCAGTGGTGTTTTTTTTTTTGCTAGCCCCACGTCCAACCTCCCCTCTTTGTTGGGGTTACAACCGACTAAGTGAGGTAAAGGTATGCGCCGGCTGGGGATCGAACGCTGGACCACATGCATGGTTGGCGAGCATCCTACCGCTGAAATACCGACGCACTGCCTCACATTTAAATTTCCCTTTTTCTCGGGTTTACTATCGATAAGTAAAGTAGGCGAGATTTAGTCGTGCGTTGGTCACGAATCGAACCCTGACTGTGTGTGTAGTTGGCGAGCATCCTACTACTGAACTACGGACCTAAAAGCTGAGAAGTACCGGCCTTGTTTGGGATCTTTTTGCAGTATGCACCCATGACCCCAACAGAGACCAAACCCAGGGCCTTCAGATTACATTGAACCACTAGGACTGCGTTGCTGGTTCGAGGGTAGGATCCTCTCCAGCCACCCATGTGGTCCACGTTCGAATCCAGGCCGATACACTTCTAAACCTCTCCTGGACGACAGTAAACAGTGAAAAGGGGAAGGTTAGGTGTGAGGCTAGCAACCCTACCTCGTAAAAACAACACTACTGCTGCTGAAACCTCAAAATCTAGAAATCCTATGTCCCATGTGTAACGCAAAGAAATGAATAAAAAGATCACCATGAGATTTTTAAAGTATTTTTTATTCTTTTTTATTCTTTCAGTTCATCAAATGAAAGTCTACCGTATTCAATTTGTGAAAATGTTACATCCAGAGGTTCATGTGAACCGCTAAATCATCAATTAAAACAACATCATACTTGTACATTGAATCAAACAAATTCAAAAAATACACTATCAGATATAAAAGAAAAACAAAGTAATAATAATTCTATCAATTCAAATAATCAACTTGTTGAATTAATATATGATTCAATATTAAATTGTTATTATGATCCAAAATCGGGACGTTTTTATGAATTAATTTAAAGTAACTAGAGAACTAGGGGAGTGATAACTTGAAAACAGTCAATAATGTGATTTTTATAGGTGATATTATTACTATTAGATTTACAGTATGCTGTGAAATTTGCCGTGCTGTTTTCCTATTTAATTGTATTTTACCTCTTCTGTAAATGTATAATTGTACTCTTCAACTGAATGTAACCAGTTCACTAGTATTATTATTTGTTGATCTGATTCCATGAACTTATAGATCAAGAGACAAATAGATAGACAGATCACTTTCTGCATTTTGTGATATCATACCACCTTGTACATATTATTCATTTTTTGTCATATTCAATTTAGAAATAAATACAAAGTATGGGAAAAGAAATTTCTTCAAGTGGCTTTATTGAAGCTGTCTGTACTGTCAAGGTACTTAACCCTAAGTTCCTATTATTTACGAAGACGCTCCGAACCGATAATTACTATGACTTTCTCGACTTTAACTCCAAAACACCAGTACTGTAAGAAAGTTGTATTGTTTGGCAATTAAAGTCTAGCTAAGTACAAGTCTATAAACAAATGTTTTATACTAAATATAATGTACTTTTATTCATATTCTTTCGTCTTCTTCCAACTTGTATACGATTGAATCATTCGCGCCTTCGAGTTGCTCGCCAATGGCTACCAGTTCCAATGTTCGCGTCCATTGACAGTACAGTTATTCTTATGAATTATGTAAGAAGAGAATTAATTGCATTTTGATATAACTGTTTATAAAATATATGGAATATAAGTAGTAATCTGATTGGCAGGTGAATTTTATTGCCAAGCGAAAACTATGAAGTCATAGAGAAGAATTTTTATCCTAAGTATTAGATCACTTTAGAAGTGTATATCAACAATTAGTTTCTTAAATAAATTTGGACAGTGTTATTAGAAGACGGAGTTTGTCAGAAAATTGTCATGTATTTGTGGAATATATTTCGAACAGTTTGATTATACATTCATTTGTCAAATTAATTTATATGAAAAATGAAAGGCCAATTAAAATGAATTAAATGATGAGCTGACATCGTTTACAGAACCATTGGAAAACCCGGGAGTTCTGGACAGCTGTTTCGTCCTAGTTTGAGACTCTTCATCGGTGCGCACCCAATGGGGCTCTAACCAAGGACCCCCCGTTTACAAGGTGGGCCCGTAGACCATTAAGCCACTGGGACCTTATCCAACGGTCAGTGCATGAATTCCGACTTTCGCCATTTCACGATTAGCATGACCACTAGCCAGTGTCATTACTGGCGAGTATTTGACCTCCGTCATGGAGTCATGTGTCGATCCAACTGAGACTCTACGCATCGTCACTGAACAAAGCGTAGAACAGCAGTCAATCCTCTGCCTCATTTTCATTGAGTTTGAAAAGGCCGTCGACAGCGTTACCGCCAAGTAATTAGCAAAAACTATTTCAACATTATGGAGTGCAGTGCCCCAAATCATTATCAACCTCACTCAACAGCTGGCTATATGACAATGCCACGTGACCTACAGCGGAAAACTCAGCGAAGCCTTTGAAGTGAATACAGGAGTAAGACAAGGCTGCCTGCCTATTATCACTGACGATGATATTCCTAACTGTGGTGGACTGGATTATGCACCAGACTGTGAGGAGTGAGAAGACAGGAATATGTTGGACCGATAAGAAAACTCTAGAAGATCTGGATTTCGAGGACAATTTATACCTAATGTCACACAAACTTGAAAACTTACAGGTGAAAACCAACAAACTGGTTGAAGAAGCAGCCACCGAAGACAGGACTCCAGGTGAACATAGAGATGAAGATCACCAACAACAACCAGTACCAATCATCATCAACAGAAGAGATTCGACAGAGGTTACTTCCTTCACTTATCTAGCTCGGAAGCGTGGTTGCAACCAATGCAGGGGGACAGGTGCAGATGTCAAAGTCAGCTAGTCAGAATCAGAAAACCAAGATGCGCCTTCATTAACCTGAACATAAACTAGCCGTCAAAAGACATGACATCCACTCCCTTATATCACTACATACAGACAACCACGGACATCAATTCGACGAGTATGTTTCGATGTCTACTATTTAGTATGCAAAAGATGATACTTTGCTTTCCTTCAAAATTTTACGTAAACAGATGGGAGATTTATGTAGCTAACTAATAAATCCACAGATTTTCACTTTACTCACTATCATGTAAAGTATCAATTAAGCTGGAATAAACGATACCAGTTATTGGTGTCGGCAATTTAATGGCAGAATGCTGGCTAGCCATGCACATGGTCTGGTTTCGATTCCTGGCCGACACACTGCCTAACCTCACCTAGTTTACATCCAGTAAGTCATAAGCCCGGGAAAAGAGGAGAGGTTGGGCGGGAGCCTAGCTACCCCCCCCCATAAAAAATAACACCACCACTACTAAAACTTCAAACCTCAGTGCTCGAGGCCTCGTGTTCCACACGCAATGCAAAGGAGTGGTAAAAGATAGGGAATAAGTGTTGAAAGACACCGATAGAAGTACTCATTATCAGTGACAATATATCATCCTGACAAGCTTCCTGTTTAAAGTGTCCAAATTTACTTAAATACAGTATTTTCCCTCACAAATGGTTTAATGTTTATTTAAAATGTATTTTATGTGTGAAAAATTATGCACACCAGTTTTCAAAATATAAACACCTTAATGTAATTGATTTTATATACTTGATGAGATCGAGAAACCCTAGGAAGAAGACATGGCTTTAGTTTACCAGATTGATATCGATCTAATGAGCTGAAGACCGAAGTTGATGCGAAAACCTAAGTGCCTGAAAAATCCGATTTCTGGTTTAACGATCTGCCATGAGTTTCATCAAGTGGAACACACAAAACTTCAAACCTTTGAAGTTTCAGTAGCCGTAGTGTTGCTAAGCTCACATCCAAATTTCTCCCCCTTCCGCGAAATCTAAGAGTCAGTCGGCTGAGAATCGAACCTGAACCTCGTGTGTGGATGATTGTAAGCATTCTACTATTGAACCACCGATGCAAACAACTTGGCTCTAGACCTCGCTGACACTCGAGTCCTAGTCTCCGGATTCAGAGTGTTAACCGCCACACTACAAGGCCTACTACTACTACTATGGTGAGAGCTGGCTGCTAGCCAAAGTTGGTAGACAGTAATTCACGTCAATGTTTATGTCCCCAATATTGGTGGTGAGAAAATGAGAACAAAGGCTTTGCGTAGGCGGATACAGTCAGCATATGGATGATCTGACACAGCCACAAAGAGATGCAAGGTTAACTTTCTGTGAGAAACAACCAATCAAAAGACTATATTTTCTACTAACAATAATCTACAATAATGTACATTAAAATCTATAAATATGTGTTGATTTTCCTTAATAAACGATCTGTTGCCTGGCCCTTGTCTTCTGTTGTTACACTACTACTTAGACTGCCTCAAAGCTCTGACTTCACGTCAAACATCAAAGATTTCGTCAAGATACCATAACGACTGATATACTCCTACTTATCCATTCATCGTTATGACAGTTAGACGAACTAACGAATCAACTCTGTTTATCCTTCTAACTTTACCAATAATTTGACAAACACAAAAGAGTATAATGCTGGTAAAATAAAAAAGTGTATATTATTTTTTTTTTGGTTAAATTTTCAATGGAAAAAATGAAAACAATCCGGTTTTGAATACTGTCAAAGATAGATTTCTTTATTTTTTTTTAAAAAAACAAAACAACAACAGATGGTGAACGAAGCCCTTCAAAAATAACAAATCAAAATATGCAGCAATGCATAACAATATATAATACACACTGTATGTAGACAACGAGAGAAAAAAAAGCACACACCTAGGAGAAGAAAACTTGACACAAGAAGAAAGGCAAGATACAGAAAGAGAGAGAGAGCAATGAAAAGTGTAAGTAAGGAAAGCAAAACAGAAAGAAAGATGACAAGGATCAATCAAGTCGACTGTTAAATAAACTGGATATTCTGACATTCACCTGGTTGGCTGGTTGGTTGTTGGTAGGTGGTTAATAATATTTTGTAAACGAGAACACTGATGGATAAAAGTTAAAGATTCAACACCAAAGAGTAGTAGAGGCAAGAAAACAGACTTATTTCTACTTATAAAAAAAAAGGCTGATAATAAATACTAGAATATTTGTACAAAAACAAGAACAAAACACAGTTTATATTTCGTAATAAAATGAAAGAATTTAACAGCATCCCTCAATGCAGATCATAAAATGAAAACACCATGATCATTGAATGAGTGAACGAACGAACGAACCACTAGGTAGGAAGGCTTAACACATTAAGGATTAAGGCGTTCAACAATCGTCAATGGAAGATAGGATATTTCAGAATAATTAATACACAATTTTTAAAAAAAATCACTGAGAAGTATATTTGAACTATGAAAGAGGTGAAGTGAATCCTCCGTCTTCTCATAACACCATATTATAGTAATAACTACAGATAGAACAGCACCAATCGAGCGAAAGAGTAAGCTTACACACATGCGTATAAATCGTGCGTATAGTCCTACACCAAATTACTTTGTAAAGATAATATTAAAAAAATACATATATATATAATTCATAAAAATTGGAAGATTATAAACTGGCAAGATACTACTAATATTACTACTACTACTACTACTACCAATAATACTAGTAAGATGGGAATTACAAAACACGTTTATGTATGTATGCCGGCGTCAAAGATACCCTCCACAGTCGCCCCACATTATTTGTATATTTATATTTATCATGAAACTGATTGATATCAAAGCCTCTACTTTTCATATCAAGAGAGGTAGTATAACGAAAATGAAAAAAACATCCTATCCTATCATGCAATTCATTCAATCAATCCATTGTCATCACAAAAGAGATTTGGCTGTGTTCCCTTTAACAATTATTCCCATATTTTCTCAAAAAAAGCCTGGAAAACATGTTCAAATGGGAATAAAATACACAGAACTGGAGAACAATTGAGAAATAAAGATAAATCATGAAAATGGAGGTTGAGTGTATTTGTGTGTGTGTGTATGTATGTGTACACACATATTACGAAAGGCGCGATTTATACCCTTACAGGTTTTACATCCATTGAAATAGCTGAATTAAACGTACATATATATATATATGTATATATAATACTAATATATTATATAAGAAATAAGAAAAAGTCCATTAATGGAGTTATAACGCAAAGGTTTCTTGTTAATCTTGCTAGAAAATATAACCAATGTTCTGTTTATACATATATTTATATGTGTGTGTATTATAAAAAACGGTGCGATAAAAAGGCGAATCTCTCGACTCCCTTTTCCCACCGCCTTCTCTACCATCACTTTCTTTGTTTCTTTCATGACAACGCATAGATAGGAGACTCTGAGTTAAGTGTTAAGTGTGTAATTTTCATCTACAAAAAGAAGTAGTAGTAAACAGTTTTCTTGAATTGCCTAATTTCAATTGTTTGTTGTTGAATGCGCATGCGAGGATCGATATTGATCTTGATGAATATGTTTCAGTTGAGCATGTAAACTCTCCAATTCTCGTTGTTTAGCAGCAATACTGGATTTAGTTTCAATTACCTATAGGAATTAATATAAAAGAAGAGGATATATTATGTAAGAATTTATTTATGGAAGTGGGTGGTGATTAGGGAAAGTTTTGAGTAAATGTGGAAGTGTGTGTGGGCGGCTATTACTTCCCGGCTGTTCACCACACGGAAGTTGATTTCTTCCAGAAATATATGAAAGAGAAGGAACATTGATGTTGCGTGACCGCAGAACTCAGGGGACAACTGTTTGAGGCCGCTCACACAAAAGCTGTTGGAGTTGTGTTCACACTAAAATCTTACTGCTGACATCCAACTGCCTCGAGGCAAGTCAGGATGTACAACTTTGTTGGGTCTGTTTTTTTCTAACCACCCCCCTCTCCAGAGCGGAGAGGCAGCATAGGTAGCTGGTCATCCAAGAGAAACACCAAACCTGTTACAACCTTATTCGCCAGCAGTATGACTTCTCCCACAAACCCCCAACATAGTGTAAACCGCTATCCAAACTACCTTTCGGGTATGGCAGGATCTAAAGCCAATTTATCTCTCTGGGTCACTGAGATATGCAAACCAAACCACCACGTCAAGGAAGCAGCTATCGGTCATTCATTCTTAGTTTTGCAAGGAATTGATTAGTCTGAAAGATTTCATGACAAAATTTAGCTAGAATTTGAAACCACCAGATTAAAAAGTGACTACAATACTAATCAAATACTGAGTCGGAATTTAATCGGTCAAATTACTGAATATCCACGCAAATTAATAATAATTTCTTACTGAATAATAACGTATAACGAAATGAATTCTTAGAATTCTAGAATTGAATTCATTGGAACTTTTGGATCCCCACCTCAGTGTTTGAATTTACTAGACAGAAATATTCGATCTTTGTTGGTATATCGGCTCCTAGTACAGACCCTTTGATGTTGACTTGATATCAATTTTGCGTTATTTGATTGGACACTAAAAATGGAATCCAACATGTTTGTTTCTTCTCATCTGTAACCCGTTAACCTGATGTACCTGTATGACCCCCAAAATGGGAGCTAAGCACATGTTTCAAACTCAAAAGCGTCATACAATAGGCTACTACTGATTCTAAACAGCCACGAGTATGCTTTTTATTATAGCTTGATTCTACACCGCATTTTGGTACAGGTATGGAATTTTCAGCATGCGATATCGGTAGCCCAAATTTAGCAGGCCGACCATTGATATCAGATGTGAGTAGGCCGGGGATCGAACCCCAGACCACGTGCATGGTCGGGGAGCGTCCTAACCGCTGTACCACCGACGCACAAAAGGAGGCGGTCTCCACGCGCCAACCGGGCTGTCACATGGCCACCATTCACAGCTGCTATCCTGCTACCGCACCAAGCGGGGACTTTTGCCTGCTGGGTATCCCCCCCTCCTTAGTCGACCTGGACAACCCGTCCTCCGACAGGTCATCCATATCGGTGCCATGCTTAGCGTGGACGCCTGATCAATATGAGCATCCATATGCCAGCACTCCCCGTCCCACGAAATTCCGCGCCCTGGTCTCCAAGTAGCAAGATTACAGGCTTACGCCACCACGCCCAGCCGTTAATATATGGAGGGCGATGATTAGAAGTTGAAAGGGAAATCTCGTTTACGACAAAACTCAAAGCAACAAGACTCTGGAGATGATGAACTGACAATCACCTAACTTTCATACACATGACACTCAAGTGTGACCCTCAGTGATTCAAGTAAAATGAAGCGTCTCATAATATCAATATTTACAGACCATTGGTTTGAGACCTACAGCGTATGATGTTTCCATGTGAACTGTAGTCATCACGCTATTACATCAGGCAAAGCAGTATGAATAGTTAAAATTGACTGATTTTTGATCATCCATACGCAAAGTTTACACAAGTACTGAATAATGTATTCAAACTGAAGATATTGATGCCACAGACATAATTACTAACGTTCTCCATTCCATATGAGGAATCATGTAGTGTTCCATCCAAGGAAGAAACCATCTTGAAAGACTAGCTCTGCATATTTTATACTATTTATGAGTATGAGTGTGAGAGTTTTATGTCACACATCCAATCCGCCCACAACTCGTCATTTATCTATCAAAGACAAGAAATAAGTTCATAGAACTCCACATACTGGTGAGACGATACTTCGTCTTCACTAAAAAAATACCACTCAGAATAAACTGATCATCATTAAAACTGTTAAAAACTATAAAATTGAAATTAAACACAGAGGGTAGGGCTACAAAAAAAAAAAAACACCTACTTGTCGCATAGATGAAACAACTCGACCGCCAAAAGAGTCAAATGTATTTCCTGAAGTATCCAACTGTTCATTTTCACCTTCACCAAATTGTTTTGTTGACGTGCCTTTATTTTTTGACACTACTGTCTGTACAATACGAACTAATCGATCAGCTGCATGTTTGACAGCTCCACCAGCTGTACGTAGCCCGGAACAACTCTGTGAATTTGGATCAGCCTTAGCTATACAAGCAATTATCAGTTGTGCAGTGTAACCAGCTGTTGTCTGTGCTGCTGATATTAAACTCTCTGGTTTTAATGACATCTCGTCCGATTCCATTGGGTGAGAAGAATTGCCAACATGCATTGTGACGAATGCTTGAGCTGATTCAACTAAATGATTCGCACCAACAGCTACATATCTTGCCTAAATTGAAAAGAGGAATATGTTATCAAATGCTTTTTAAAAAATCTTCGTATCAAAGTTTATTAGTATTTTTTTTCATTCCCTGAGATCCGAGTGCAAAATAGAGATTCAAGTTTTGAAGTTTTAGTAGCGATGGTGTGTTGTTATCACGGGGTGTTATTGCTAGCCTCACGCCCAACCTTCCCTCTCTTCCGGACTTACTACCGGCCGGTAAACTAGACAAGATTCAGGAGTGTGTCAGCCGGGAATCTAACCCAGACCACATGAGTGGTTGGCGAACATTCAACCATTGGAACCACCGACTTCAAAGTTAAATAAATGAAATCTAATGAAACTAAAGACTGAAGTCCATGAATTTCAACAAGTAGTACGGTATAGCTCATAATTTATTGCCTGAACGCATATCAGATCAACGCGTTCTAAAGATATTGTGAAAGACATCTCTTCGAAAATGAAGTACCTTCATTCAAAGACATAAAATGCAGGGTGATCTATTTATTTAATTGGAAAAAAACCCGTTAAATCAAGAAATAAAATTCTGCACATAAATAATCATTTGAAAACTTGTAGACAAATTACAAATAAATTAAAGAAATAATGAAAGTACTGAAGGCGTACTGATGAAGAGTCCCAAACTAGGACGAAACAGCTGTCCAGTACTCCCAGGTTTTCCAGTGGTTCTTTAACTGATGTCAGCTCATGATGAAATCCTCCATCCAAATAATGAAAGTGGTTAAACTGTCTTTCAATGTAAATAAAACAGGATACTCCACACATTATGACCGTCGACTGATATGAAAGTCGTTGACTTGTTTGCTAAATATACTATGTCATCGATTGTACGGTATATATTGTGGCCAAATCAAACTTGGGGACTACTGAAATCTAATTCCTCATTGACTTAGATGAATCGACAGTGAATAGCTATAACCCAGTGGAAGGTCGGAGACTGAGCTGTCAGGTTATGACGACAGTACATTATGGTCTGTAGCAAATAATCTTTTTCAGAAGCTATCCTCTCAACGAAAATAGTAAACACTATTAAGGAAATGTTAAGATTAACAGTTTTAAAAAATATAAATAATCGATAGCTTACTGCTGATATTAAACCTTGTGCCCATTGTGATTCTGATTCCACTTCACCTGTTTGAGATAAATCAATCGGTTTCAGCCGACCTTGTTGTACAAGTTCACGTTGAGCAGCAGCAGCCCAATACATTAAACTCAGTGTTGCATGGACGACATCTCGACAGGCTATAATTACTGCATCCATACCATCTGAAGCTATTAAGTCAATATCTCCACCATCACTACCAAGTGATATATCATTACTAGGTATAAGAGTGTTTGTTGAAGCTGCAGTACTTGAAGACTTGGATAAATGCCCCATCTGAAAGTAATATACAAATATTATAAAACGAATATATATACGGTGGCAAAATACTCACTGAAATTGTAAATATCTTTTATGCATTCAAGAAGGATGAAAAACTGAGGCAAAGTTTTGAAATTCATTCCTTTTCATAGAATTTACTAACTTACAATATATAAGGTGTGGGGAAATCGCACACTGACTTGCAGTGATTCTCCGAGTGATATCGTTTCATGATGGAATCTTACTTGAAATGAATAAAGCCTTTTCAGAGTCAACTACTGAGTACATGGGAATCTTGCTAAAGTAGTACGAATCAAACTTCTTCAAAATCTCAATCCATATGATAAATCCTGAGACCTGCACACAGAAGTCTGTCCAATCACTGAACTTACAATCGGCCTAATCTATCAGGACGTTTGATCCATAACTTTTTCCTCTCTTTTCTCACCACTATAGGTGTCTATTCTTTACGATACTGATCTTGACTTGACCTTCTTTCAGTTTTAGTTGAACTCAACTTAATTCTATCACTTATGTTATGTCAGTTAAATTACTTAGTTAATTTTGCTTTAAATATTGATTTTGTAGGGATTTTGTTTGATTGGTTGGAGGATTTCATCATGATGCTCACTAGCGACTGGCCCTATTCAGGCAGTTAACCTGGGGTTCTAGTGGGAAGCCATGACCAGTAGGATACAGCAGGTTGATGGTGAGGCAGTAACTCATCGAAGAAGAAATTGCGAAGTGGTCGCGCTACGTCATGAATTGGCAGAAGTTAGAATTCATGGGTTGGCTATTGGATCGGGTCCCAGTGGCCTAATGGTCTACGAGCTCACCTTGTAACCAGAAGGTCCTGGGTTCGAACCCCGGTGGGTGGTAGTGATGAAGAGCCCCAAACTAGGACGGAGAAACAGCTGTCTAGTACTCACAGGGTTTCCGATGGTTCTCTAACTGATGCCAGCTCATGATGAAATCCTCCAACCAATTTTGCTTTAATCTCTATCTGATTAATGCTTCTGTATTAAGTAGAATCTACTTCGAAATCTTTTGATTGTTACCTAAGGACTCAAAACTTTTTATGGTACATTTTTACAATCATTCTTTTTGTCTCTGTGACAATGTATCATATATGTATATGTGATTGTACAGCTTGACAATCATATCACTGGAAAGAGTAACTTTCCCATGAACTAAAGTGGAATAGCAACACGAGTATGGCTACCACCTTCAGGCATCTAACATTCAGAGTAAAGCCTATTATGAATGCATTTGACAGGACAATGTCCACTAATTTAATATATATATATATATCATGTGCGTCGGTGGCACAGCAGTAGAGTGCTCGCCGACCATGCAGGTGGTTCGGCGTTCGACACCCGGCCGACGCACTCCTTTACCTCGCTAAAACAGTAGTAAGACTGATAAGGAGGAAAGGTCGGGCTTGAGGCCATCCCGATCCCGTAAAACTAGTTACCACTGGCTACAGAAACTTCAAGCCTCTAGCTTGAAGCCCTATGTTCCACTGGGGACGTGAAGGAATATATATATATATATATCATGCAGATATTTAAATAAGCGTAATGAACTATATATTAGACGAATAAAATAAGTAGGTCACACATACACACACAAAACAAAAAGTAAACTTCATACCGTATCTCTTGATTCATCCATATGCAAATGACCAGATTTCTGTGAGTTCAGCGAATGCTAAAGAATTAGAAGTCAACAATACAATCAAAAACTTGAATAATCAGTAGAGTATACAGTCTATCTATCATCTAGTACAACAATGTAAATATCATTTTTTTTGTATTTCTGATTCACAAAATATTAAATTGCAAATTGTATTTATATATGTCCAAACCAAGTTCACTTTTAACAGTGGAATCCAAATTGTCTGAATAGGAATGATGGACTAAAACTGAATTTGACCTGGTTACAACAACCCCCTCCTCCATGAAGTGACGAAATCAACACGAATGTGATAAGCAATTTCATTATGTAAACACACGCTGCTTTTATAACTTTACACACTTATCAAATCCAACAATATCTACACCTGGTTTTGTTATCTTTACCAATCGGCCAATTTGACAAGGCAAAAGTGACCCCATGCTGAGGAACGATGATTAAGTTGTTATTTATAAGCTGAGATTTTGTTAATTCTGGTTTAATAATACTTTGATAAAGCTATTAGCAGCATTAAATAGTGAAAAGTCAGTAAAACAATATCGTTTTGTTTTCATTCATTCACAGGGAAAAAACCTTATTATAATGAATGCAAATTGTATTTGTTTAAAAATTGTTGATGACAGCAATTATGGCAACAAAAGCGGTAGTGTTCTTGCATTCTAATAATGTTTATTTGCTTTAATCGAATCAGTGGTTTACAAAAAAAGTCCCGAACTATTCGACTCATTGAAATTGAATTAGTTAGGATACACGGTGGATTAACATTTCTCAACCATAAACAGGTAAAACAACTCTCTCCAGTAGATTAGATCACCTTGATTTGGCTAAAGAATACTGTTAGTCATTCAGATGCACACAGCCAATGGAAGACTAATACTGAACCAGTAAAATTAAACTATCACAGTGACCTTGAACAACCAATCAGAATTCAGAAGCAAAAAGAGTCCCATGGTCGTTAAAAAAAAGGTATTAAAAAACACTGCGGACATCATTTTATACTAGATAATTGTCCCTTACGTGTTGTAAAAATGTTCTCCAGTTACTCCAAGGATAATCTGTAGAGAAATCACACCATGTGTGACAGATGTATTCATCCAAGTGACTGTAGATTATGGTACTTCGGGATCCATTGATATTCTTCACTCTGTTCTTTAACCTACCCCTAAACCCAACCTAACCCTACGTAACAGTATAGATTCACAGGAAAAAGGTAACTACGGAATAAGTAGAATAGTATGTCTATCAAAGGCAGGCGTGATTTGATTTGGAATGACCTTCCATAGCGTTCCCTAAGTCTGATTAGTTCCTGAAGGTTAACTTTCGACGGACCTTGACTTTGGCTATGATAGTTTAACTTTACCAATGAACCTTCTCAGTTGAGGAGGAACTTCTTAATAAACACACTACCAGTTTTTTATACCATGAATATAGACTATTTAAACCAGATTTTAATTTCAACATATTACGGGGTGACCGAACAGAAAACAGATTAAGAGCTAAATCTTTTTTAGTTAATATAGTACATAACAGACGACAGAAAGAAGATCAATATGAACAGCGATATAAATTAAACGCTATCTATTAGATTTACTTTTGATGAAAAAATGAGACGGCTTCCTCTTAGTTGTAGGGTTGGAAGGTGGGCATTGGGTTAATTATTATTCCCACTGTGTGCTCCCATTGGAACACAGGGATCCAAGCGTGAGATTTGAAGTTTCAGTAGCAGAGGTGTTATTCTTTTTTACAGGGTGAGGTTGCTAGCCTTACGCGCAACCTTCCCGCTTTACCGGGCTCACTATCGGCTTACCGAGGTTTAGAGGTCAGTCAACCAGGGATCGAACTCCGGACCACGTGCATGGTTGGACAAAAGCCTACTGCTGAACCAATGCATATGGTTAAACTTTCTATCAATTCTGATGTCTATTGCCACATTCAGGACAGAGAATAAAGCAACTACAGAATAACAGTAACTTGATGGCATAGGCTTAAAGTGAAGTGATTCACTGAGTATAAATAATTTTGCATTTGTAGACTTTAGCTCTTATTCGACATCGTTGCTGGAAACGGGGTCAGTGCAACTAAATCTCTACTTAGTTCAATCATAGAATAAGACAAAAATAGTGTGTACCAGTCAATATTGTTTTTAAAAAGAGAACACAAAACAATTACGAGACTATTTCTAGGGTTGAAGCGCGTATGTGATTTTAGGACTGGAATTATTCTCACACAAACTAGATAGACAATAGGCTTATTTAGTAGTTACATTCGTGTATTAAAAAGCGTAAATCACATACATATTGCATGATAAATTTGCAGTAACACCTAAAACTGAAACAGGTGGAGTCGTATGAGAAGTTGCATATCACGTTAGAAGAAATAGTACTTGATATCGCCTTGTAAAAAAAAACTCAACAGCTCCCACTGATCACGCCTACAGTAAACATAAACTATCTATCTATTAATTCATTTTTTCCATACGCCTTAAGAGATGGCTGAACAGTATGTGGTAGGCTAAATTAGCATGCTGTGAGAGTAGTAAAGCAATGCAAATCCAGAAATTAGAATAACCTTGCCTGCATACTATTTCGTCTAATTTTATCGCCATTAGAATAATTACTACTAACGCAATCAATCAGACCATTTCAAGAGGAAATAATTTTATGTAAAGTTTACTAAGGGAAATATAGTAATGACTAAAACTGTGGCCAGAAAGGATTAACAACAAGAAATTTTGATTGTGAAGCAAACCAACCAAGAACTCATCGCCCAACAGATATGCAAAGGGAAATGGAGATGGACTGTACACACACACAACGGTGAAGAGACCGTTAAGTTAAATCATGCACCATGAATGGAACCCGTATGGTGAACGACGAGTTGGACGTTCTAAAGTGACATGGAGGAAGTCATGTGAAGAAGAAATGAAAGCTTATGGGTGACTATGGAGGCAGGTGAAAATACTATAGAGAACGGAGTAAAATGCTGCTAAAGCCCTCTGTCCCACTCGGAATCCAAGTGACGAATAATAATAATAATAAACACGAACAGATGAATATTTATGGTTGGTTGGAGGATTTCATCATGAGCTGACATCAGTTAGAGAACATGGAAAAGCTGGGAGTACTGGAACCTGCTGTTTCGTCAGCCTAGTTTGGGACTCCTCATCAGTACGCACCCGATGGGGTTCGAACCCAGGACCTTCTGGTTACAAGACTAGCGAGCTCGTAGACCATTCAGCCACTGGGACCCTGTGGGTGCGTACTGATGAAGAGAGTCCCAAACTAGGACGAAACAGCTGTCCAGTTCTCCCAGGTTTTTCAATGGTTCTCTAACTGATGTCAGCTCATGATGAAACCCTCCAACCAATCAAACACAATCCCTACAAAACCAATACTTGAATATTTATTACACCAGTCTTTACAATTGATATTAATTAATGATTTCAGATAATTTCATTAGACTTGACAGTACTTAAAAATAATCGATGTATATTTAACACATGTATGTTGTGAGTTGAATGAGTAACTTTGACTCTAGACAGAGACTGATAAACAGAAATAAGAATTTCGATGAAGTTACGAAACTTCATTGATTGAAAGACAATATGTAACAATTCCCAAATCGACTATCCACTACTGACCTGCGATCGTGTCTCGCATACAATTAATCTACAGAAAAGTAAACAGCTGGCAAACAGGTGAATCCATGAAAACTCTGATTGTTGATCAAAGTTAAGAAGCCTTCTAAGTACGGGTGATATTTCTCAACAACAAAAAGTGCCCTTTTCCTTCCTCATCACTTCAAATGTTTTACTTTGGTTGGCTTTTTATTTGCAGACAGTTACATAGTGTAATCATAATTTTGTATCATCTTTCATAAGCTCATGTTTTTATTGCCTGTCTTTGTGATCGAGTTACTGAGTTACTGCTAGTCGTCCAATGAAGTATACACATGAAATTTTCATGCAACGTTAATATATAACACTGACAGTATAGAACATAACTACAAAACTGAAAATATTACCTTAAATGAATGTTTTGAATGCAGTAGACCAATGCGTTCAACACTTCTTTCAATTTCTCCAGCGAAATCTTGTAAGGCATTTTGTACACCGACTGATGATGATGTTGACGGAGATGTTGATGATGATGAGAATGATCGATCAATGTCTACAGCTGTTGCATTCGCTTCAGCTATACTCTTTTCAATATCTATAGAACTGCTATATATTGATCCTCTATTTGAAGAACCTTCAAATAAACTTGTCACTTTATTATCAATCAGTATTGTAATTGGTTTTGGTGAGACTGTTGGTTTGAAATCTGTATGAAGAATACGAAAAAATAGGGAATAATTCCTTATAATCGTAGGAAAAAATCATCAAAGAAGTTTAGCAATGCAATGGAAACCTTAAAACATTCATAATAAGGCACAAAAGTACAAGAAGTTACTTGGTGCATGATGAAAATCGGTGGGATCCAGAATATACGTTTCATCCTATTTGAGGCACGTCAGTTGGATGTACCTGCATTCCCAGTAAGTGATGGTGCTTCCACTGAGACTCGTACCATGATCCCTTCTCGTTTCAAACGTCAAGGTATATGCGCTAAGCTACGAGACATCTTAGCACAGACCGAGTATTTCGGTTCAAAATAATCAATAAACGCGAAATGCTAAACTAATTTAAGAGCTAATACCAAGATAGTTTACAATCTCACTTAGTACAAACGCTATAAAGATGTCTATGCAAACAGTCCATGTGGACAACAGAAACTGATCCATTCAATTCAAAAACGAAAACTGACAGAGGCATAATGCTATACACGATTGATTGTTTGAGATAAGTAGTTGAATACCACTCACACATGAACTTGTAGGGCTTGGCAAACGGCGTACCAGGTTTAACGCAGCCCAAAGAGCTGTATCAGTTTAAACCAATCGAATTTCGGCTAGCTAGTCGAGCAAGCTAGTCACATATTGGATTAAATTCGCCATTTGCAGTTTACACAGTTCGAGGGGAAACTTCACTACAGTTATCTTTGGAAACCGAAATTCTTCAGACCACCACATGTGATCTGCTTGATACCGTGAATAGGAATCAAGAAATCAATATTAAATGCATGGCGCTATGTACTACTGATTGATTGGCATGAGTAGTTAAGTACCACCCATATCAATCTGTAGTAGTAACCGGGCGCTATCCAGAGCTTGAAGTGATCTAAACTAAAACATGTTTAACATGCTGTGGCTATCGTGGCTTACCGCCTCCAATGGATAATACTGAGGTATTTATTTACATTCATGAGTACAATTAACAAAAACACAGGTGACAGTCAAGCAACAAAACTGGGGATGATGAAATGTGTGCTTCTTAACCACTGATCAATAAGTTTCTCTTTTCAACATGTGGAACACCACCAGAGGATAATAAATCCATGAATTTATATCTCTTTCTTTTATAAAAGCTCTAAATATCTCCTAACTAAAAACCGATGATAACTTATGCTTTTAAAGTGAGTCAGCCGTATCAATGTGGACTGTAAAAACAAGTAAATAAAGTTGCTTTTTCACATGATTCATGGATGGTAGAATGCTCGTGAGACACGCAAGAGGTTCGGTTTCAATTCCCAGCCGATCCTACTGCTTAACATCGTCCGGTAGTAAGCCCGGAGAAGGGGGAAGGCTGGGAGTGAGATTAGTAACCCTACCCATCAAAAAGAACTTTTGAAGCCCCTTGTTCCACTCGGAACAAAAGACAGTAGTGGGGCATTTTTAAATAAAATAAGAAATAAGTCTGGGGTTTAAAATGATAAAGTGAATACCATTTAAATTTTAAAAAATATGTAATGACATTATATATGTGATTTATTCAAACAGAAACACATACCAACAATATCGTCTTCTTTAGCCCCAGGTAATGACATAGAACAGTCAACAATTTCAAAAACAGTCTCGCGTAAACGTCGCATAGCCAAAGTGACTTGAACACTGTCAGGACTTCCAGGACCTGAATCAAGTGCCTTTTACAACGACAGATTAAAACAAACAAATAGATAATAAGAATGACAATGAGATTGTAAGTGAAAATGTATAAAATAGCTATTTATTAGAGTTGCTCCGAACAGAAGCCAGTATATTATTTGAAGATAGAAATCAATCACTCGACCAGGTTCCTATAGACCGTCTTTACCAGTTTCACAACAAGATTGGAACTGCTATCATATAAAACTTGAGTAACTTAAGGTCACTTGGTGGATGATGACTAGCATTGGAATCCAGGATAACGCGCACTTCGTCCTACTTGGAACTCGTCTGTTGGGTGTACCTGAGTTTCCCAGTGAGTGATGGTGTACCCACTGACGCTCGAAACCAGTCCCCTTAGTCCTAAACGCCAAAGCGTTACCCACTAGACCACTTGGGCCACCTCTTGTGCTATGGGTTTTATTAATTATTTAATTTACTTTAAATTTTCCCGTCGACGTCTTGATATATATTCTTTCATATCAATGCATGTAGATAATTATGGACATCAATTTGATTGGGATAATGTCGAAATTTTAAACAGAGGAAACACCAAAAGTGCCAGAGAATTCCTAGAAGCCTGGTACTCAAGCGAATATGCGATTAACAAACATGTTAATATAGACCAAATCTACCAACTAATAAAAAGTAAATCATGTGACGAGAAAGTTCAAAATCCAAGTCAATAAAAAATGATCAGTACAGATGTAAATCGACTACCATTCACGAAGATGGTTACCAGGAGACGCAATTCAGTCATTTATGGAGAATTCAAATCAGTTCATTTTATGCTAAAACTTGCGCTGAAGATGTTGTCCAAAAGGAAGACGAAAAGCTCTGCAATTAAACCAACCAACTCAGAGAAAACAACTAATTGTAAATCATGCACCTGAGCTACAAATCTTTTCTATTACGTCTTGTTTTGTCAAAATTAGTACTATTATTAACACCCTTACCATGACTAACTGTAAATAAAGTGGTAATTCACTTCAGATAAACAGTGTTTTAAACATCAAGTGAAATTTAGACTAGACAACAGTAACAACGAGTTTTGCAGTGCACTAGACCCAAAATATATAGTACGAAGAAATACCAGACACTTAAAGGGTCTGGTTTCGATTCCCAACTGACGCACCTCTAAGAGGGAGGTCTGAGAGTAAGGCTAGCAAGGCCATCCCGTAAAAACAACACCAGAGCCACTGGGACTTAAAAATTTGAAACCCTATGTTCAACAAGGGACACAAGGCATGAAACAAAAGAGAATGCTCAACAAACCCATAATGACAGACTCACTTTATTCATATGTTCTACTAAATCTTTAAGCTCTGACATAGTACCAGCTCCACCATTAATTGCACGTTGACATATCTTCTCTAATTTCGGATAATTGATCGTTTCACTATAATCTTCTGATGCACTTTCATTCCCTGACTCACTATTTGATACTGAATTTTGATGATTTAAATTGGAAGTAGGTTTTCCATTCTGTCCTTTAAATGCTAATGATAATGAAGTTTGTAGAACAGAGTATAAACGACGTGAAAGTTCTTCAGCTGCACGACGTATCATATCTCCAGCTAAACTAATCTCTGATGGTTTCCCAGAACCAGTAGCATTGTTTGCATTGGTAGCTGCTTGTGTAATAGCTCTAGCCGCGCATACTAAATAAGATGGATTGATTGTTTGACCTAGAGCAGTTTGTCGTTCAAATTCTGAGTCATCATCAAAATCTGAAAGAACACAAACACGTAGAAATACAAAGTAGAACATATTGCATGAATTGAACATGAATCCAATAAATAGTAAGAGTGAAAGGCGAACAGCTAGACAAATTAATTAATAGGAAGGTTAATTTTGTCTCACTGGACTGATGACACCCGTTATCAAGTGGACAGAAGAAGCCCCTTTATAGATTATTTATTGCATTCCACAGAACCTTTCAAAATGAATTCGAACTCACTTTTAAGACATAACTGAGGCTATGAGAAATTCGAGAGAACAATCCTGGTCTTTGTATACAAAAGAAGTTTATTCTACCTTTGTTTCTCTCTTGGCCTGGGTAAATCTAATTAAAACTTCCCACCCTTTCTTATTCTTTACTTTTTTCGTACTTTTATGTTGGTTATTTCAACTTCGACCATCTATCCACTTCATCTTTGGTATTAGGCAATTATTGAATTTTTACGAGTTGATCATGGATTGATATTAGTCAGAGAACCATTGAAAACCAGGGAGTACTGGACAGGTGCTATTCCATCCTAGTTTGGGAATCATCGGCAGTATGCACCACAGAAATCATCGGAATCACCGAAGTACTAACCCTTACAAACCAAACTATAGAAAATTATTGAATTGTTCCCACTATCATACCATCTTAATTACTCTTATCAACACCTGTATCAACTCCCTTGCCTACAGACAGGGTAGGAGCACTTTAGACGCTGCAGCCGTCTTGCACAACAACATCGTCTCATCATTAGATAAAGGTACCAAATACGTCCGCTGCACGTTTCTCGACTTCACTTCTGCTTTCGACTCTGTACCTAAATGTCTCCTGCTAAATAGGCTCTCTTTGACAAAAACCGAGTCCTGGGTCACTAACTGGCTGCATTCCTACTTCTCTAACAGAATGCAGTACACCGTATGCAAAGGTAAATCATCCTCTGCTGTACTCACTGAAGCCGGAGTCCCCCAAGGTGCTGTACTCTCCCCACTTCTCTTTTCTTTCTTTCTACATGACTTACCATCTTCAAATGACATTAATTTTGTCAAATATGCTGACGACCTGACTGTATCTTTGCCTGTCAAATGTCAAAGCGACTGCTCTAAACTTAATGGCTTTCTGTCAGAAATCAGCCAGTGGTCCAAGGAAAACGGTCTTACCCTAAACCCCTCCAAATGCCAAACAGTCAATTTCACCTTTAGGCATAAATCTGACCTAAACAAACTGGTTGGCTCTCACGAGGTGTGCAACATAGATGGCACTGAAATAGAAACCAAGTCGGAAATTAAATACCTAGGCGTCATTCTATCTGCTGATCTCTCCTGGTCGTCTCATATCTTAGCGATTTCTAAGAAAATATTCCGTCTTACCTTCTACATCAAGAAGTTAAAACATTCTGGTATAACCCAACCCTTACTCCTACAATTCGTTAATTCTCGCATTCTGCCTATTATTCTCTATTGTTCCCCCTTAGTTTTTCCAGGGCTACTGAAGAAAGACATATTACGCAGGATGTTAAAGGTTGTCAGCAGGGTAAGCAACGTGCCACTTAACCAGCTTGTTAATATTCTGGTTGACAGGCACATGGACTCATGTGAAAAATGGGCCAAATCCATTTTATCTAACTCACACCACCCTCTTCACTCACAACTCTCCCCTTGCATCTCATCAGGCAAAACCAGAAGCCTATATAGAAAACTATATGCTCGCACCAGCAAGTACAAAAACTCAACCATACCCTACTTAGCTCGTGTTCTGTGCGATAAAGAAAGCATTAGGCGTGACACCTATAATTCATTAAATAGTCAGTAGAACAACTGGACCTCGTCTTTCCAACTCATATCATTAATAGGTACAACATTTTCTTTCTTTCTTTTCCTTTTCTCTCTCTTTTTTTTCCGTTATGTGCTGCTTTGTTTCTTTCTCTCGCTTACGCCAGTAAATATGACAGCACCTACTTTTCTAACACCTTCAAACACTGTTCAGCTTTACCTTTGCTACCGACATGCCAATATGTTGTTGTCATAATGAACTGAGATTTCCTTAATCTATGTAGAATTCTATTTATTGATAATGTACTAACTGGATGCAATACTGTAGTAAAAATGCTGAGAATTCCATTCTGTATCACAAGTACTGTTTTGGAATAAAGCAAATTATTATTATTATTATTATTATCACTGACCTTATTATCACTATTTTACTATTATTTTTTTGTTTTGTTTTCATTCCTTTACGTTTCCAGTAGAACATTGGGCTTCAAGCTGGACGCTTTACCAGTCTTATTACTGGCTTAGTGAGGTAAAGCAGTGCGTCGGCCGGGAATCGAACCCGAGACCACATGAGCGTGGTTGGCGAGCATTCTACCGCTGCGCCACGAAAGCACTTTACTGTTATTGTACTCATCGTTATTATCGTTATATATCCGCAACACTTACTATTTTTGATCCACAAACTCAGGCATTGGTTAAATTTTTATATATAAAGCTGTGTACATTAGAGTAAAGCCTGCAGAAGATCTAATTACAAACAATATTGTTCACTTGTATGTCTTGTTTAAATTTTAACAGTGGGAATATTTAATGATATGGAAAATTGCAACACGGAGTAAAACTAGAGAGAGAGAGCAAGTCGTGTGAATACACTGAGTAATGATTATGAGCAGTGAATTGTGCTCAAGACGTTATCTAGTTATTAATACTGTATCACTATACATCATATAAAATAAATTTATCCAGATAAATTTAATAAACGGGCCTATCATTCAGTCTTCCCATTGTCGCTACCCCCCCTTTTCATATATTTATTATATTTCATTAAATGTTATTTATATATTTACTCCAATTTAGTATTATGCAACTTCTAACTCTATAACATTGTAACCTAATTTAATTATTAAAACCCTACATTGTAATACTGTCTTCAGTTTACTTATCATCACTGACATCAACCACATGTTATCATCAATATGATTGGCTGACTGAAATCTAACCAAACAGGGAACGTGTAATTTGCCGTCATAGGTGCGTGGGCGTTACATTAGTGTAGGCAACTTTTACATGTTTTCTGATTGGTGGGAGACTTCAATTCGCTGATATCAGAGCCAATCATAGCGATGATCATGACTAATCAGCTAATTATGGGCTTTAATCAATGTGTGAATGTTTTAAGGCCTGAAGTATAAGACATTGTTACTAAGCTGTTCACTAATAATGAACTAGAATTAGTACATATTTATTCCTATTTTAAATAACCTACCGACCTATCCTATACTGAGAGCCTGTTTTATAGGCATCCAGTGTAACTTCAAAAATATGCAGAAATTGATTGCAATATTTAAAAAATATCTAATTTTAAAAAAAAATAAAACATCTACATACCTGGTGCATTCAATACTCCATCTTTAACAGTCCATTTATTCAATTTTTCATTTAAATTTCCCAATACAGAAATTGTTGATTCTAAGCTAGCATGTATATTAGCTTTAGTAGGATCAGTTTTATTCGATATAATAGTTTTTTGTACAGGTACTTTAAGGCTAACCTTTTTCAGTGGGACAGCAGGAGGTGTCGGTGAAGGCGTAGGTGTATCACTGACAGCCGGTGGTGTTTTAGTATTAGCATTAGTAAATGAATCACTGACAGAACGTAAAGCTTTTGACAGGTTGGATATCGTCTCAATCACTTGAACAGCTGTATCATTTAAAGCTTTTTGTTTAGTTTTCATCATTGAACTTAACGTGCCATCTGTTTGATCATTCCAAAATTCAATAGCATAACAAGCAGCAGACACAGACTTGCCATGATTAAGTAATCGAACTAGACCGGCAACAACATCTCGTGTAGATGTTAACAGCTGAACTTGACCTTCAATGGATAAATCTGGTGTAGAGGATAAAAGTGTTGCTGCACATGAAGCGGCATTTTTAGCTGATTCAGTTAATTCTGTAGCTCGTAATACACAATTCTGTGCTGATATTGCTAATGCATCTTGATCAGTAGATGTGGTTTTAATCTATAGTGGAGTAATAAAAATCAAAATGAGAAGTGATCAATAAAAGCATACCCAATGCTCACTAGTAACTGACTATAGGATAAAGTTGCTTGGAGTTCTAGTGAGAACTCGTGACCATTATTTATTTATATTTATTTATTTTTCTTATTACAGATTGATTCTGCACCGTTTCGGTACAGGTATGAATTCAATATGATATGTAGCTCAAATTTTGCAGGCCGACCATAGATATCAGGTGTTCGTCGGCAGGGGATCGAACCCCGGACTATGTGCATGATCGGCGAGAGTCATAACCGCTGTGCCACCGACGCACATCAGGTTGGATGTGAGGACAAATACTCATTGATGACATTGGTCGGCAGTCGCACTAAAATCTCTAACCTTTCACGAGTCATTGACTCCCGGCTCAAGAGGCTGAATGATCAACAGACTCGTAACTTGATGGTCCCCAGTTTGATCCTTGGTGGGGTCGTGGGTGTGCATTGTTCAAGAGTCCCGAACTAGGATGAAATAGCTGTCCAGTACTCCCTGTTGGTTTTCAATGATTCTCCAACTGATATCAATCCGTGACCGAACTTGAAACAAATCAAGTCCCTACCAACTAACTCTTCAAAAGCACCATATCCATTGAATAGTTCAAGTTTACCCTATTATCAATATTATCATAATTATAATTACTGGTCCTTTATAGAACTAATTGTAAAGAAAACACTGAGGAATGCTTAATTGAACTACGCTTGAAAGTTACACTTAGTATATACCAGGAACACTGAACTCATTTGAAAGTCGGTGCAGTGGTAGGACTCTCGCCGACCATGCACATGGTCCGGGATTCGATCCCCTGCCGACAAACACCTGATATTTATGGTCGGCATGCAAATTTCGGGCTACCGAAACCACATGCTGAAAATTCCATACCTGTACCAAAACATACGGTGTGGAATCAAGCTGTAATAAAAAAAATGATTCTATTCCTTCGAGTTATTATATCTAAATGTACCATTGGAGAATACTAAAATAAATAAGGTGGTTATCCACTAATTCTTAACTTTCAGCAGTTGGTTTGATTATTGTTATTATTATTCATTCATTGCAGTCTCGATAATATGTTAATATTACGAGTAAATTACTGCAGTTTAACCGGACAGTAATTTGTTCGAATATTACCAATAACAAGTTACATTTAATGAAACATAATTATACTTATTCAGCCAGATATTTCCATTCTGCCCTATTTTCTGCCGTCTCTCCACCTAGCCCCACGATTGCCCACAAACTTTTACTTCCTCTTCACATGATCTCCCTTATGTCTCTCTCGCAAGACCAACTCGTTCTGCTTCCACTCGAGGGCCTGGCATATGATGTTACTTGAAGGTATCTATAGCGTTTACCTAATCCACCTCCATTCCCTACTGTATATTTATTGGTTGGCTCATTGTACTGTCAGAGTTCCTTATAGCTTATCCTTTCCGGTTGGCCATTTGATCTTCGATATCGAACCAAAGAAGGCAGCTATTGATGAAAGTCATCAGAAGGTTGTTAGGAGTGATTTTGGTGACATATGCGCCAAATCTCTGAACCACATATTAGTCAATCTAGTATGTTTATAAATTTTCTCTAACCAAATTACGAATTTTATATTTAAGCTAGTTGTAATCATTTGATGGATATGTAAATAAGTATGAAAGCAGATCTTAACTCCAGTATATCACTATACAATGTGAAAGAAGTTCAACACAAGTACAATGATGCTATGTGCTAATATTTCTAATGACAAATGTCTTTTAGGATATACTTTTTAACATTAGTGTTTTTGATAGTGTTATCTACAACGATAATGAAGCATTCACCAGCTAATGATAGCCCAACAAAAACACCAATAACACACTATTATTCAGTTACCTCTAAAGTAAGGTGGTTCAATCCACTTGATGTAGTTGTCTCGATTCAACTGGATAGAGTTATTAGAACCTACAAACCTAGGTTGATTCATCACTCATTAATAAAAAGTTTACAAGGTTCTAGATAATAATATGATTCAGTAGCGGCGCTGACTGACTGACTGGTTTCACCATAGAACTTTGCACAGATGTGCAGCAGTTCAAGTTGTCACTCTCCCTCTATGTATCATCCAAAGCGAGATAAGAGAATAAAAATACGTTCAAAAGAGAGTTAATAAACAGAAGTGTCAGTGAGGCAAAAAGAATAGTAATATGGAACAAAAATAGAATTCCATTAGATGTGACAAATCACAAAGAGTGAATGCATCCACACAAGCCATTGAGAACGATCACTTTGAGCCATATCACCAACTGTCTCCAGTCTTCATTGGTTCTTATCATCCAGAGGATCCCAAGCAGGCAGTCAGGCAGTCTACACCTCCCGACGTGGCTGGCTGGCTTAAACTAACTGTTATGGATTTCATTGACTAATGAGGTCATGTTTTCGTTTGACCACCACCACTATTATTATTATTTATTATTATTTCCTTTAATTCCTAGAGGAACATAGGGCTTCAGCCGTGCGTCTCCATTGCGTTCGGTTCTCTGCTAGAGTCTTCACCTGGCTCCGAGTCTGCCCACACGCTTTCATCTCCTCTTCACATGCCCTCCTCCAAGTCACCCTTGCACTGACGACCAACTCGCCGCTCCCTTTCCTTTCCACCACTAGCTCCCTTCCAACCTGATCCTATGTCAGTCAGCTAACACTGCCCGTTGAGGAAGGCTATGGCTAGGCGTGCATTCGTAACACACGCCCTAGCCATCTCAATCGATAGTAGGATCATCATCCTTACGCCCAAGCTTCCCTCTTTTCTCGACTTAATACAGGCTAGCAAACTAGACGAGGTCTAGGAGATACTCGATGTAGCTAAGATTACATTTAAACTTAAATCAAACTACCTCACTCTGTCAAATAGTTATTTTCCAGACCAAATATTCATGTTACTGTCTTTAAGGTAATTAATACAATAACTGAACCACAAATAACGCCTGTTATATAAAATTAACGTACGTTAGTTGAGTGGAATCGAGTATATCTATTACAATAAACATATTCAGTAAGCTTTGTTCATTCTTTGCATTCTGAGTAGAACAAAGGACTAGAAGCTGTGTAGTTCCGACAGCGGTGGTGTTGTTTTCACAGAGTGAGGTTGCTAGCCACACGTCCCATGCTTACTACCTGCTAGACTAGGCTTAGGACTGCATCAGCCGGGAATCGGAACTGGTGTGTCTGGTGAGAATTCTACTATCGACCCACCGACGCCTTTGGTTAAAGTATGACTTAACCTTAGTTATATCAGATTACAATGTAAGTTCTAATCCCTCTCCCATGTGGCGTCAGTTCCTTTAAGACTGTAGAGACGCCTAAAAGGAAAGGATGAAGAGGCACGAGACTTCATTCCAAGATATGCTTCCAAATGTCTTTACCCAAACAAAATCAATAAAGAGTGCAGTTAATAATGCGACAATACTGAGACCAATTACTTAATATCACAAAATCCCCCCCCCCAAAAAATTTAAATACTTTTCATATGAAAATCAAATTACATATAAACTATACGGATTACTTACTAAAGTTTGCATATCTTCAACAATTCCTTTTTCTGCTTGCATAACTGCTTCTTGAGCAGTTTGAAAAGCTCTTTGTTTAAATGCTATTGAACCTTTACTGGTAACACCAGGAGATGGTGGTTTATTTGAATCTTGAACAGTACCAGCTCGCGCGAATAATGCAGCTGTATCTAAATCAGCTACCAGTCGATTCAAGTTAGTGATAGCAGTTGCACAAGCATCAGCACCTCGTGCACATGATTGCAGGACAGCTTTTAAATCATTCAATCGATTGGATAAATTATTCACTCTTTCTGCATGCAATGGAGCTCGTAGAAAATCTGAACAAGCTGCACCAATAGCCTATAGAAGAAAAAGGTATTTAGTTAATTAGGTACTTGAGCTGAATAACTCACTCGATTAACAATTAAGTTGAGAATATGTGAAGGGAAAAAATTTCATCGATCAAAAATAATCAGAACAGCTGATATTGGTAGAAGTAACAAGAAGCAAATGAGAGGACCACTTCAAGCTTCTCTGAACAGAGTATCACTTAGCTATGAATACATTCTTAAAAAGCCTATTTATTTATGAGAGAGTGAAATGACTTTAATGGTAGAAAAAATATGACAGCAACAGGAAATCAAGTTTTCAAGTCTTTTATTTTATTTTAATAAAATACAAGCTTAGTACATTATGTGTACTAAGAGATGCGTCACACAAAGTCTCACAGTCTTTGCAAAGGCTGAAATACTGTCCAGACGGACTGACGGAAGCAGGTGGTTGTCTTAACGGGCCACCCCCCTTGTGATTTTGACTTGAAGTCTGATCCGCAAGACAGTGGAGCAGAGTAAGGAGCTACGTTCACATGGCTTTCGGTAACCAAAACAGGTCCATACGCCATTCAATCGCCACAGGTTTGCAATCAGGGTCTTCCAGCTTCCCTAGGCAGACCAGCATGTTCACCAGTTCAGTTGTAAGCACTAGGCGTTCACACTCGCCCTTTCACTCTTGTGAAGAACACCAGCGCCGCGCGAAGGCGGTGAATAGGACTTACCTCGCAGAGGCTATGGAGCACGTGGCCACATGAGAGCATTTCGAGAGCGAGACTGAAATCTACTCACTCTTAGCCGGCTTTCAAGTTTTCTAAGTAACAGGTAATGTTTATGACAGTTTTCCCCCAATAACCTTCCTCTTTGATAAAGTATAACATAAAGAGGAATAGGTATTAACACTTGTCTTCTTCCGACAAAAAATTATCAGAGGAAAAATCGTGAAAATAGTACTAGTAGCATCATTTTATATACATTTATATGACAAGGAAGAAACTAGTGTGCTAAATGTTAGGCTTCAGTTGGTATGAAATAGTCGGACCAAGTATAGTGATCTTTGTTGCTCACTAGTAAAGTGTATTTGAGACCTTAACTGCACTACAGAGTAACACATACTTGAATCTCAGAGGCAATAAGTGGAGATGCAGCTGATTGGCCGATGTGTCACAGTTGCGAGTCCCACGCTCAACTAATTTCAGCCTGAGAAAATGGATAGTCTGGTGCATGTAACATCTGTTTTAGATAACTGGGCTTCTAACAATGAACATCATAAAAAGTGCACTGAAATGGTGTATCACTAACCCTAGTGACTAAATTATACGCTTGATCAGTAAATTTCGATCTGGATTTTGATACCAAGCTGTTAGATTGATTTCTGTTTGACAACGAGTGAGTATACATTTGGTATGTGTTCAATGAATATTACTATTCCGACTGCCTTCAATAAACTAACCCCCCCCCCCATCTTCAGATTATCCAAAACTTTACTGCTAGGGATGCCTTGATGAAATCCATTTTGATCTGTGTGTCTACTGAGGAGTAAAACCTTACTCCTAAAAAACTTTAAAATAAGTCGCACTTCGATCTATGGAAATGTTGAACGAAATGATCCATACTATATACCTTAACTGTTTGAAATCTATGTGAAAGACGGCAAACCATCTTTCTGAATTCTCAACAATTGAAACTCTTCTAAGGAATCGATATGTTCAAATCACATTATTGCAAAAAAGAAATGAAGTCTACATAGCTAAGTTTTGATTCACAGGTCTTCAAAAGTGCTACACATGACGGTAGAGTGCGGAAGTAGTAATTCAGCGACTCCTGTCTACAATGATCTCTTATTTGAAACTTTCAACTAGCAATAGGCAATATCACAATTTCCACATACCTGAGTTGCATGACACAATTTTTGAGCTAAAGCTGGTCCAGTATCAATTTGTGGATGCATTTTCAATATGTTCGACATATTTTGTACTGTTTCAGTCATTTGCAGGAATTGTTGAACAAAAGTCGATATAATCTCTGGGCAGTATTCTCCTCCTCCTCCTTGATTATTTGCATAAGTTTCTGTCACTCTTGTGGTAAGATCAGATAATTCACGTGATTGATGACCTAGACGTGTGTGCAACTGGACGAAGTTTGTTGGTAATGAGACTGCATTTTCATTTGAGTTATTTTTTTCCAATCCATTCGATAATGGTACTATTGCATCATCAAGCTAAATATTTAAACAAAACAAAAAAATGACAAAATTCAAGTGATATTGGACGAATCAAGCTACTTAATATTTGAAAGTAGTAAAAATAAAATACATTAAAGACTGAGCTACTATTCACAAACGGATTTATAATAGCAGTCGTTCTTTAAGTAGGAGAAAACTGTATGTTATCGGTGGAACTTCTTCGCATCAATAAACAATACAGAGGCATGCATTTCACTTTCTAGGAAAAGGGGTCAACCATGAGTTTAGGTATCTGGCTGACAGTTACAAAACACAGTCATTAATACTTAAATTATATATTTTTATTTTTACGAGTTGATCACGGATTGATATCAGTTACAGAACCATTGAAAACTAGGGAGTACTGGACAGCTGCTGTTTCATCCTAGTTTGGGAATCATCGGCAGTACGCACCTACCGCCATGGTTCGAACCAAGGACCTTCCGGTTACAAGGCAAGCTCGTAGACCATCCAGCCACTGGGACCCGATTCAATGGCTCATGAATTCTAACTTCTACCAATTCGTGATTTAGCGCGACCCCAACCATTGTCGTTGGTGGGACATCCATCCACACACGTGACTTCTAATTGGACCTCACTGGTCACGACTTCTCACTAGAACTCCAGGAAACTCCATCCTGTAGTAAGTCACTAGCGAGCATCAGATTAATTTTCTATAGTTTGGTTTGTAAGGGTTAGTTATGTTTTTACGAGTTGATCACGGATTGATATCAGTTAGAGAAGCATTGAAAACCAGGGAGTACTGGACAGCTGCTGTTTCATCCTAGTTTGGGAATCATCGGCAGTACGCACCCAGTGGGTAGTTCTCTAACTGATATCAATCCGTGATCAACTCGTAAAAACAAAACTAACCCTTACAAACCAAACTATAGAAAAAATATTTTTATACAAAATCCATAATATAAATATCAGTCTGCAACTTGTCGGTGTCTACTGGATGGGTATACTGCAGTTGTAATTAGAAGTCGTCAGTGAGGTCCATAATGCTGAGGTAGATTGAATATTCAGTTATTGCATTGGTTGCCAGTAGCCCTATATCACGAAATGACCGGATTTAGAATTTACCCACCACTCAATACCTACCCAAGTGGTTGAACAGTAGACGCGTTTGCCCTGTAGCCTGAAGGTCCCGGTGTAGAACCTCGATGAGATCGTGTGTGCACAATGCTGTAGAGTCAAAAACTAGGACGAAACAGCAGTCCAGTGCTCTCTGATTTTTAATGATTTTCATGTTGTTGGTTCGTGAAAATATCTACACTAAACTTAGTCACATCAAGTCTAAATCTGAAAGACAGACCATGTGATATTATGTTGTATGAACACGGAGACTTAACTATGAAGTCTTCAGTGTCATTGCAGATAGCATCAACAGGTGCAAAATTATGATTGCTAATTCAATCCCTATCAATAATGGTAAGGAAAGCAGTCAATAACAGAGATTTTTAAAATGGTATGCACCATTTAAAAATTCTTTCATTTCCATGTGACCATATAGCAGATAAGATAGATATTGTAATACCATTGAAAATGTTGAATATAATATTTCCCGCCTAAAACAATTTGAAATGCTACCATAATAGAAAGTAGCTTTAAATAATCAATTGTCATTGAAACAAATTCAAGTTCAATGTCCAATAGAGTTTATTCCCCCACGACAAATTGAATTAATTAGACACAGAAAAACTTATCAGTCACCATAATTTTGAAAATAATAATAATTCAACTTAATCTAACCAACAAAACCACCAACATTTCATCGAGTCAGTCACTTTTATCAAAACTAGTCAGTCGGTTAGCTATGTTGTGATAAACAATACAAGAGAAAATCAATAAATCGATACAGGTTATAAATGGAGAATTGAAAAATATGTAAGATAATGCGAAAAAAAGAAACAATAAAATAACGAAAAATAAAACAGAGCGTCTAACAACAACCAAATGACCTGAAGAAAATGAAATAAAAAAAGGATAGCACACAAATGGAAGGCAGAGAGAGAGAGAAAATAGCACAGACATGCGCACATACATTCAGCAGCACACATTGTTGATAGAGAGCAGTGTGTGTGTCATGATGGTTGGTGATGAAAAACTATTAAAAGGAAAGAATATGAATGTGAACGCACTTATATTGATGAGTCAAAGAGCTGAACACACACACACACACAGGTGAATACAAACAAGCAAACAAACAAACATCTGATTGCACATATGCAGGCATATAGACACGTGCAAAACGAGAAGTTTATATATAACACTTGTTATATTCTGTCTATAAGAGAAACCCATTGAAGAGGTTTTTGGTGATTTCTCTCATAATCCATTGTTTGTACACACATACACACACACGCACACGCATGCAGACGTAAATGAAAGATTGTCAAAACAATAACAAGTTATTTGGTGCTTCCAATAGTCAATAAGTCAAAGATACATATATAGCATTGTAGAGAACGACAGACACATAAGATACATAAGTATGCACAAAACAAAGTGATGCTGACTAACCTTTGAGCAAGCTGAAGTGATAGATGTAATGTGCCAATTTAATCCACCTTGTTCTATTGCTATTGTATCGATTTGTTTAGACAATTCAACACAAGCTTGTTTTAATTGACTGTTGTAAGCAGTCAGTGAATTGTGAGAATTAGAAACTGGCAAGGATTGAGACTAGAAACAAAGAAAGATTTTTTTAAAAAAATACATGTGAATAAATTAGAATTTAAATTAGAGTTCTTATTTTCAAGTGTTGGTTTGCTAGGAATTAGGTAGACTTCAAGATTGGTCACGAACTAACTGACTTCAGTAAGAGAACCATTGAAAACCAACGAGTATTCAACAACTGTCAAACCTTATTTTAAGACTTTTCAGCAGTACGCAACCATTATTACCACCCCATAGGGGTCGAACCCAGGACCTCCAGGTTATCAGATGAACCGGTTCATCATTCAGCTGCTGGGACAGAATCCAGTGGCCCATCACTTCTGCCTCCAACCAACGTCATCTACGAGTATTTGTGACACTGCTGGTCACGACTTCCCACTAGAACTATACGGACAACTTCATCCTGTGATCAGTCAGTAGTGAGCATTAGATTAACTGTCAAGTATTGATCTGCAGTCATTCTCGAACTGATGTTATATCGTTATCAGTCTTACTGTTCTTGAATGCTCCACCACAGCAGTTAGTTACATGTAGGTTTTCGCAGTAGACAGTGTGATGTAGAGAGACTAGTGGTATGAGCAGTTCACTAAAAGCTTTGATAAATGAAATGAAAGTCAAATGAAGCTAGTTGGAGACAACTTCATTGAAAGCTAAATAGCTTAAGCATTTCACATGACGGAGGCGCATTGATAGTATATCATTATTTAAGAGCAATACATCACACTTACATTGAAACCAGTTAGTTGAATTTTCTTCTAACTTACACTGGCATTTGCTTTTAACTAATTTGTTACACGTTTAAATTTACCTCTATAAACTTATCATTCGGTGAACGAACACTATCATTAAGGCTGACACAGAAGTTATGGCTAATAGATTAGTGTCATACTGACTGACTGACTGAGTTTCAATGTGGAAATTTGCACAGAAGTGCAGCAGAAGTTCAACTCGTCAAACTCCATGTAGCACACAGAGATAGTGAAAGGAACAAAAGAACTAACTTCAAAAGGACTATTTATAAGCAGAAATGTTGGGGAGAAAGAATAATTATATCGAGAAACAAGAGGACTTAACGCATCTAGGAATGCATCTACGACGCCATTGGGAATGATTTCCAACACGTCACTAACAATCTCAAGCCACTGGTTCTTAGCACATCCCGAGGACCTGAACACGACAGCCTACCCTGCCCATGGTTGACTTACCACCTAACACTTTCCACTAATCCTAATGCCAGGTAAGATTGCTTGGTAGGTACAACAGGTATCCTAGACATATCAAACGATGCAGCTTCACAACCTCAGAGATTGACTTTACTTAACTATATATATATATATATAGCTCAGTGAAGCAGAAGGTATTGAAGGAAAGCAGTTTTATACGGCATTCCCTTTGGTTATCTTATCGCATTCAGTATTAATGTCATGTTTCACTCGGTCACATCAGTGCAAATGTTTTAAGAAGGTTGAAACACTTGATTTTCTCCAATCGGCTGGATGAAACGCAGAGGGAATGGAGATATCTTAAAAAATAAACACCAGGGGGAGGGGGCTGTGAAGTATAATTACATATCAAAGGATTTATATATACATCAATCAACTCGCAATGATAAGAATGGCAAAGACTGAAGCTGAAGGTTTCTGTTTTTGGTCACAAAGTATCAGAAATGCAGCTTTATATATTCAAAGATTTAGATAAAATCCTACATCTACAAGTCATTCTTTCATTTTTTGTTATTACTATTCATTCATCTCAAATGTGTTGGTGTTGGGGTGGGATCAACTAGTCCAGTCATCAGATAAACTCTTACCAAACATTAAAGTACTCAAAAACCACAGCAGAAAAAAAAAACAAACTGGGAACTGATGACAACAGCCAAAACTTACTCGTGCTTTTAGAGTAATTGACAGACAATCGATTAATTGTTGAAGAGCTTCTAGAACAGTTCGTGTGAGACTATTTAAATTTGTCTGATCAGAGAGTCGCATTAAATTGCCACATGTACGAATTGACTCCTATGGAGAGAGAGAGAGAGAGGGAAATAAAATAAAGGCGAAATATGAAGTTTCAAGCTGATGATAAGTTCAAACCAACACCTCATACCGTTTAGTCGTTGAAATAATATAAAATTAATTTCATTAGATAACTTATATTTAATTGTTTAAATCGTCCGAATTGTGAATCTAATGGAATTTCATGTATCTAAATAAGCTGACCAGATGTTGAATATGCTACAACCACTCTGATATAACTAGTTACAATATTAAGACTAAAAATAATCAGTCTATAACAACAAATAATAATCACCAGCAATCACTCGCTTTAACTAGAAGCACGAATGAGGTTATCAGAGCCAGCCAGGATCAAAATGGGAGGACAAGACAGGTGTTCATTCCTCTAAAATCGGTGTGGCGATCTATCTACAACACCCAGGACAAGGACAAAAATCCAAATTTTCAACACGAATGTCGGTGGCACAGCGGTTAAGACTCTCGCCGATCATGCACATGGTCGGGGTTCGATCCCCTGCCGACGCACACCTGATACCAATGGTCGGCCTGCAAAATTTGGGCTACCGATATCGCACGCTGAAAATTCCATACTGGTATCAAAAATACGGTGTGGTTTCAAGCTATAATAAAAGAAGTTAGTCAATGCTTCTATATAGTTCAGAGATTTGACCCGTCACCAAAAACATCTCCAACAGGCTACTTCACACTTTCATCAACAGTTGACTTCTCTCCATACTGAAAATCAGATAGCCAGCCAACTGGAAAGGATTAGCAATGGGGAACTCTAACGGGTAATGGACCAAGCAATAATCTATTAGCCAATAAATATGTAGGAGAAAATGGAGATGGATTGTGCACACTGAGGAGATCGTTAGGTGATATCGCTAGCCATAAAGACTATCGAGTGGGATTCGAATGAGAGATTACTGGTTGGGTATCCAAAGATGACATGGTTGAGATCATTTGAAGAGAAAATGAAAGTTTGTGAGCAATTGAGGGGTCAACTGAAAGTGTGATAGCAGAGAACAGAGTGAAGTGGAAATGTGTTGCTGAAACCCAATATTCCCCTTGGAACAAATAATAATATTGTTTGCGTTTATTTCGACTGTCATCAACTACGTTATACATATTGTGTCTACCAGCCGTCTGTGGAATCGAATGTATTATTACTATTCCCTTGTGTTCCTTAGTGGAACATAGGGCTTCAACAACACATCTCCACTTTGCTCTATTCTCTGCTGTCTTCTTCATCTGCGTCCACGATTGCTCATAATCTCTCATCTCCTCCTCGCCACACGATCTCCTCTATATCACCCTTGCACCGACAACCCACTCGTCGCTTCCCATTCGGATTCCATTCGAGTCCTGGTCTGCGTTGAGCGCGATGTCATTCGACAGTTTCCTCAATGTATGCACGATCCATCTCCATTTTCTCCTACATATTTGTTGGTCTCTTGCCAGAGTTTCTTGTTACTAGTTCTTTCTGACTGTCTGGTTGATTTTCAGTATGTTGCCAGAGAAGGCAGCTGTTGATAAAATTCTGCAACTTGTTGGAAATCCTTTTCGTGACGCGGTAGCCAAGTTTCTGGCCCACACAGAGGAACTGACTGACTTCACATTCGTGTTGAAAATCCGATTCTTGTTCTTCACACTGACTGAGTACAGAAGATTTCCAAACTGCCTTTCCGATTCTGACTTTGGCATTTTCATCCGTTCCACCCGCCTGTGGTTAAGACGATGCTTCCTAAATAAGCGAAGGAAGTAACCCTTGTCAAACCTCTCCTGTTGATGGTGATTGGTGCCGGTTGTTGTTGCTGTCGCTGCGGTTCATTGGTTATCTTCATCACCTCCATCTTCTCTATGTTCACCTGGAGTCCTGTCTTCGCTGCCTGCCAGCCTCTTCAGCTAGTTTGTTGGTTTTCGCCTGCCTTTAAGTCTTTGAGTTTGTCTGACATTAAACATAAATCATCTAAATGATAGTATGCAAATATCGATGATGTGTAAATATGTACAAAAACTCACTAAATCGTTTAGCACACAATCGTATCTATCAGAAATATGATAAATATCTATGAGCTAAGCAAAAGGTACACAATGTGTGAGGGTATTTGATTACCGACGTTAAATTAAATGAAAGGCGTATCGAATCAGAAAGGGATAAGCTTATAAATAACTTATACTTTTTCCATCCAAATATATTAAAATAATATTTATCCAAAACAGATGGAAATATGAGTGAATATGACATAGAAAAAAGAAGAACACTAACTAACCTTAACAAAATTAGGTAAATAAGTACTAATTGAGTGTAAATTATGCGCCATCATTTCCCAATTACCAAGTTTACAATTTTCAATTGTTTCTAAACTCCAATGTTCAATTTGTTCCATACTAGTACGAATTAATTTTAATGAACTTTCTAAATGTTGTACATTTGTTGAATAAATACTATTACGCTTGATTTGATTCTGATGTTGATGATGATTCGAGGAGACAATTGCATGATCTAGATCATTGAGTAGATTATTCACAGTTTTTTGTATTTGATCACATAAAGACAGACCTGGAACACTTTGTCTAAATAAGTAAATAAATAAAATAGTGGAATGTGTTAGTTGAATATTAAAATGAATATATTTATTAAAAGAAACGTATTCAGTAGAGATGTGTTCATTTTTTGAGTTGTGAGTAGAATGTACGGCTTCGAAATTTTTCTGAAATTTCAGTAACGGTGGTGTTGTTTTGTTTACGAGGTGGAGTTGTGCTAGCCCAAGCATTTTTCTCTTCTCTGGACTCACTATCAGCTAGTAAAATTAGGCGGAGTTTAAGAGTCGGTCGGTCGGTCGGGAATCGAACCCGGACCATAGGAGTGTTTGATGAGCACTCAGTTATTGAATCACTAACGTACCTATTCATCAGTAGAGGACTATGGAAGAATAGAATTTTACTCAAAATTGAAACATATCAAATCATTTACTTTTGGTAAACATGAAAAGTAAAGGTTCTGAAGTATATTAAAATACTACTCTAACGATTTGTTAGGACAGTATACTGAACACTATAACATTTTCAAGTATTGGTTTTGTAGGGATTTTGTTTGATTGCATGGAGGATTTCATCATGAGCTGACATCAGTTAGAGAACCACTGGAAAACCAACTGGGAGTACTGGAGAGCTGTTTCGTCAGCGTAGTTTGGGATACTTCAACAGTATGCACCCACCGGGGTTCGAACCCAGGACTTTATGATTACAAGGCTAGCGAGCTTGTAGACCATTAAGCCACTGGGACCCGATCCAATGGTCCTTGAATTCTAACTTCTGCCAATTCACGACATAGCGTGACCATTTCGGAATGTCTTCTTTGATGAGTTACTACCTCATCTTCAACCTGCTGTACTCTACTGGTCACGCATGTGGTTCGGGGTTCGGTCTCCGGCAGACGCACTCCTTTACTCCGGCTAAGACTGGTAAAGAGGGAAGATTCAGCATGAGGTTAGCAACCCCATCCCGTAAAAATAAATACCACTGCTAACAAAACTTCAAGCCTCTAGCTTGAAGCCCTATGTTCCATTGGGAACGTAAACGAATAAAAAATATTTTAAAAAATTACAGAATGAAGTCCTAATAAAATGTCTGTAACATTGTATAGTCGGTTGACTTCTTGATTAATGCATTTTGATGTGGTTGTGTTCTCTGAGCTGGATAGTTAATTTGCGAAGCTTTCATCACCCTACTGGGTGACATCTTCAGCTCATACTTCAAATTGAAGTATGAGCTGAAGATGTCACCCAGTAGGGTGATGAAAGCTTCGCAAATTAACTATCCAGCTCAGAGAACACAACCACATCAAAATCATCCACCTGAGCTACAAATCTTCTCTATCATATCTGATTAATGCATATATTACAGTTTCAGACATACTTTAGGGGAGTAATACCCAGTAAAGTTAAACTTTAAGCACCACTAACTACCAGTCACCGAATGACCTCGAACGCACCAATCACACGAAAGAGGCACTTTTTGGGTATGAATTAAGTGAAATACCTCTTCAGGTTCTTACAATTATAAAATATAATATTTATTGTCGCTACAATAATGGCCAGTTATGCGGAAGATACATTTTTTAACGTAGAATAACAGATTAGTTATGGGGTGTCAAAATAAATAGTTGTATTTGTGTGACACACGTGCTCTAGGCTGAAATCGATTACAAAATATTGTAATTCATGATATGGGAATATTTCACACTATTAAATCTTATAGGTGAAATACATATATTCATGAAAAAAATGCATAGAAACTGTATAAAAGTGTTACAGAGGATACCTTTCTCTCACATGTGATAAAAACATCTCCCAGTGTAACATAGGAGGCATCAATAAAAAAGTTAGACTCCATCCTATACATATTTTCATCTAAATAACTACAAATAACATCCTTTTGTGATCCATTAGTGGTTCTAATTCGGTTTTCTAATCTTCCCCAAAAGCCCTCGTTATAATTGGTGTGGATCCCTGTAATAAGATCCACAAAATCATTAGAATGGTTGACTCTATGGTGAATATATCCAAGGGAAAACAAGGAGCTATAACCTACAGATGCACCTCTCACAGGCTGTTTTGAAACCCAGTAACTACAAATATACCAAATCTGGGTTCAGAGCAGCTTGGAAATGACAAAAAATGTCCCTACGAAATATTAGAATCATCAGCTTACCTTCCCTGAGACCAACTCGTCACGAAAACAAATCGCACAACGATCCATCAACCGATCTGCTGAAGCTTTTTATAATCATCACACACCTCCACATGAAAAAATTCTTTCTTTCCTAATCAACCCCACAACTAAGCATTTCTGGAAGACTTGATCCTCACCAAATTGCAAACTTAACTGCATTAGAGCAGACATTTAACTCGAATCAAGAGGAACAAAGCTTCAACTCATGTGAACAAAACTCGCTGGACATTCAAGGTCACTGGTGAGGACGCACTGCATTGGTAGTTAGTGGTGCTTAAAGTTTAACTTGGCCTAATACCCTTCCAGTACTAATGGCTGAAGTATAAAAGGTCGAGGTGACGAAATATAATAGCTTAAAATGGTTCACCTAAAGAAAACTGATTCGGATAAAGAACTTAAAAGGAAAGTGACATCATACCACCACAGCCAATGCTATAGACGTAATGATGTGTTTTGATATATTACCCGTCATTTACTTGCAAACGACAAGTGTACCTTCAAAATGTTGGTTTAATCACCTATCATCTACTGTTTTATTGTTTAGTACAGAAAACAAAGTAAAACCAGATGATAAGTATGTAAATATGCTTAAGCGATCTATATGAAGGTAAATATGCATGAACAAAGACAACATCAGCAGGTTTTTGAAATTATATTCCTCTGAGCCCCAGTGGAATAGCCTGGGGCCTTAAGCTTGAGCTTTGAAGTTTAAATAGCAATGTTTGTTTATTTTATGGGATAGGGTTACTAGCCTCACTCCCAACCCTTTCTCTCTACCGGGCTTACTACCAGCTAAGCCAGGTAAAGGACTGAGTCTGGTATAGGTCAACCACCAGACCACTTGTGTGGTTAGCCACAGTGTTCTAACATTGAACCACCAACGCACCATCTGTAATAGTATAAGAGATTCTTTGATTGGACACTAGTAACTAGTGCGATGTGTCGAGTCCTTTCTTTGGTGCAGACTGAATTCTATGAGTCAGGTTTGCAATGTGGCTACCATTCACTTCCTGCCGATTACCTCCAACCATCTAATATCATCAAATCAATGTGAACCGCGATGGCAAGCCACCTGGAATGGTGGCCACATTGCAAACCTGACTGATAGAATTCAGTCTACATCAAAAAAAGGACTCGATACATCGCACTAGTTACTAGTGTACAATCAGAGTATCCACTACAATCCTAAAGGAGGTCAATCGCGAGCCCAAATAGCTCAGTGGTAGTGTCTCTGACTGCAACACTGGGTGACGCAGGTTCAAATCTCTGAAGAGACATGAGTTCCTTCAAGTTTGCATACACACCTTGCTGACTGGGAGTGCCAACTAGCACAAAACCTAAGTCGAAGGCTTTCTGCCGATTGCCTCCAACCATCTAGTAGAAGAGATTATTAAACAAAACTTTTAGCTGAGTAAATCACATAGAACATCCTTGAAATATTTAATACAACTTTCAAGTTTACTTATCTAATACTGAGTAAAAGCATATTCACATTAAATGTCAGTATTAAACAAAAAGAAGTGCCAATAGTGGAGAAATAAGTTTATTTACGACTGCTTAATTCATCTGTAAGGTGGAATCACGTTTGCGATTCAAAAATTATACATTTCAAGGTTAAAAATTCACCAGTCTCATTTGGAAACCTAATATATTCAAATTGTAATATATGATCTCGCTTATGCTGTGAATGACAATCAAGAAAGCAAGCTTGATTGCAAACTGCGATTCTTATTCTATGTAATACAAGTCAGCATAAGTAGATAGTCAGAATTTAAGGGGTGGTTTGAACTGATTTCATCCTCTGAAATGGATTAAACTAAGTAACTCCATTGATGTTCTCGGCCTCAAACAATTGACTGTCTGGTTTCAACACAGCACTTTGCACAGATGTGCGGCAGTTCGAGTCACCACTCTCCCTCCATGTAGCACACAAAGCAAGAGAAGAGAGTAAAGACAGGTCGAAAAGAGAGATAATAAACACAAGTGTGAGTGAGGGAAAAAGAATAGTAATATGGAAGAATAATCACAAAGACTGAATGCATCTGTGCCAGCCATTGAGAACGATCACTTTGAGCCATATTACCACCAGTCTCCAGCCTTCATTGGTTCTTATTATCCACAGGACCCCTACAAAGAAACCAGTCTATACTACCCGACGTGGCTGGCTGGCTTAAACTAACTGTTGTGGATTTCATTGAATCGTGAAGCCATGTTTTCGTTTGACAACAGCTAGTTCTTTCCCAACCTGATCCATCCTATGTCAGCTAACATCATCCGTCGAGGGAGGGCGATGGTTAGACGTACTTAACACATGTCCTGACCATCTCAATCCATGTAACTTCACAACCTCGTCGATTGATTATCCCTCCTTACCTAACATTCAACGCCTAACGCGGGAGATAGAACGCAGACACCTATGATCAAAGACAAATAGTTAGCCTTTTCATGTCTTCCACTTTCAATGGCCATGTCTCGCTCATAGCCATAAAGAAGGACGAAGCGAACTGCTAATCCTTTGGTTGACAGCTGGATATCATCTCAAACGATCACTTCAATATGGATAGGAAGTACTACTTAGTTAATGTGAGTGAGTGCTTTCCAACAGCTGATGTCGATCAATAATAGTATTCACTACCTGTAAAATGATTCCACAATACTAATTAGTAAAATATCATATCGTAAAGGAAAATGAAATCTGATAAATAAATAAACCAGGCTAACTTGAATGTTAAACTTAAATGTTATCTGTCAAAAGTCAATTTTACGACTAGACTACTAATGTCTTCATTTATTATCGATGATGGAAACAATGTAAGGTGCACTTGAGACAGTTCTCTGTTTATCCTGTATTTATGCATTCTATGAAGAGGGAACTGTTAGAATGTTATATGATATATACATATATATACAGACAGAGATTTACTGCACAAATTAACACGAACGCGAACCTGACACAAACTAGTAGAAGAGTTTATTTAAGGAAAGAAAGAGAGAAAATGATACCCGAGTACCAAAAAAGTGCAGTCCCAAAGAATTATTTGTACTGGCATATATATATATATATTGCGTAACAGTAACTTGGCTATAAGATACACAAAAGCTGAAGAACAAAATGAATACCACTCTAGCATTTATTGACATTTTTTCAATAAATAGTAATCAATCTGACATTTATCTCGTCTTAATCAAAGCATAAAAGAGTAGTATGAAAGTCATATAGCCACGTAAAAACATCAAGAAGTACAACTTCTTATCGGAGAACGCCTACAATCATACAACTAACTGGTTGCCTCAGACATTCTACCCTATCTATAGAAATGTAGTAGGTGTTAGTTAATCTTACAAACTGGGAACAGAAGCAAAAACATAACATTCCACGAGATTATTTTTTTTATAGGATGAATAAATACCAGGTTAGACAGAGAATCACCCTCACATGTACCCTGCAGTGTTTCCATCATTAATGGATAATTAAGATAATAGTTTATTTGTATAAAAAAGGGACTTTTGACAGATCACGTTTAATTTAACAATCAAATTAGTCTGGCTTATTTGTTTATTGCATTTAGTCCTTTTTTTGAATAAAACTTAATTTTTAATAGAAAGCACTTTTTACGAGTTGATCACAGATTGATATCAGTTAGAGAACCACTGAACAGCTGTTTCGTCCTAGCTTGGGAATCATCGGCAGTAGGCACCCAATGGGATTCGAACCCGGCACCTTCAGGTTACAAGGCAAGCTCGTAAACCATCCAGCCACTAGGACCCGATTCAATGGCTCATGAATTCTAACTTCTACCTACTCGTGATTTAGCATGACCCCAACCAGCGTCGTTGGTGGGACATCAAGAAAGCACTTTATCGATATCGTGTGGAATCATTTTAGAAGCAGAGTATACTACTGATCGATTGTTTGATCGATATGAGTAGTTGGGAGCCACTCACATCAACCAGTAGTATTTCGCTAGCCAGATCAACTTGATCCCAACACCAGATAGTTGTTTTGCCCATTTGACTGAAGCCAAGCATATCAGTGGAGTGCTCAGTTTGACTCAGTTCAGAGAGGTAAATCAGTTCAAATCACCTAAAAACCAGTTAGTTAGTTAATTGGTTATGCCAACTGGTATTAAACAGAATCATATTACCAACTTGCAGTTATACTTGCTTTTTTGATTTTTTTTCTTCATTTAAAGGATCAAACATAATATGAATGGAATGTTTCGAGTCTCCAAAACAAAACTGCGGTGAAGTTTCACCTCGAAATGTGTCAGAATTAGGTTCATTTAGATGCTGAATCACAGTGATGTCAGATAACAAGACAGGATAAAACAACTATGACTCAGTGTTTAGTCAATTCTATCAGTAGAACATATTTATTTAATATATTTGCTTTTATGTATATGTAAAAATTATATTTGTGTGTATCTGAGTGAAAATGAATTAAATAATACTAACGTTTCATTCGGCTAACTAATCCGAACTTTATTTAATTTTGTATTTCCCATTGATTGTTTATATTGGATCAAAATGTTCTAACCATGTTGACATGTTGGCTCTTAATACAGACACGCTTCGACGACGCCTGAGGACTAATGTCATGTTCCATGATGGTCCAAGTGGCCTAGTGGATAACTCATTGGCGTTTCAAACGATGGACCTATATACACCCGACACCACAAAACTATTTAGGCTTATCCGGGAAACAGATGGTAAAAGGCAACTGATAAATGAAACAATCTCTGAGAAAAATGACACCATAATTAGCCCCCAGGATAGAGGACTAGAATCTTGGAAAGAACACTTTGAGAAGTAATTCAAATGGCCTACAGCCACGTTCAACCTGCCGAACATCCAACACCTTACTGAATGGGATATAGACACAGATCTTCGTCCCTAACTGAGGTTACTAAGGCTGTCACTAGTCTGAAACGAGGCAAAGCAGCAGGATCTGATGGAATGACTCCAGAGGTGTTTAAGGATGGCGGAGACAGTTTACTGTCTGCATTAACTAAGGTATTAGGCAGCGTCTGGGAATCAGAGGAAGTCCCGTCGGGTTGGTGTAAGTCATTGATTATACCGGTAAACAAGAAGGGAGAAAAGTCTTCCTCTGATAATCACAGGAGGATTAGCTTGACTAATACGATATCTAACGTTCTAGGCTCAATAATCATGAGTAGACTAAGTGGTGCTTAGAAGATCAGGAAAAGGGTGTATTGACCACATCTTCACCCTTCGACAGATTCTGGAACATAGGTATACTTACCGGAGCACAACAATCGTCATATTTCTTGACCTAAAGGCGGCATTCGATTCCGCAGACAAAGAGGTACTCTGGCGATGTTTTGCCGAGAAAATATATTGCACTGATTAAGGTACTCTGCTTGACGTCATGCAGGTAGGTGAGAGCTTACGGCGGGTTGTCATCTGAAGTGGTGACAACTAGTGGTGTCCATCAGAGATGCACACCATCCCCATTTCTATTCAATTTCATCATAGATGTACTAATCGACTCAACCCTAACTCAATTCAGGGACTCAAGCGCTGACTTATTACCAGGGAATAATAGTTTCGTTGACATACAATATGCAGATGATGTAGTCCCGTCTCCTAGGTGGAGACGCTGACAAAAAGCAGAGTGTTCTGAACACCTTGAGCTGCAATCTTCGAATGTTTGGCATGGGACTCGCTTCCGCCAAATGTAAGATGATACTAAAGGACTGGATTACATTGACTCCTAGCTTAGAAATAGGGAATGAAGTGATAGAGCGTGTTGACCACTTCACTTATTTGGGAAGTTGCATCAGCCAGTGCCAACGGGTTGATCACTGACGAAATTTCAGCACTGATACATATGGATAGTTTCGCATATGCCAGTTTATGCCGCCTCTGGCAAAGATGTGATATCCGACTGACCATCGACTAAACGGTGTGAGTACTGCTTCGCAGCGGTTCACTCCGTCCTCCTTTATGGCTGGCTGTGAGAAATGACCATCGAGGATAGGCATCGGTCGAGTGCTAGGTAAGGAGGGGGTAATCAATAGACGAGACTGTGAAGTTACATCGATTGAGATGGTTATAACATGTGTTACACATGTCTAGCCATTGCCTTCCTCAACGGACGATGTTAGCTGACAAAGGGTCACGCTGGAAAATAGCTAGTGGTAGTCAAACCAAAACATGGCCTCATCAGTCAATGAAACCCCCAATGGCTAGTTTAAGCCACGTAGGGAGGTGTATACTGGCTTCATTTTTGGGGTCTTCGGGATGGTAAAACCAATGAGGGCTGGAGACAGGTGGTGATATGGATCAAAGTGATCGTTTTCAATGGCTGGCGCAGATGCATCCACCCCTTGTGAATTATAATATCCAATAAAACTATATTGTTCTTCCATATAACTATTCCTTTTACCTCACATTTCTGTTTATTATCTATTTTACTTTCTTCTCTTGCTTTGTGTGCTAAGTAAAGTGTGGCAACTCGAAATGCTGCACATCGGTGCAGTCAGTCATACCCGACTGACGGGTCCCGAAGAGAACGAAATGCACATCCTGCATTCCACTGCTATTCACCATCCCCATCAAATAACACAACGATCCGAACTACTTCAGGGAGACAACTGAAGTTTCACTCAGAATTATACAAATATAATTTTCTAATATTTGTGGAAGTATTCCGTCAAATCCTGTTCGGAATTCATGCAAAGTGTTCCCACGCTTTTAAAAGACTGAAACTCAGAATAAAAAACATCATGTAAAGAAAGAAGCAGAATAAGTTTTTAAAAAAAGAAACTGATTACTTACCGAAGTAGACTTAACAGGCTTAAACATGATTCGTGTAAATAATGTCTACCGTCTTCGAAACCAGATAAACCACTTCTGTTGCTGCTATTCACTTCTTCTGTTTGCATATTATTACAATGAATATCAACCAATTGACGACTACACTCAATAAGATTGGCAATACTTTTAGCTACAGTCTGACCACTTGTTAATACAGGCGCTTGAAGCTAAATTAATTGAAAATTCCATTAAAAAAAAATCAATGTATAAGTGGAAAAAAACAATAGGTGGGAATTATTAGGTCAAATACACAATAATTTACAGCCAACACTCGAATGTAGGTAGGTACATGGAAAAGCCTTTTTGATATGGAATGAAAATGTTTCTTCTAATAGTTCAAAACAAGATTATTTCCCATAGAATGGTTAATTTACTGCGGCAACATTTCCCCACCCACCCCGGTCACCTTATTTTGAGTTCATCATTCCATTAATACAAAGCATGAAAGTCAAGTTTTGGTCAGCAGTCTACTGAAACACTTTTTATTGCTTGACAGAGTTTCCTAATGAATGAGGATGCTCATTCTCATCAAATATGAAGTTAACATTTGGATGCCCCCTTGCATCTCGGTGTGATGGCATAGCCCCAAAACACAAAATGAGCTCAATAATTAGTTTCCTCTAAAATTAATTGGTAGTAGTGAGTGAGTGCTACTTACAATCAGATAAAAGTAGTATATCAGTAAAGGAATTCAGAAAAGTAACAGTACGTTTTGAGCACTGGAAATAAAAGCAATCGAAGACGAGAACTGTAAGAAGAACGTTACAACACTGTGCAAAATCCAACAAGCCATCGAATATGGTGATTTTCGACCAATTTGTAAGTGATGTGCAAATAACTTCTTTGAAGTCAATAACAAAAGAATAATGAAGGCTGTCCAAATATGATCCATCCTGATAGTTTAATTTTTTTAAATGATCTGTATAATTAACTGAATTACTAACAGAAGCTTTCTTTAGCAAAATACTTCAAAGTTCTTCGCAAACAAATACATTGATCCTATAGAAAATTTCAAACAAGGCAGTATTAACAGAAACTATTCATACAAAGAAAAGTCGAAATGAAATAGTCTCAACTCATCAAATACATACAAATTCATACGATAGTTTATGAATCCCATCTGTTGACTGCGGAAGCGTGTAAACCAACTCAACACAACAGATGAAGTAATTTTTGGAGATGCGTTCGTATAAGGATCTGACAGTCAGCTACGGATCACCACAGGTTAAGTCAGGATGTTTAGGTTTTTTTGGTCACTCTTTCCTAATTCTCTTCTCTCCAGAGCGGGAAAGACAGCATAGCTGGCTTGCTGCTGTTACAAGCAACCCGTCGAATATCTAACATAGTGTAAGAGGATTACACTATGATGATAGCTGCTTTTAGTCTAACCGCTATTCAAAGAACTTTTCTGTCACGATAGGACCTACGGGAGCATTCCTTTCCGCCAGTGCAGTTCATTTAGTCATGCCGATATGTGTCAAGGTAGCAAGAAAAAAACTAGATACAACAGGTTGGGTGTGGCGACAAATACTCGCCACCGATGACATTTCTTAGTAGTCGGGCCATATCATGAATTAGCAGAAGTTGGAATTCTTGGACTGGCCATTGGATCGGGTCCCAGTGACTTAATGGTCTACGAGCTCGCCTTGTAACCAGAAGGTCCGGGGTTCGAACCCTGGCGGTGGGTGCATACTCCTGAAGAGTCCCAAACATGGTTTGCAATGATCCTCTAAACAATGTCAGCTCATGATTAAATCCTGTAAAAAAGACTGCTTGTTAAGAATCTTCTCAATTTTCAGAATCGACTATACAGTTTATCTATATTCAGGTTACACCTTTATGTTTTTTTCAAGTGAATCCTCATGCATTCACGTATTTGCGAATCAGTTCTCACCGACATTTAGAAAAAATTGAATTCTCAGTCGAAGAGACTGATAGAATAAGTATAGAATCCTTATAATGAATACATGTTCCTGGCAATACATCCATCTGAATCTTCGTATATTGATGATAACACTGATAATAAAACTAGCATGCATTCTAGTAATACTCCCTATAGAAAGACTTACAACAACAAAAACAAAAAGAAGCATGATTTAGGGAAAAAGACACATTGTTATATAAATCATAATCAGTAGTAGGAGTAGGAGTAGTAGTTGCCTACCTCATACGCTTCTTCAGCTAAATGCGCCGGTGAGCCAGCAGTATCACGAAGTAAAACATCTATATACTGGTCAACATCAGCTTCTAAGGTAGACGCAGATGTTGTCAGCTTTTGAACTAGATCAGTTGTACCAGATACTGGATTTGTACTACGTGATGTTTTAATGACGGTGAATACAGCAGCAGCAGATCTTGCGACATGTTCTAACAGCTGAGAATACAACATATAGAAAAGTGAAATAGTCAACATTTTCATTAAAAATCGTTTAATTATACACAATTTATTTAAAACAATTAGTTCCCTTTATGAAGCAATGAGAAGACGTTCAGAAGACAATCTGTTCAGTACTCTCGGGTTTTCCAATGGTTCTCTAACTGATTTCAGCTCATGACTAATCCAGTAACCAATCAAATCCCTGCAAACCAACACTTGACGATCAGAAAAAACAAAAAAAATTGTGCAAAGAATATCCTTTTCAATAATTTCCTCTTCTGGCTCAACAATTATATATAAATGTAAGTTTATATACATAGAATATTCTAGAATAATCATCATTAACAATATTGGTGTTTTTAAATACTATCGATTTGTTAAGTAAGGTCACTGGAATTGCAGTTCACGAAAGATGCATCAATTATAATAAGCATAAAAATATAACAGTAAATAGAATATCAAATAAAATTAAGGAAATTCCCACAACAAATTAAGGATTATTAAAGCCTTGATGGCCAAATTAAGGACAATTTCTGAACCAACCAACCTCTTCTTTTGGATACATAAGTTAGGTTTCTTAATGTGGATCCCGACAGTCTCAACAATATGTAGTAGATGAACTCTTAAGGTATATTTAAGATTAGTTGGTATGCCGTAGATGACTTTGAAAGCCTCGTTAACATGAATCTTGTGTTCTGTATCCACAAGATGAGATAGAAAAGCTCTATAACTGGATTTTGTTTGTCCTTTACTTAACCACCATGCAGGGTGATGTCCGGAAATCCAACAAGAAACACGCCTATTTGTACGGCCTATGTAACTGGCTCCACAGAAGCAGTCAAATTGGTGGATACAAATAGAAGAGGCGAAATTAGGCAGTTTATCTTTTACTCCCGAACGCAAAAGAGGAGTAGTTTTGAAGACACAGCGTAATTCAACAGCAGGGAATGCTCTTTTTATCGCATTCCTAAGGCGTTGTGTTAATATCTCGCTGATGTTATCCCCGAGGAACTGAAGTTGTAAGAATAAGGTCTTTTTCAGAACTGTTGGTGCCTTGGCATGTCTTGATTTTTGATTCATATTCTTATCGATGAATTTTCCTGGATAACCGTTCTCACTCAGCAACTGTTTAATAATATTAAGCTTGACAATTATTCAGTGTTATCGAATTCATGGGTGATGAAATTTATGTTACAGAAAGGCGTGTGTATGCCGGCTAAAATACAAACAAATAAATATTCTCCTTGGCCTTAGATTTATCAGATTATCATTCTCTTAATCATCCTTGGGTTCCGTGTGGAACACAGGGCTTCAAGTTTTGAAGCCCCAGTAGCGGATTTGTGGTTGGTAACCTGACAATCAAGCTTCCGTCTCTTTTCTGGGCTTACTACCGGCTAGTGATGAGTGAACTAGGCGAGGTTTAGGAATGCCTCAGCCGGCAACTGAACCTGTACATTTCACGTGGCTGGAGAGAATTCTACTACTAGGAAATAAGGGAGGAGATTTATAGTTCAGGTGGATACAGTTGGTATTGTTGTATTCTTCCTTAGATGAGGAATTTAATCGCAAAGCTTACATTGTCCTTCTAGACCACACCTCTTCACTGTTAAGTTTACTGAAACCATGTAACTCGGAGAACGCGACATTACAAAATACTGCAATCATAATCAGCCTTGTTTCGTTTCTCTATAATTAAATGTTACCACCATTAGCCTTATTTACACGAGACTAGTTTTTGGTATCTCTATATGATGATGAGAAGAAAATGGATATACACGACATGTGGTAAGACACACACGGATAGCACCACCATACACATATATATCAGTCAAATAGTCAGCGAGAGAGAGAGATAGAGAGAGTAGAGTGGAAAGTAGAGATAGGAACAAGTGAATAACACTTGTCAAAGTGTATCATAAAATTATGCACTGATAGAAACAAATATGCACGGTTCATAGATGGAGAGATATAAGTTGATGCTTTACTGGAATGATTCAATCATAAGGTGAAATAACAAAAAAAGCAAGCAAACAAACAAACCAAAGTAACCTGGACATCATCAAGTGTACGACAAACCAGACAGGTAATTTTAGATATATGCAAAATTATATTAATGACAAAATAATAATTTACTCTGAAGGATAGATGTTGTTTTTGCAGAAACAGTCGTTTCTTCACGATAAACAGAAGAATTATATATTGGAAGTTGTTTGTTTTTTTCTCATTCCTTGCGTTCTGAGTGGAATATACGGCTTCAGATTTGATGCCTTGAAGTTCCAGTAGAGGTGGTGCCGTTTTTTTTTACAGAGGTGGGGTTGTTAGCCCTACAAACAATCTTCCCTCTCTTCCGAGCTGCTTGCTACCGACTAGGTGTGATGTTGTGAGTCAGCTGGAAGTCGAACCGCTGAACCACCGAAGCATTTTATGTAGGAATGACAACTGATAACTAATAGGATATCTAGCCTATTCTTCAGTGACGAACAACTACTGTCTAGTCCACGTGTTGTTATTGATATCAGATAGGAGTAGTAAATAGCCTGAAAACTTTGCTACTCAGACTGCTATCTTTCCCTTAAAAATGCACACTAGTCAACTTCAACCTGTCTTTCCAAGTTTTATTCATGTAGTTATGTTCACTGAACTGGATGTCTTAACTGGGAAGCTCTCATTGTCTTTCCAGACGACATGCTTAGCGTTGACTTCAAAGATGAGATGAACTTTTAGAATGACTGATGATGCTATAGCATACGGTCAGTCTGATATTTGTCTACAATCTATCTCATTAGACTGTTAGTCAGATAAAGACAAATCACATGTTGTCACATGATGGGAGTCAACCAATCAGGATCCAGAATGCAGTTAACGCCTACTCTATTCGAACCTTATAACTGGATCAATATATGCCATATATTTTTGTAATCTTGGTCACTTTTTCTCTCGCTTGTTTTGGAATGACGCGTTTCCGATCCTACTGTGTTAAGCTTCTGGATTCGACCTAGTTTGGGTGAGGGAGTAACTGACCAAGCGTTTCTTTGCTAAATTAGCATTCGTACTCACACTCAGCGACATCATAACACAAACCCTAACAACGACGCTAATTGTAACGACAGAATCCGTTCGTATGGTCACGTAAGGATATAAAGTAACATATTATCTAGGTATCTAATATAAAATTGTGAACTGGAAACATTTTTATGAAGTACTTATTTGGGTGGCCTCAGAGTTCTTGCTGGTATCTGTGACAGTAAGTGTTGCTACATAATCATATCGAAGCCTCAAGCTTCAGTACTAAACATATAAAATTGCATCTAAATGGCTTCATGCTAGTACATGTTATCTACAACATCGGAAATCCTTTGATTTTAATTGTGTCATAGAGATGCTCATTCAAATTGGTGTATCTACAGGTATCATTTATAAGCACTCTTAAGAATTCTTCAGTTTTTGATTAGTCATCCTATTCAAAGTGTGACTAACCTACCTAGAACAACCAATTTCTTAAAGCTCAATTACAGATTTTTCATGTATCAAGTTAACAGCCACATTTATCGTGTGAGGGCTGATTGTATTACCCAGTTGCCCATTCAGAAGTAGGTGTATTTCGACTCGAATCTGTGACCCATCGACTGAAAGTGACCAATTAATAATGAGGGATTCATCTTTCGAATTAAGCAAGGAAAGTCGTAACAAAAATGTCAAGTTAACGGTTAGGTGATAAGTATACACTTGGGAAAAGACACTTACATCAGCTAGACGTCGTTTTTCACATACATTTCTGATTTCAGATAAATACGGTCGAGTAGTTTGACATAGTTGTGTTGCTCTTTGTGCCACATGATTAGCTGTGTTTAAAATCTAATTTTAAAAAAAAGAATAAAAAGGATTAATATACCACAAAAAGTAACTGGTAATCACTTTTAAGATGAAAAAACCTACAAAATTGTGCTGATTTGTAAATATTCTTACTTGATCATTTATCAGACTGAATGGTGAACAGAAAGAATATTCTTTTCGACAACTTCATCAGGTTATACAGTTATATGACCATAATAATTAAAGAAATATTGGATTTCATTATGAGGTGAAATCGGTTAGAGAACCATTGGAAAAGTTGCAGGGAGAACTAAACAACTGTTTCTTCCTAGCTTGGGACTCTTCATCAGTACGCACCCATAACCAGGGTCCGAACTCACGACCCTCAAGTTATAAGGCGAGCTCATAGACCATTAAGTCAATGGGACCCAATCCAATGGTCAGCCCATGAATTCCAACTTCTGCCAATTCATGATATGGCACGACTACTAGGGAATGTCATCCGTGGCGAGTATTTGTCCTCACACCCGACCTGCTCTACCCCACTGGTCACGATTTCTCACTAGAACCCAGGTAACTACCTACCTGAATAGGGCCATTCTCTAGTGAGCATCAGACTGATATTCAAGTGTTGGTTTGCAGGGTGCATACTGATGAAAAGTCCCAAACTGGGACGAAACAGATTCCCAGTACTCCCAGGTTTTCCAAAGGTTCTCTCTCTAACCGATGTCAGCTCATGATGAAGTCCTGTAACCAATCAAATGCCTGCAAACTAACACTTGAATAAAGAATTATTGTTACTAACAGGATACAAGTTTTAAATTACACTGAGTCATTAATATCGATAAATTACAGTTTGAAAGCATCTGTAAGTGATGTTATAGCATTAAAATGTAATATTAAAATGAATATCGCATAAATTAAGAGAAAGAATACAGAATTTATAAATTGATAGGTTCCACAGAAGGCCAGAGGGAGTCGCAATAGTGGCTAGACCTGTTTCTTTTGCACCAAACACAGTTCCGACTGTGTTTGAGCGAATTGCAATTGCCTCTGCTGGTTTAGAGTGTTGCGCGTATCTACACGCTCTTGGCAATTTATTAGGCATTCAATGGATGATAGAAAAAGACTCTTCAATGCTGCCAGCTGTGTGATGTGTTTGGACGAGGTGATCGAATATCCGAATTGTTGATGGTTTTAACTACGCCTTTATTTAGACACACTGGTAGATGTTCCCTCTCATAAAAAATTAAGATATTAGATCAACGGTCAATATAGGCCGGCGCCATAGGAGCAGTTGAAATGATAGAGACAATGAGTCATTCGAGGTTAGCTAATTCGGTTTCCAGCCTAGTAAATACAGGTGCACGTGATGATGGCCTACTTCATTAGTCTAGTTCTAGTAGTTGTTCCCACCATTCTGCTAATCAATTTCTAGCTTCACTTTTGTTATTGTTGTACGCTTGAGTTCTCCTGATCAATACATAAACACTAGTACTATATTACTGTCTGTCTGATTATTAGTCTGAGTTTCGATTATTGTGATAATATACAAATAACTGTTGCAATCCTACTTGTTCTTTTGTGAACCGCTACTTACAAGTTGCGGTTAGTACTTGGTGCGGAAATTACTTCCTGGAAAAAACGGTACAGAGATATGTAAAAACGGATGTTGTGATTAGCAGATATTGAAAGTTAAAACAGCTCCTAATAGTAACAGGTAAAAGTACTTTTGTGTCACACTTTAATGTTAAACAGTGTCACTCAATGAAGTGGAGGGCGATGAGTCACATAACTACACTCTATACAGGGCTGCTCACACTGAAGTATGCTATTAACTAGGTTTTAAAACTCATATTTAGTGACCGGAAGTCAAGTAAGTAAATCATCAATAAGACATATCAGTACATAATTACTACTTATTCATTAGATAAACTTTCCGGCAAAGTTAAACTATCATAGCCCCAAAACCACAATGACCTTGAACAACCAATCAGAATTCAGATGCAAAAAAGTCGCATTACTGTCGAAAAATACACTAAAATACATTGCAAACTTAACATTATACTTTATAGCTGTAGCTTATGTGATGTAAGAACGTCTCCCAGTTAATACATAGATGATCTAGAGAGAAATCATACCATGCAGAATATATGCATTCATCCAGGTGACTGTAGGTCATGGCACTTTGAGATTCATTGATATTTCTGATACTATTCTTCAACCTACTCCTAACTCCAACCATAATCCCAACTCCTAAACCTAACCGTAGACCTTAAACCTTAATCTTAAAAGCCAGCCATAAGCCTACCTAACATAATAGATTCACAGAAAAAGTAGCTAGTAAATAAGTGGAATACTGTATCTACCCTATCCAGGTCCAAAAACACAGGCATGATTTGATTTGGAATGACATTTCATAGCATTCCCTGTATCTGATTGGTTCTTGAAGGTCAACTTGTGGAAGACCTTGACTTTGGCTATCATACTTTAACTTCGCCAACTTTCCTTTCTTTACCATGTTACTTAAATTGGGCTATTGAAGCATGGCGGTAAAATGAATAAATGAAGTCTAGTGTGCAACGCTTGACAGAATTCTGCTGTTTACACAACAGGTGGAATTGACACAGAAATAATGCAATGACTTTCACTGTTTTGATCAGTGGGAAAAAAACAGGTGCACTTTATCATATGTACAAGGGAAATTAATAAAAACAAAGTTATTACAAAACAAACTTGCCGCGCTTTCGTCTCGATATACCTGAATAGGTTAAGCGAAGGCGGTCAATTACAGTTTGAATTTCCACAGGTAGAGTTGGTCTTTCTTTAAGTGTTTAGAAAAACGCGGTATTCATATCAGATTGGAGGAAAGGTTACCTTGTGAAACTACCAAAGAAGGGCGACTTAAGACTCTGCAAGAACTTGCGAGGAATCATGCTCCTGTCGACGCCAAGTAAAATTCTGAGTCGCATCATCCTGGAGAGAATAAAGGACGCACTGGATGCAGAATTCCGACCAGAACAAGCTGGATTCAGGAAAGGCAAATCATGTTCTGACCAAATTGCAACTTTACACATCATCATCGAACAAAGCATGGAATGGCAATCAAATCTCTACCTCAACTTCATAGACTTTGAGAAGGCCTTCGACAGCGTTGACCGCGAAGTAATTTGGAAACTACTCGAGTACTACGGCGTACCCCGAATATTCATCAACTGGTCGAAGAAGTAGCAAAGACAGGACTGCAGGTGAACATAGACAAGACGGAGGTTATGAAAATAACCAACCAACAACAACAACAACAGCAACATCCAGCGCCAATCACCATCAACAGAAGGAATTTGAAAGAGATTACTTCATTCACTTATCTAGGGAGCATTGTCTCAACTACAGGAGGAACGGACGACGATGTCAAATCGAGAATCGGGAAGGCGAGAAACACATTCATCAATCTGAAACCAATCTGGAAATCTTCGTCACTCAGCATCAACAACAAAATTCGGATTTTCAATACAGACGTCAAGTCAGTCAGTTCTTCTATACGGATCAGAAACTTGGCGGGTAACCAAGAATATTTTCAACAAGTTGCAGACCTTTATCAACAACTGTCTTCGTTCTATACTCAAGATCAGATGGCCGGAAAGAATCACCAACAAGAAACTATGGGAACAAACAAACGAGACAAGAGATGGATTGGACACTCCCTGAGGAGGCCGTTGGGTGACATCGCGCGTCAGGCCATAGCTCGAGTGGAACCCGAAAGGGAAGCGGCGAGTGGGACGTCCAAGGGTGACATGGAGGAGATCGTGTGAAGAAGAGTTGAAACAGTATGGACTAACATTGATGCAGGTGAAAAGTACAGCAGAAGACAGAAACAAGTGGAGACGTGCGGTTGAAGCCCTATGTTCTACTAGGAACCCAAGGGAAAAATAATAATAAAAAAAACTTAATCGTGGGGTGAACATTATTACAAAACAAACTTGTCGCGCTTTCGTCTCAACATACCTGAATAGGTTAAACGAAGGCGGTCAATTACAGTTTGAATTTTCACAGGTAGAGTTGGTCTTTCTTTGCGTGTTTAAAGGAACGCGGCATTCATATAAGATGTTACATGTTTCACTTTTGTAGAAGTGCTTAATCAACTGCGTATTTTTTTACTCAGATGGTATATCTGCTGTGGTGTTTGCTACAGTAGGCGCGAAAACACCTGGCGATAGCTTTTATCCTCACGGTTAATTGTGACATTTACATAAGTGAGTGATATACTTATCCCGTTAACCACAAAAAGTCTCAACAGACATTGCTGAATGCAATAAACAGTTGTGTACGGTAAGCTAGAAATAATCATGATATTCTTCCATAAACTCAACGTCTATTGATCTCAGTAGTGTGAAGAGCTACATAAATTCTAACTACACATATGGCATCTTTTCGAAAAAATTGATATAAGAATAGTATTTGGGCATTATCATCAAAGAGTACGTTTATTTGATGAAAGCACACAGTGTTACACAGTATTATTTACTGATTACGTTTCAAGCACAATTTTATTGCTCATCATCATAACAAGGTAGTCACACAACTTTCCTACTTCGTTTATAAAATCCCATTATTACTCATCTCTTGATTTGACTGGGATTAGTGATGAGCCATTCCTATTGAATGTCTTGGATGTAGATTTGATGAACAAAGATTCAGTAATCAACCTTTCTCTTCATCTATCTCTATTGCTTAATATAAACGAAGTCGGAAAGTTGTGTGAGTACCCTGATGAGATTATGAGCAATAAACTGCGCTCGATACGTCATCATCAATGCATAACACTGAAACTTTATCAAATAAATTTACCTTTCTTAAAAGCCTATTCCACTTAATACTGTGATGTAAGCAGTTGAAATGTCAATATAAACAGATACAAGCTTTTACAATACTAATGTTATGCTTGTGTATTCAGTAATGTAAACTTCTAGGGTTTAGTGGAAAAGGGTATATAGTAGAGATTATATTTCACCCAGTGTATATATATATATATATATATATATATATATAGGGTAAACAGTGGCAAATGTAACATTAAGTTAATGAGATTTTTATAGCATATGGATTAAAGCGATTGATTAACAAGCCAGTGGTGCTTGCTTATCGTTGTAACATAGTAATCCTAACCTCTGCCTACCATATATGTTATGTTTCTGATTCTAGCAGTCAGTGATACAGGTTCAAGTCCAACACCGAATACAACTATCCTCGCGACTGAGCCTACATCTTAATGATGATCTATCCGTAGGTAGGAAACCTAATCATGAAAGAAATTGATTCCTGACATTTAACACTGTAACCCCTATTCAAAAGCATAGCTTATCCCATCTTATCATCTGAAACGACAAGGAATAACTTGTGCCGAGTAGATAAAGACTTGAATTTTCAACACATCTATGTGGTTCAGAGGCTTGGAGTGTTTGTAACAGCATTTCTAACAGACTACAGACATTCATCAACAGATGCCCTCACTCGATTCTAAAGATTAGCTGGCTGACCGAGAATGATGAGTAACAAAGAACTCTGGGGCAGACAGCAAACCAAACAAGAACCTCCCACTAACCAACAAATATGCAGGAAAAAAATGGAAATAGATTTGACATCAAACGCGAGGCTCTCGATTTGAACTCGAATTGGAAGCAACATGTTTGACGTCCGAAGGTGACATGAAAGAGGTCATGTACCGAGGAGACGAAATCTTGTAGGCAGTCATGGAGTCAGTTGAAAGTGGTAGCACAGAACAGAGTAAAATGGAGAATATGCTGCTGAAGCCATATATTCCACTAGGAACGCAAGGAAGGAATAATAATCAATAATAAGATAGTAGTAAAGTGGTTCGACACACAATGACGCTTGCTCCTCCAAATGGACAGCTATGCAAACAACTAGTAAAGTTTCATTGATATTACCTATCTAGACGTAAAGCCTATTTTTTTTCCTTCACGTTCCCCAGTGGAACATAGGGATTCAAGCTAGTGGCTTGAAGTTTCTGTAGCAGTGTTTATTTACAGGATGGGGTTGCTAGCTCATGCCCAACATTTCCTCTTCACCAGCATTATTTCTGACTTAGCGAAGTAAAGGAGTGCGTCGCGGGGGCGAACCCCGGACCATGTGCATGGTCGGCGAGCTCCTACACTATGCACCGACCACAAAGCCTATTTGCAAGTGATGAAATCATAATTTACAAAACTAGAAAGACAAATACCGAAAGAGTACCTTTGAAAAAATGTTCAATTTGAAATTTATTTTGTTTGCAAGAAAAAAAAGAAGTTTACTTACTTCTAAAGATGGTAATCCATTAGATGATGCTTCAACATGAGATCTAGATATTTCACTAACACCTTGACGAATAGCTGCTACATGATCATGTATAATAGTTAACTGATCCGATGAAGTAAATCGACTCACATGACCTGGTCTTGAAGCTGGATGAGCTGCAGCTATCAAATAAGCAGCTTGATATGTTACTTGTACTAATTGATTAGCAACTTGAGCTAAGCCTTTAATAGATTGTATAAATAAGGCAGCTTCATTGTCAGATATAGATGATGGAATCACATCTAAGTGTCCATTGAACTCCTACACAGATAAACAAAAGAAGTAAAAAAAAGAAGAATGTATACATAGTATTCACATGGTGCGATGTATAGAATACTGAACACCAGCATTAAACGGTATGAACAGTATTCCATTCTAGACTTTCACAGGTGTCGGACTCTTTTGTCAATTGATTCTGTGTGAATCATATTTAAAGGATGATAAGTGGGTATCTCGCATGAAGTCAACAACGTTTGTAGAAAGAAGACAAAAATACGGATTTTCCAATGCACGTATATTCTAAGATGAATTTGTGTTGTGTCGGTGGCACAGTGGTTAGGACTCTCACCGACCATGCACATGGTCCGGGGTTCGATCCCCTGCCGGCGCACACCCGATATATATGGTCGGCCTGAATTTGGGCTACCGATATCCATGCTGAGAATTCCACACTTGTACTGAAAATACGGTGTGGAATCAAGCTGTAAATCAAAATTTAAAAAAAAACAAGGTTTTCAGAAGCATGCTACCACAGTGATTAGCATTACACATTCAGAATAAGCGAAAATCCATATTCACTTTCTCTCATAAGCATTTCTACTTTATTATTATGCTTTTAAGCTTGGTTTTGGTTAATTGCTTTTTGCTTGTCAGGGTAATATTACATTTCCGGTTGGAAAAATAGTTATCATTGAAGAATCATGTCATACAGCATTCATTGTGAGTTGTCTTCATAATTTGGACTTTATTGATTGATGTGCCCTCCAAGGAAAGTTTTTTCTCCCTTAATTTGAAATGATACATGGAAAATGTGGGCTGATAATGACGAAGAATTTCATTGGTGATAGAGTGCTTTACAAAATTTACATCAAATCGCTACGATTAAATCAAGCAACAATTTAAAGGTAACCAGATTTTCCAATTGACAGCGTATAATTCCCTTTACACAGCTTCTCCTTACTTAAACGAATGTGAATAATTCATGTGAGATGTGATCAAGATTTGACCGAATAGTTCAAAAACAATTGGGCGCCGAGTGAGAAGTAGACATATGTAAAATTATATTTCTAAAATCTCAGCGGAAGTGAAATGAGTAATTCCAACGTTTCGCTCGGCAAACTGGTCAGAATATCTTCAGAAAGCCGACACATTCGGAAAGATTCCTAGACTAGACTTTTCAGCACACCCCTTTACCACCAAAGTAACTATGGCCAAGAATCTGATTAACAGAACCAAATGTCTATTTAATGAGGTGGAAGAGATCAGCAAGGAACTAAAATTGGCTCAGTCCACTCTAGAATCAAATAATTATCACAAAGCCTTTGTAAAAAGATATTTAAAATGTGAAGATAAGGATGAATCGAAACCTGTTGCTAAGAATTTGGTGATACCTTACCGCAAAGAAAAACATCGGATGAAAAAAAAGCGAGTCCTTAACAGTCATGACATAAGATTGTATTTTCGTGCAACGGACACCTTACGCTCATCACTGGTGAAGGTTAAGGTTAAAATAGAAGACAACCAACAGAACTGTGTGTACCAGATCAATTGTGGGGATTGTGACGCCGTATATGTAGCAGAACCTTCCAGACAGGTAAATGTAAGAGTGAAGGAGCACAAACAATGTCTAAAGGTGGTTCCAAGACCTCTGCACACTTAAAGAAGCTAGAAAACAGATCAGAGACTGCACTGCACTGGATAGAAACGGGACACAAGATAGACTCTGATGGGACTAAGGTTCTACAGAAAGGTTTTGGTTCGTATAAAGAAAGACTGACTGCGGAAGCCCTACATATATGGGTGAATCCCAACAGTTTGAACAGACGTGAAGGTGTGGTGTTAGTTGATGCATGGCAAGTCCTGATTAATAAATAAAAATGGATATGTATCACTAATTAATCATACTTAATCTAAATTCCCGATTGTCTATATCTTCTTATGGAGAGGCTACCAAATGATTTACAATTGTTTTCCCCATACACACATGAACACACGCACATCATTGTATACCCATATCACATATATATTTTTCATATTCAGTCATCTACGACCATGAACTTTAGTCGAACGTAATCACTAAAAATCTGATTAAAACAGTAAGTCTGAGGTCAAATTTTGATCGCAGTTCATACAATTTTCATTACTATATTTCGATTCCTGTTTCATGACTCATATGATTGGACAAAGTTTTTAAAAACAAAAGAGATGTCCTTTTCATATATAATCCTCTGTTATTTTAATTTCGATTAATTTCCGTGAAGAAGTTCGGACCAGTTTGCCTAACGAAACGTTGGAATTACTCATTTCAATTCCGCTGAGATTTTACAAATATAATTTTTACGAATGTGAATAATCTATATGATATTTTATTTGATATAATTCTGTACCGATTCTATGAAGGATGACATGAAGACTTCGATACATACATTACATTCTGCATTACTTCATTGAATACATTAAACTGTATATATATATATATTTGCTGTGAACATAATAAGAGTATATTTTGGTTGATGGTGACTAGCAGCACAATCGAGGATGAGCATTTCGTCCAATTTGGGACTCATCATCTGGATATGCCTGCATTCCCAGTGAGTGATGGCGCCATCACTCACTGGGACTCGAACCCAGTACCCATCGTTTCAAACTCTAAGGCATTAGTCACTGGGCTGCAGCAGCCACGACAGACACCTCTTGTGTGCAATGGGTATCAGTTACTGTTTGTTTTCAAGTTAATTAAGCATTTCCCGTAGATTGATTCTGTTGGATTATTTAGTCAGTCAATAACCAACAGAAATAACTCCTCAGACATTGGTCGAAGCCTCCGGTACTAGGAACCAACATGTCAACAGAGATCGATCAATGAGAAATGCAAAATTATCCTGAAAACATGTGGTAAAAGCATGTTCGAACCCTATCGTGTAATTTATATAATTTGGTATTGTTTAGGTTGAAAGGTTCTGAAAGAAATTCACAAAATAATCAAAACAAGTTCATGTTATCCTGGGACATTTGTTGTTCTTGCTTTCTTGAATTTTAACAATGACAGGGGAATTGTATGAAATCATAGAAACCAAACAAATTTCAAATACTTTATACCATTGTAGTATAAATTCATTGAGACAACGAAAATACTTCCCTCTGTTGACAGCCTAATAGAAAATAAACTACATAGAGAGATTTTTTCAAGCGTTTTGGTTGGAAGGATTAGACTGACTTCAAGGGATACATCCATAATGCCATCCAGGGATAGAATTCAGGACCCTCGTTGGCTATTCAGCCACGAGCTTTAACTTCAATAACCCTTGGACTTTTATCAATTCGCGATATGGTGCCACTACCAATCCAAGCCATCGGCAAGTATCTGTCCTGAAACCTGATTTGGTGGACCCTATCGGTCATTAGAAGTCAACACAATCCCTCCTGTAGTCAATCACAAATGCGCAGTGGATTAATTTTAAAGTATTTAGGTCGTGTATTGGATTTACTCGATTCATTACGAACCAACAGAACTATTAACATGAGAACATATAACGAAGCTGACTAGACAATTATTTTTTTAATGAAAAAAACTATTAGCCAATAGACATTATCGAATTAACATTAATTAATGGTCAGTAGTTATAGAGAGTAAAAATGTACAGCAATCTTACCTTGTCTATATCACAGACCATATCACAACACTGTGGATAATTCAAATCATTGATTGGCAAGAGGATAGGACAAAATGTACAATCAGCACCTGTTGACTGGTCAGTTTTACCGCTTAACTTCTCTCTATCATCATTGTATACATTTGGATTCATTATAGCATCCAGTCGACGAAGTGATATATCACACTGGTTACGCATATGCATAAATATCTCAGATAATTTATTATCCTCCTCGTGATTATTATTATTATCTTGGTCAACGGATGGATGAACAGATTGTTGAGAGTCGACATGAGATGCAAATGTTTTCTCTCTTAATCCCAAGGCTTTTTGATCCAATTCAATTGCCCAATCTCTTAGTTTTCTAAAATAAGATAGAATGATGAAAAATAAAATATTTGCTCAAACTGTAATCAGTCGAATCTCGACGACAATTACAAACTAATGTCAATCCACTGTTAATTAATGAGTAATATATAAAAAAATACATTTAATAGTAGGGTACATTTATTAAGCGAGAACCTATTGCTCAACAAGCATGCCGAAGAAAATGGAGATTGGTCGGACACACTCTCAGGACACCTTGAAGTGACATCGTGCACCAGGCAATACCCTCGAGTGGAACCCAAATGGGAAACGACGAGTTGAGCGTGGGTGTGACATGACAGAGGAGATGAAATATGGCAGTCGTGGGGCCAGCTGAAGAGGACTGCAGATAACAGGATGAAATGGAGGTGTGATGTTGAAGCCCCATGTTCAATCGGAATAATAATATACTGGTCAGGTCTAATATGGTCAGTTAACGAAAATAAGTGGATCTGTGAAACATACACTATAGGGTTCTGACTCCATATTTGATTGACAACCTGTTCCCGAAGTGATTAGATACTACTTGACTTGATCCATTACCACACTCTTGGGTGCGAATTTTCGAGTATCTCGAAACTAAGACAAAATATCACTTTCGTTTCCATTTGTTCTTAAATTAGTGATACTTTGTGATCAAAACTACTTTCAATGCTAATAACCGTGGCGTTTAGGCACTCAACACAAACTTAACAATGTATCTTGAAAAAAAACATCATCAGCGGTAAAAAATAAAGTCTCATGGATAATATTCATTAACTCGATGAATGTGTAAAAAGGAGAGGATATTGAGTTTTCAATTTTTCACGGTTTTCATCAAAATGATGAATAACTTTCAAGTCTCCGTTTGCAGCGAGTTGATTAGTTTCAAGTGAAACCACGAACTGACTTCAATTAGAGAATCATTGAAAACCAAAGATTACTGAGCAACTTTTTCGTCCTAGTTAAGAATTCTTCAGCAGTACGCATCCATGACCCCATCAGTGATCGATCTCAAGAACTTCAGGTCATGAGGCGACCTCATTGATTATTGATCAAAAGAAGGGAATCTTATGGATTTTAACCTCTGACAATTTGAAATACCAGCCGAGGTCATCGGCGAGTATTTGTAATATATTCAGTTTCGTAATAATGAAAAGCAGATTCAACCAATTAAGTGGAATTGTATGCTACCTACAAGTGTGTTGTGCTCATACTAACTGTCCACCTTTTTTTAAAGAATATCTCAAAAGATTATTATTTAAAATGAAGCAGATATGAAAATGCACTGAATAAAGAGATTTACATGACTAAGACAATGGAAGTTTACAAAACAATAACCTAATGAGTATCTATATAAACCATAAGTTATGATAATTTCGACTTCTTTTTTCATCCCTTGAGTTTCAAGTGGAACATAACACTGCACGCGCTTTTTGAAGTTTCAGTAGAGGTGGTATTTTTTACGCAGTGAGATTGTCAGTCTCACACCTAACTTCCTATCTCTTACGGGCTTACTACTCTCTAGGCAAGGTATAAGAATGTAACGGCCTGAATTTAAACTGTGATTTCGCACATGGCAAACGAGGATTCTTCCAGTGAACCACCGACGAAATGTTAATCACGATGGCTCGTCGCCATACATCAGCGTCAATTTTAAATTTATTACTTTGTCGGAAACAAAAAAACCCGAACCATTAAAGTAACTGTAAGTTCCTCTATGCACAGGTATGGTATCTGGAAGACTAACTGTAGGAACTTTGAACAGTATTAAAATGAATAAAGTTACTGAATTTCCAGCTTTCATATCCACGAACCCATACCAAGATGAAAATTATAAATTAACTTGATATAAGTTAACATTTGATAGATTACATAATAAATGACAGTGAGAATTCGTCATTTTGTGAACTGTTCAAATATAAACAGTAGTTACATGCATACAAAAGAAATTTAGTGAAGACCCTCAGCCACAGGGTTAGAGCTATATGCTCAGAAGAAGTAACTGAAGATGGATTAAGCATTGTATACGATACTTTGATTGAAAATAGCTAGCTATCCCGACAAATTTATCAAGAAACACATGACAAAGAAAGCGGAAAAGGACTACTCACTGTCTGTAAACAAGAAGCCATTTTATATACGACTACAAATCATGGGCGATATACCAAGTGAGACAATTACGAGGAAATTAAGAAAATCAGTTCAAAGAACTTTTCATGCTGGCGAACTACATGTATTACTCTCTACACGACCGATGGTGCTACCTCGACTGAAAGATGAAGTACCTAGACTAGCCACTTCAAATGCGCTTGTGAAGCGAGCTATATTGACCATTGCTCTAGGAACTTGATTTTTCGTGCTCGAGAACATATCTCACTATGGCTAAGTAAAGGTGTAGTTAAAACCATTAACAATTCGATATTGGACCATCTGGTGCAAACCGGCCACAAAGCCAGCGTGGAAGAATCCTTCTCTATCATCTACCGGGTGCCTAATAAATTGCCAAAATCATCGAAGCACCGCATGCTCCAAACAGCAGAGGCTATTGCAATTCTCTGTGTTCAAAAGAAACAAGTCCAGCAACTACTACTACCTGGCCCTCAGTAGAAACTATTAATTCATGAATTTGTAATATTATCTTTCCAAATTTTTCTGACATTCGGCTTATTTTATGTTGATGCTATTAAACTGTAATCCATTGATATTATTGACTCAATGTTATTTAACAACATAATTGTTGTTCAGAAGACTAATTCATTCATTCACCATAATGTAGAGCCTGATGATTGAGTTATCGAAAAGAGCATTGTTTGTTCAGTATCCATTCTTTTGAGGATTTTGATTCCCTGAGTAGTGAGCACTATTTTAGAAACGTCTCAAGAATAGAAAAGTGTAATCTGTAACAAGCGCAAGCAGTGATAGCTTCTTCTGTGAGAAATCGATGCGTTAGATTCCCGGTACCCAGAGATTGGTGTTAACTTATTAGCCTGCATTTAATACGTATGTGTTTAAGTCAAAGCGTTCTTTCGAATCCATTGCCTAGTCAGCCCTGCTAAATGACAATTATCGATTCAGTGATGTGCAGGATAACGTATCATCAATGTCCATATCTAGTAGACAAGGTCTGTGTGTGTTGGTGGTGCAATAGCAGAATCCTCAACAACTACGAACATGGCTTGGGTTCGATACCCGGCCAACTCACTCCTCAACCTCGCTTAGCCGGGGTAGTAAACTTGGCAAAGGGAGAGGGATGGGTGTGGGGCTAGCAACCCTATTCCGTAGAAAAAAGCCCAGCGATTAGCGAAACTTTACACGGCTCAAGCTTGAAACCCTATGTTCCACACGGAACGCAAAGGGAATGGAGAAAAAGAAGTCAAGGCATCCATTGGAGAAGAGCCATAAAGCATGAGCTTGGTGTAAAAATCGTTTTTTTCTTCTTATAGTCCCTAATCTTCCGATTCTGTTTGTCCATCATCCAAAAATTAAACAACAACAAGAATTCCAAATAAATAAATAAATAAACTACAGACACATGAAAGAACAGGAAAAGAGACTTACAGTATTGACTTTCCAAGTGTTAAATTCGATGATGGTATACCAGACAGATTATTAACCTTCGTATCATTTTGATTCGAGTCTAAAGTGTGCATTGCATGTTGTAAGTTGACAGCGACAGGTTCAGCAGCTTGATTAAAATTAGCTAACAAATGACCAATTGAACGCATTTGTGCACTACGATAACCAGCAGCACGAACAACATCAGCTAATGCACTAGTCAATCGGTCGGCTATACAAGCCAATAAGGTAAGATTACTATGTGAACCGAATGAATCAGTTTTTGATGGTTTCATTTGTCCAGAAACTTCATAACTAGCACTTAAACATGCCTAAAAATTGGGAGAGGACAAATAGTAGGCAGAAGAAATAAGACTTACACATGATTAAAACAAATACAAGGTAAACATTTGTATAAGACAACGAATGTATCAGTTGAGAAAAAAACACTGCACAGCATGCATACTAGTATAATTGTCTCGACACAACACACTGAAGCTGATTAAATAGGGAATAACTGTGAAACAACGTCATTTAGCTTCTGTTTTATGGTTCGCATAAAAAGTAGTGATCTGGTATTGTTAAAAACTTAATCGTTCATTCCATTAGCGTGAATAAACCAGGGGGTTGCACAAAATATTTAGAATGGAGATACGAGCTACAAGTACCCTTGTTTCACAGGTATCAACTGCTATGAATACTAAAACCAGCCTCATCTATCAACAAGTTCCATTATCTACTAATTCAACAAGTAGATTACCCTGTTGAAAACAATACTGATTTCAAATAATATGCTTAGTATTACTTGGTCAGTAAATAGCAAGCAGTAGAATCCAGAACGCGAATTTCGTTGGATCTGAGAGTTATCACCTGGATGTACCTGCTGCCCAAAACAGCGACAGTCATCCAACTGAAACTCGAGACCAGCAACCATCATTTCAAACGTCAAAGTATTGTCGAAACATCCGTACTAGTAACTGACACGTCAACAGCAAGTGGCCACGGAGAATCCCAACTAACTACAACGAATAACAACTGATACATCCAAAAGGACGAAACATAGGTTTTGGATTTCACTGCTAACTAGCTAGCTAGCCACCACCAACCAAGTGACATCGTTTTTATCTCAACGTATCATCGAAGTGTCCATACCAGGAGCCGATATGTCGACAGAAGCCAGGCATTTCAGTTCAGTATAATTAATCAACGACAAAATTGAAATTAACTTAAATAAATTTACTTGGTAAGTAACAATAGTTGCTTTTTCAATATTATCCGAAAACAAACGTTTACAATTTAGTTCTTGTTAAGTCGTTGTTGTGCAATACAAACCAAGATAGATGAGCTATCTGTGTTGTTTTTGTATTCCATTCCACTAACAAAGCGATGGGATAATCAAAACAAGTGGAATTGCGGCTTTTCAAAACACTGGACTTAGATACTTAACAAAAATACGAACTAATTTGACGTGTACTTAGTCTTCTTAGAAATGAAATACCAAGTCGTTTTTGGATATGCAAAGGAGTTTATCGCTTCAGCATATTTTAGTATGCACACATGACAGCTTTTTTTCTATAAATCGAATTCACAGATTGCAAATTAGTTCGCAGTTTTCACAGTTCGAAGGGATTATTTCAAGATAGTTTCCGGTGAAAGCCAAGATTATTCAGAACACAACATATGATCTGCTTGATACTATCAATGGAAATCAAGAAAGCAGGCGCAAATGCGTCACGCAAAATACTACTGATTCATTGAGATGAGTAGCTGGATACCACTGACATCAACCAGTAGTGTTTTCCTAGGCAAATCGAAGTGATCTAAACACCGGACGGCAGTTTCGCTCGTTTGGGGCTGAGCTCTGTTCGACTCAGTTCAAACCCGCCGAATCCTGGCTAGCTACTTGCATTTATGTTTGCTTTCTTCATTACCATTGATGGCATCAGGAAAATCATATATTGTGATCTGACTAGTTTCGGCTTCCAAATGAAACTATGGTGAAATATTCACCTTGAACTGTGAAAATTGTAAATTAATTTGCGGATTGTAAATTCAATTTACGGTGTCACCAGTTCGCTCAAGTAGCTAGCCTGAATCCCAGTGGTTTGAACTGACTCGGCTCTCTGACTTGTATCAAACCGGGTACATCGCTGATGAGCTCGGGCATAAACGAGCGAAACAGCCGTCCAGTGTTTATATCACTTCAATCTAACTGGCAAGGAAGCACTACTGGTTGATGTGAGTGGTATCCAACTACTCATCTCAATCAATCAGTAGTATATAGAGCGATGCGCTTTCTCTGTAAAATTGTTTTATGTTATAGATGAAATAGACGCTAGTCTGGCACCCATACTTACCAAAGTTTGAAAACCTTATTGTTTTCCAAGCAGATGAGTGGTTGGAGTTTTCGAAATGTACTAGGTAAGCATATAAAATATTTTAAGATAAACTTCGTCTTCTAGTAACGTATGTGGTTGTCGTCTGGGTGGCCGGAGTAGATTACTGACTCTCCAGTTGACAATTTGGATAATCCACATCCGTTCTATCTGCTTTCGCAGATACCCAGCACTTCGATGCCATATCTTCGCATTTCGTTGGCTACTTAGGCAGCCTTCCCAGTCGTACATTGTACGGACATTCCACGTCCCCATTCTTATTCTTGCTTTCATCGAGAGAAGACACATCGACTAGCTGACTGGCTTCCCGGAGGGTTTCACCAGCCCGCGTCATTTAGCCTCTCCGATTCCAGAGAAGAATATGATCGTTCTTTGAATTTTTGTATTTTTAATATATTTTCTGTGTGTTGAAGTTTCTCTAGCGGTTTGATAGGTTTAGTGGTGTAGGGTTGCTAGCCCTACGCCCAACCCTCCCTCTTTACCCGGGCTTGGGACCGGCTAGAAAACTAGCAAGCTAGTTAACTAGGCGACGAGTGGGTCGTCCTAGAGTGACATGGAGGAGATCGTGAGAGGAAGAGATGAGAGAGTTTAGGTAATCGTGGACTCAGTTGAAGAGGACGGCAGAATATAGGACAAAGTGGAGATGTGTTGTTGAAGCCCTATGTTCCACTTGGAACTCAAGGGAATAATAATAATCGTCTAGTAACGTAAAACACACATTTCAATATCAGTAAATTGAGTACTTTCTTAATTTTTTTCAGGAGAGAGAAGTCTGCTGATAAAGCTCTACACAGTTGGTTATACTTGTGACAATACTTCACTCTTAGCAGGATTCTTAGCGAATTCATAGGCTCGTTTTTGATCAAAAGTCAATTTTCACAACTTGACGATATCTATAGAAGTATCAGTAAACAGAGAGAGAATTAATTATATTGGTGTGCTTGTACTCTGTGAGGTGGATAGACTAATTGCGAAACTATCATTGTCTTTCTAGAAAACATCTTCAACAATAACTCCAAGATGAAGTGAGCTTTCAGAATCCTCATGAGTGTTATAATCATCTCTCTTGATAAAATTAAACTCAGGTGTCAGTGGCTCAATAGTAGAATGCTCGGAAACCACAAGCTTGGCCTGGGTTCGATTCCCGTTCAATGTACTCTTAAACACCAACCTAATTTACTAGCCGATAGTAAACGCAGAGAAGGGATAAGGTTGGAAATGAGAAGAGCAACCCCGCCGCTACTGGAATTCCAGAGCCTGAAGCCGTATGTTCCACTCGGAATACAAGGAGTGAGGATACGCAAGTCTAAAGAAATTTCTGAATATCGTATTGTTCAAAGATTCTTAGTACTAATTCATAATTGAATGACAACAATTACAAGTTTATAACAGAAAACAAACAGGACCAATACAAATTCGTGCAGGCAATGTTTACTTACACGAGCAAGTTGTTTAGCAGCTTCACTCATTTGTTCATAAATATCCACAACTGGTAGATTTGATGAACGCATAGGAACAGCTGGTGGTGTGTCAGGCATAACATTTTGTTCAGTATGATTACGATGAATATTTCCTGACTCTGAAGCTTCATTAATAGACACTTCTACTATTCTAGAAGCATCTCGAAGTAGGGCGAATAAACGTCGTATTGTTACCTCTCCAGGTATATAACCCAATACAGCATTTATTGATGTGTTCAGCTGGAAAGTTAACGATAAGAAATAAACATTAATCAAAATTAGAATCCACTTTGTTTAAATAAAATAATAAAACTCTTAAAAGTTTTTGCATTTTGGTACCATAGAACAGTAAACTAAATAATATATGTCTAACTGACTGGTTTCAACGTAGAACTTTGCAGAGATATGTAGCAGTTCGAGTTGCCACTCTCCCTCCATGTAGCACACAAAGCAAGAGAAGAGAGTAAAGATACATTCAAAAGAAAGAGATAATAAACAGAAGTGTAAGTGAGGGAAGTAGAATACTAATATAGAAGAACAATAGAATTTTGTTGGATATGATAAATCACAAAGAGTGAATGCATCTGCACCAGCCATTGAGAACAACTTTCAGCCATCCATAACGCCAATTTTCCCCAGCCAGTGGTTTTTACCATCCCAAGGACCCCGACCACGCAGCCAGTCTACACCTCCCGATGTGGTGGCTGGCTTAAACTAACTGCTGTGGATTTATTTCATTGACTGTTGAAGCCATGTTTTCGTTCGACCACCGCTAGTTCTTTTCCAACTTAACCCTATGTCAGCAGCTAACATTGTCCGTCGAGGAAAGCGGTAGCTGGGCATACCTAACACATATCCTAAACATTTCAATCGGTGTAACTTTAAAACCTCGTCCATTGACTTCCTCTCCTTACCTAGCACTCGACCGATGCCTCACTCTATAATACCAATTCACACGGGAGATAGAACGCAGAAACCTATGATCAAAGACAGCTAACTGGCCTTTTCATGTCTTCCACTTTCAATGGCGACATCTCGCTCACAGTCATAGAGGAGGACAAGCGAAATGATGAGCAGTACACACGCCGTTTGATCGACAACCAGCCGGATATGACGTCTACTAAGCTAGAGATGACTTAATTTGATGAATGCCAAAATAGTCTTCTGTGTCAGTACTGAGATTTCGTCAACGATCAACCCACTGGCATTGGCTGATGCAACTTTCCAAATAAGTGAATTGGCCAACACGTTCAGCCACCACTTTACTCACTCCCTATCTTCAACCTAGGATTAGTCGATGTAGTCCATTCCTGTAACATCATCTTACATTTGACGGGAGCGAATCGCATGCCAAACATTCGAAGATTGCAGCTCAATGTGCTCATAAGACTCTGTCCTATTTTGTCAGTCTTCACCTAGAAGGACTATATCATCTGCATATTCTAAGTCAACGAAATTATGCCTTGGTAACAATTCAATCCCTGAGTCATTGGAGTCAGTTAGGATTAAGTTCATTAGTATATCTATGATGAAATTAAACAGAAATGGGGATAGTAAGCATCCCCGAAGGACACCACTGGTTGTCAGCACTTCAGATGACAACTCTCCATAGGCTCTTACCTGGCTGGATTCATTAGTTCAAGTAGAGTGCCTTGATCAGTGCGATGTATTTTCTCGGAAACCAAACCAAATAATATATGGGTAAAAAAACCTACAAAATCCCCTTTAAGTTATTCATAGAAAAAACCTTATATCATCATCATCATTGCTTGTCAGACCGAAAGAACTGAGCACTTCAGTCATGTGTGCCTGTTTCAAACATATAGTACACCTGTTCCTGTCGACAAGACCACTCGGAGAATTAAACACAAAGAAAAAACAATAAATAATTCAACATGGATTTAAAATGCAGTTTATTCCTATTAGATTTGAAATTTTGCCAGACTAAATCATAACTAGCGGATGTAACAAGAAGAGAAGTTGGGTGACAAGCGGAATCGGAAGGAGGTGAAAAGAAAGTAGAAAGAGGTAGAGTCATGGCAAGCAGTGATGATTCAAATTCTTCCTGATATTTGAAGTCTGACACTTTTTAGTGAAACATACCGCGTAATGTTACGTCTTACTCAAACACATAAGAAATTAGGCATGAAGCGAAGAAGACATCTTTACTCAAAACCATTGGAACCAAATTTTCTAAGAATATATAATTTTATGTCAGAAGGTTGATTGACTACTATAAGATTTATGAGTGCGGAAAGAAGCAGTCATCAGTCTCTCCTGGCCCAGAAACTCAGTGTCTTTTCTTTTTCAAAAGAATGGTTACTGAACAAGGAATATTCTTTTCAATAACTTCGTCATCAGGTTCTACAGTTATATATACATAATAGTCAATGAATCAGTGTTATTAATGACACTAATGTTTAAATAACATCGAAGCTAGACTAGCCACTTCTAACTGTATCTACCAATTCAACTGCACTTATGGAGCGAGTTATATTGGCCGTTGCTCTAGGAACTTGATTTTTCGTGCTCACGAACATCTACCTGTATGGTGTAGTGAGAAGCATCAACAGCTCGATATTAGAACACGTAGTCCAAACTGGCCACAAAGCTAACATTGAAGAGTCCTCCGGGTACCAAACAAATTACAAAAACATCCATGTACCGCATACTCCAAACAGCAGAGGCTATCGCGATTCACCTGAAGTAACCGGTGCTCCATGTACAGAAGAAGCAAGTCCAGCCACTACTACTGCCCTGGACTTCAGTAGAGACTATAAATGCATGAATCTGTATTATTATTTTTCCTAATTTTTCTGATATTCAGTGCATTGTTTTGTTGATGCTATCGAACTGTAATCCACTGACTATTATGTATATATAACTGTAGAATCTGATGATGAAGTTATCGAAAACAATATTCTTTGTATAGTAACCATTCTTTTCTTTTCATTTGATTCAGTAGTCTTTGGCTTTAAACTCTTCCCCTTGCTATAATACAATTTCGCTTGTTTTTCGTTTTTATGATTTGAGCTGAACTCACCACATTGTTACTCAACTTATTAGTTACTCATCATCTTATCGACCTCTTTATTACACAACTCCATTTACACTGTTTCCAAACAATTATTACTTTTTTGGTTTGGTTTTGTTTAAACTTGAACCTTATAAAGTGATATAAGTGTAGTTTCTGAACACTGTTTATTATTTTTGGAGTCTTCTGTTAACTGACAACATGCCACCTTTCCAAATACGTTAAAAATTTACGTTGTACGCAGTTGATGGGAAGCTAACGAAATAAATGATGTTACTCCATGTTATTCTGCATAAACTGTTGTTTTTACTTCATTAAATTCGCAAAGGGAGATAAGTGGATGAAACATCAGAACTCAGTTTATCAGGACTGGTTGTTTTTAAACTCTGACCTACAACAATTCCAAGGCAACACGGCAGCTATGTATGCCAACTTTACGAACTAATAGAATATTCTTACATAATATGCTGAAGTAATAGCTTTATTCTCTAGACAAATACCAAAGCAATAGTATGAAGCATTACTGACAATTTTTCACATAATCCTAAGAATTTCTCATCTGACAGCTGGGTATTGACTACACCCATTTCTTTTCAACAAGAAAGCGTGTTTTTTTTCAACCTTCCACATGAGGAAATGACACACAAACTAAGTGTTCCCAGTAAATGAAAATCACAAGTCCTTAAAAATTCGAGTCCAAAACTCACAGATTAAATAGACAGTGTGATTGTAATCATTATATAAAAAGCTCATTTTCCAAGTCGAGTTTAAACTATGCACCTTCGCTCAGTAGCCTAATAGATAACCATCAAGTCTCAATGGACAAGTGGACAGTATCATTAGCTCAAAGCCTGGTACACAAAAAATCTGTTCACAGTAAGTGAATTCTTAGTGGAATCACCATTTTCAAGTGCTGGTTTGCAGCGATTTGACTGGTTTAAAGTCCCATCACGACCTGACTTCATTTTGAGAACCACTGTAAACCAGAGAGTACTGGATGGCCATTTCGTTCTTGCTTGGGATTCTTCAGCAGTACACACCCATGATCCCACCTGCAGGCGACTGAACCCAGGATCTCCAGATTAAAAGATGAGCTCTTTGACCATTCAACTGAAGTTAGTTATTCACTAACCTTGAAATCAATCAATTCAACACTTGAGAATTAATCTAATGCCCACTAGTGACTGACAGTGGGACGACATTGTCTGAAGTCATGACCAATGCGGTTCATCAAGTTGATTTAGAGGAATAACATTGGCTGGTAGTCACGGTATATATTGCAAAATGGCAGAAGTTAGAATTCATGGGCCATTGGATTTGTTTCCAGTGCCTGAATGCTCAACAAGCTCGTCTTGTAGCCTGAATGCTCCTGCCTTTTTTTGAAGGTGTGTACTTCTGAAGAGTGTAACAGATATCCAGTACCCCTGATTTTCAATGGTTCTCTGATTGAAGTCAGTTCAGGATCACTCTCTTGAAATCACACTTATTCACCGAGATAAACTTACATCCAACTGAAGAGTCTCAAACAGGACAGAAACGGCGTCGTGGATTTAACCGCTAGTAGTTATCAGTATGTAAAAAACAAAACCATATTTGAAATAAATTACCATTATTAACACCTCTGTATGAATAACATCAAATAAATAAATAAACACATAAATACAAATTACAACTACATACAATCCATGTTATTCCTATCTTCTATTATTACTAGAAACAGACATATACTATCAATATCCTATAAGTAGTACATACAACTAATTATCAGATATGATCTAATTTCACCTATTATAAAAGCATAACTAGATTTAACCTGATCAATGTGTACCACATGCATGTAGAGTTGGAGTGGATTAAAGACAAAATAAACAACGCTAAAAAAGCAGGTATACGCATACACCATATCTGTTGTATAATTGAAGACAACTTTATCAATAATATAAACATTGTAATTACACACTACATAAATTATGTTTTAATTAGCGTTATTCTTCTTATTTTTCTACTCTCTTTTCTATATATATTCGCATTAATTTGAAAGATAACTTACACACAATCAATCGTATAACCTAATTGTATACTGTGTCATAACAATTTTCTTATATTTATTTATCATGATTAATATAAACAGTTATAATACACAGGCATGTTTAACACGATTTGTTGTCATTTTTCGGAGATATGTACAACATGATAACAAATACACCACATCACTATTATAATACTTCCAATGATGATGATGAGAGAACTTATCCTAGAAATGAAAGGAATGAATCTACTGAAATAGGTGAAAATAAGTAATCAGTAATCACGATGACAGGTTTGAGCATGACACTAAAGCATATGACATATTCGATAGCATCAATGTAAATACCACTGGTGATTATAAACACCACTCAGCATGTAGTCTGGGTTCGATTCCCGGCTGATCCACACACCTGAGCGCGTCTAATTTGTCAGCCAGTAGTCGTAAGCTTGGGAAGTGCGTCGGTGGCACAGCGGTGGGATGCTCGCCGACCACGCCTCATGTGGTCCGGGGTTCGATCCCCGGCCGACGCACTCCTTTACCTCGCTAAGCCAGTAATAAGACTGGTAAAGAGGGAAGGTCGGGCATGAGGCTAACAACCCCACCCGTAAAAATCAACACCACTGCTACCGAAACTTCAAGCCTCTAGCTTGAAGCCCTATGTTCCATTGGGAACGTAAAGGAATAAAAAATAAAAGATAGGAAATTAAAAATAAATAATACTGTTTCACTGTGTGATATATCAATAAACAATAAATAAAAATAATAATAAAAAAAGCTTGGGAAAAGAGGGAATGCTGAGCCTGAAGTGAGAGCACAACTCAACCGCTACTGAAAAACCAAAGCTTGAAGCTTTTCTCTTCTCCACAATTATAAAAAGCAAATAAATGAATGAAAACAAAAATATTGATTACCTGATCAGCTACAACTGCAGCCTCTTGTAATTCATCATCAGTTAGGCTGTGTGAATGATTTTTCAATGCCCATGTAATAAATTGACCTGAAGCCATTAAACAGGTTTCAGCGATAGACATCAGATTCTGATGCATGACATCTGCTGTAATTTGAGTTTGTTGTTCACCAGTGGGCATGCTGGAATTATGATCTATGACATTTGAACAACCTGATATACTACTGTGTCGTTTTGATGCAACACCATGTGAAACATTTATCACTCGAGCTAAATCTATCCAAAAAACAAAAAAAGTAATAAAGAATGATAAAACAGATAGAAAAGTGAACTTGAACAAAGCAAGAGGATAAATAGATAGGAAGAGTTTTATGCAAAGCATGTTCAACCCAAGGTTGACAAATGGAAGGATATATATTACACAAACGTTCTACAGAGGCTTTGGAGTTAAAACCAACTGAATTTATTGATCATTTGAGAAATATTCCCAATTCAGAGCCTACAGGTCGAACAGATGAATTACTTCTTCAGAAGAAAGGTGAACTCTTGAAGGAAAAAGTTGCCTAGAGTCCTGATGAGAAGTCGTGACCAGTGGGGTCCACCCGGTCGGGGGTGAGGATAAATACTCGCCAATGATACTGGCTGGTAATCATGCTAAAATCACGAAATGGGTCATTGAGTCGGGTCTCACTGGCTGAATGGTCTGCGACCTTTCCTTGTAGCTGGAAGGTCCTGGGTTAAAACCCCAGTGGATGAGTACTGATGATGAGTCCCAAACTAGGACGAAACAGCTGTCTAGTATTCCCAACTGGTTTTATCAATGATTCTGTAACTGATATCAATCCGTGGTCAGAAGTGAAACTTTTGAAGAGTTCTGTTGAAGGTAGTGAAACGGATTAATTAGATCTGGATAGTTTGATCGCACTGCAAGACAGAGTTTTGAATGAATTATCAACAGAAATCGATGACTATTTAATTCGGAATTCGGGAATGATTCTTATAATGATGCACAAAAGTTGTATCATACAAATGATGATGAGAATGCATCAGTCTGTCCTCTATGCCAAAATGATTATTTATAGTTGTCAGGATCAGTTCTTACCGGTTCTTCGTGTAACTTAGATTTGGATACTCAGACTGATAGTCTCAATCTGTCAACTATTGGTAATAGTTTACCTGTTATTGTTAATATCATCAGATCCTCTGGTTCCTTTTATTTTGTGAACATGCTTACCTCTTATTGTTATGCCTAAAAGACTTCATGATACTTCTTTTAGATTGATAAAGCTTATTTAATAGAATTGCATAGGCTGAATTTTTGTCAATTTTGTGCTCCATGTCCACTAGGTGTGCCAGTATGGAACTTCTGATTGACTTTACGACTCCTTTATCTAACCACGTTGGACAATGCTCCAGAAGGCGACGGTGGGCTTGCCGAGTCGTTCTACCTATGTAACTGTCTCCACATGAACAGGTAAATTTATAAATGCACACTGAAGTGGCCAGACTCGGTAGCTTATCCTTCACCTGCGTTGGAATTGTACAACGGGTGGTGAACTTTAAACACAATGTTGTGGAAAAGCATGTTTTAGCTATTATTTTTCGAAGTTTCAACGCCAGCGAATCAGTTGCTGCATTTCCTTCAAACGGTAAAGTCATATAAATACGTCAATCAGAAGTTCCATGCTGGCATACTCCCTAGGTTGGTACATCTTTGGTTACTAAGCATAGCTGAGGCAGTTGCCATAATGCTTTTTCAACTCAATCGCTGTGTTCAGAAGAATTTTGTTCAATCTCTTTGCCTCTCCCTTGGCCTTCACCCCCAATCTAAAAAAGCTTATTATTATTTTTTCTTCAATGAAGGTTTAAAATCTTGTTCTGTTTTTGTGGTTGTCTTCATTCAACCAATATTTAACTTGTATTATCATTACTACTAGTACTACCATAACTGCTGTTATTATTGTCACAGTGGAATGAAACAGGTATGTACAATTTGTGTACATGTTCAAAAAGTCTGTTCATAGAACTAGCCATATATAGTTGGTGAGAAATCTTGAGACTAGATTGTCTTTTGAAAGGTAACAAAGAGAAATCAGTTGAAGGAGTTACGAATTTTTACAGACTAAGGTGGCCAGGACATGCCTAGCTACCACACTTCTAGATTAACAATGTTAGCTGATGTAGCACTAGGTAAGAAAAGATTTACAAGTGGTTAGACTGCTGATATGTGTGATTTATGCACGAAAACTCTACAGTTTGATGAAAGATTATCTGACTGGAGGCCATCAACTGCTAATGGTTAGTGTAGTTCAGAAACAAAACTGAAAGTTAATATATAACTGCTCATATATTTTCACATTTTCTTTCACCTATCTCCATATAAGCAAATATTTTTGTTTGTTGTAGTATAATAATTCTATTTACTTCCCCTTTTATTTTATGTGCTATTTCGAAGCTTCATTCCTTGAAATGATGAACTTCTGTACAGACAATATAAAGAACAAAACTAAAACGTGAAGACAAACTAACAGTCGATAACTGCACTATATAGTCATCGTGATGTGATGGATACACGATACACTCACAACGACCAGTTAAAACCTGGATGTTGGAAATACACAATTGAAACATTTAAACCGCCAAAGATTCAAGACTTTAGACAGTAATTTATACTCAGCATTCAAAAATGAATGTAGAGTCAGTGGTCCATGTTAGGATGCTTGCCAATCACAAACGTGGTCTGGGATTCGATTCCCGGACGACTTACTTCTAAACCTCGCCTAGTTTACTTAGTTCGCAGTAAGCCAGTGAAAGAGGGGAAGTTGGGTATGGAGCTATCAAACCCACCTCCTGAAGAAAAAACTGGAAGGAATGAAAAACTTCAGCGTGATTAAGTATATTCATTATTTCACATAAGCATGAATCAGGTATTAGAGAAACGAGTACTGTATTTCCTGTGTATAAAAAAGTATTTCACGATAGCGAAAAACAGAAAAACATACAAACGACTGATTATTGATTTATTAACAAACAAATAAACATTTGTATGAGTGCGTATGGTTTCCGATGTGTGTGTATGCTTCATATGTTTTGTATAGGGTCACTAGTTAATTTATGTGACCTGAAGAAAAGGTCAGGGAGAAATAGAACAACAACAACAAAGGATGATTGAAATCAAAGTAAAAAAAACAAAACAAAGGTTAATCCAAAATTGACTTACTAGAATCTACAGCTGTTGACTGGGCAACAATATTGAAATATCTAGCTAAACTACGCATACCACGTAGTACAGGTGCAAGATAGTGTAATAATTCATGAACTATATTCAATCTTGCTTGTATCATCTTTTTTCTATTGCCTTTATCAGCAGCAGCAGCAGCGGCGGCAGCATCATCATTATCATCACAGGTTTGTTTTACACGTTCAACTAATGGAGGTAATTTATGCCATAACTGTTCTAATTCATTACATGATGAGTCGATACGACTTTCATTATCCTCATCAGGTGAACCGAACACTTTATTATAATCTTTAATTGATGACCATAGTAAAACACAAATTGAATCAAGCTGAAATCCAAAATGAAAACACAATGTGTTAATGTAGTATTAGAGGCAATTTACTCATTCACTTGAAGAAATAAGTATCGTACAACCCAGCAAGTTAAAGCAAAAACTAATATACAATTGACATTTCTAAATCTAAAGATGATGTTGACCTGAAACCAACAGTAATCTAAGCTGTCCCTATCACTCAAAAACTTCATTTATATTATATTACTTTATATTATTATTGTTCCCTTGGTTTCCTAGTGGAACATAGGGCATCACCGGCACATCTCCATTTCAATATGTTCTCTCCAGTCGTCTTTTCCAGGTATCTACAGGATTGACCATAAGCTTTCATTTTCACCTCACACGATCTCCTCCATGTCACTCTTGGACCCATGTCCAACTTGTTGTTACCCATTCGGGTTTCACTCGACGGCCTGGAGTGTAATATCACCCAACGGTCTCCTCATGTATATCCAGTCTATCTTCATTCCCCTCAGCGTATTTGTTGCGCCACAGGTTTTTGGTCGGTGTGTTGTCAGGGTACCTTATTGCTAATCCTTTCTGATCAACTGATATTCAGTAACAAGAGAAGGCAGCTAATGATAAAAGTTTGCAACAGGCTGTTGGAAATGATTAGGGTGACGTGTACGCCAAGTTTCTGAATCATATAGACGCACTGACTAGTTGAACATTAGTGTTGGAAATCCCGACCTTATTCCCTACTCTGAGTGCAGCAGATCTACACACTGATTTCAGAATATTGAAGGTCTGGCTTGCTTCTTCAATCCTGTATTTGAGACATAATCATCTGCGGTGTCTGTGATTGAAACAATGTCACCTATTCAGATAAGTGAAAGAGGTGACCTGCTTTAGATCTCTTCTGTTGACTGATTATGCCGGACAGAAGTGCTTGATGTCTGTTGACATGTCGGTGTCCAGTACGAACGCTTCGACGACGTCTAAGGATGAACATGATGTTATTTCATTTTGGTTGATGACGACTAGCAGTGAAGTCCAGGAGACAAGTTTCGGTCTATTTTGAACTCGTCATCTGGATGTGCTTTCACTCTTAGTGGGTGATGGCATGCCCAATGAGACTCAAATCCTGCAGTCATCGTTTCAACCATCAGGCTACTTCGATCAGTGACCAAGTTACCACCAAGCGAAATAACATCACCATGTATAAACTAGATTTACTCAACAGTTTAATTTAACACATTGAAATCTATTTATTGTTTGAAAGGAAAATATATTACTTGTGAAATAACTTACTGTTTCATTTGGCAGTAAATGATATGAAACATCGAACAACTCTGATCTCAACTGTTCAATTGTAGCTGAAATTTTCGCCAACTCATTCGTTTGTAAATCAGTAACATGATAATCTGACTGGTCTATTCCGTTGGGCGACGTTTTCGCTCCTCCATTCATCATATGATATAACTGATCAGGTAATTCAGGTGGTTCATTACCTAGGACTGATTCAGAATTAGCATAACACAATCGAAGATCAGTTAGACAAGCCTGTGTGTTGCGTGTAACACCAGTCAGTACTGATTGAACACCGGAGTCTTGAATAGTCGGCGCGACTGCATCAGCTGATCGTAATAAGTCTTCTAAACACTGTTAGAAAGTAGAGAAATATGAAAAAGAAAAAACTCAACAAAGGCAATAAATTCTAAGTCATTATACTGACTCGGTAAGTAGAGGGTCTTTGGTTAGTGCAGTAAACGATTCAATGTATATTAAAAATCGATAGACAGAAGAAAAAACAGTGTGCGCACTTGTTGTATAGGGCAAATGAAAGCAGTATTTTGTATATTTCATTCTATAAGGTAAACAAAAGGATGAATACCGAGAAACAAGTATATGTGCAGACACACACACACACACATAAGCACGCACAAACATAGGAAATGGGAAATAGTGACCTTAAAAGTCAACCAGTCAATCAATCAATCAATTATCAGTAAAATAGATAAGTGAAAAATAAACTATACAAAAGTTTGAAATGAATGAATGAATGTCAAGAACAGGGTGATAACTGATGATAACAATGCTGATTAGGTTGTAGTATATCTTCCATAGCACCAAAATAAATCCAAGGCTAAAATGAGTAGATCTAACTGAATCAATCAATTATTAACTACATTAAACGTCTAGCCCGCCTGTGAATGCACATCCAACCAGGCTCAGACGCCACTCTGTGCTCCTTCTGTGTGCTGTCAACACACGCATACACCCAAAGTTGAGTAGATTTAAAACATACCCTAACAACGATGCTTATTGTAGGGTTTCAATGTCCATGTAATGACATAAGTAACATACCATACAAATATTTGACACTTGAATCCTTTATGAGGTATTTATTTGGACGGTTTCAGAGCTCTTGCTAATCTTCAACAGTAAATATCACTTCACAGTCATATCTAGATGCCAGGCTTCAAATGTTAGACATATACAAATGCATTTTCATGATTTTATGCTGCTATATTGAGGCCTATTGCATCAGAAATTTTTCATTTTTGTTTTTCTCCACGTGACAATCATTCAAACTGAGGTCTTTTAGCATATGCTATATGATCTCAGCCCTCAGAGTTTATAGTTCAGGGCATACTAACCAGATAGGTTCTAAAATCTTCTCATCACTAAATAACCTTAACCTTTCATTCTATTAAATATATTTTTATTTATTTATTTTGATTAGAGCTTGGTTCCACACCTTATTTTTCGTACAAGTATGGAATTTTAAGCATGTGATATCGTGTTGATATCAGGTGTGCGTCGGCAGGCGATCGAACCACGGACCATGTGCATGGTCGGCGAGAGTCCTAACCACTGTGCCACCGACGTACACACATATATATACTGCTTAGTTACAAAACATTCCTAAATAACTGAGTGTTTTTTTTATCTCTACTTTGTTAGCAGTACTTACAAGTTAGGTAGTATACTGATTGACGACTGATTGAGTAACTAGGCATATTACGCTTAGTAGGGCTGGTATAGTGTAGCGTATCAATAACACCACCAGTATCCTACAAGGTGATAAACACTAACCTATCAGTGGAGTTTTCATTTAAGACAAAACAAGCAGTTGAAAAGTATTGCGGAGAAGAATGTCGCATAGAAATGTTTAGTTAGCGAATCTCAGAGCATTCACTATTATTTCAGATATTTGAAGAAATTAACAACTTGAATGTACCTTTGATTTCCAGACGAATGAGTTTTAGTGACAAAAAAAGAGGAGTGAACCGGTTGGTTAACACCCATTCATATGATGTGAGAGCTTTTCGATTAAGGGTTATTCCGTTATTAAATCAATTAGTTTGCATGACTCAAAGCATTTTTTCCACTTAACATATATGCCACAAATTCTCCAATATCTAACCACCCTTATATAATTGACTTCCTGCTATTTTTCACAAATTTGATACACACATTACTCATCTAAGTATATACACAAATATTGTAAACGTTGATGAGTTATGGCAACTCAGAAAACCATAATTTGTACTTTTTTTCTAGGCACAGTAAGAAACATAGTCTGATTGAATTAGTTGTGTTCTCTGAGCTAGTTGATAGGGATAATATAGACATTTTAAACAAAAAAAGGAAACACCAAGAATGTCAGGGAATTTCTAGAAGCCTGGTACTCGAGGCAATCAGCAATTAACAAACGCATTAGTATACACCAAATTTATCAGCTAATGAAAAGTAAATCACATGACAAGAAAGCTCAAATTCCAAGTGAATAAAAATGATCAATAGAGATGTAAATCAACAACAAGTCATGATAATGGTTGCCAGGAGATACAATTATATCATCATTCATGGAGAATTCAAATAAGTTCATTTTATACTAAAACCTGCGCTGAAGATGTTGTCTAGAAGCGGGACGACGAAAGTTTCGCAATTAAATCAACTAGCTCAGAGAATACAACTAATTCAATATCATTTCACCTGAGCTACAAATCTCCATTATTTCAACAAAGTCTGATTACTGTTAAAATTTACGAAGAATACAAGAATATCATGCGTCGGTGGCACAACGGTAGAATGCTCGCCGACCACACCTCATGTGGTTCGGGGTTCGATCCCCGGCCGACGCACTCCTTTACCTCGCTAAGCCAGTAATAAGACTGGTAAAGAGGGAAGGTTGGGCATGAGGCTAGCAACCCAATCCCGTAAAAATAAACAGCACTAATACCGAAACTTTCAGCCTCTAGCTTGGAGTCCTATATTCCACTCTGAACGTAAGAGGAATAAAAAAAACAAGAATGTGAATAAGAGATGAAAAGTTCTGAATTCGCCTCAAAAATGCGAATGAAATAGAATAATTCAATCATCTTGTATGAATGCAAAAAAAAGATTCAAGTGTCATTCAGAAAGAAAATGTTTGTTTGTCTAGGTAAACTCTTTAAGGAATCAATATATCTAAGTATCCTAAAATCAAACGTCATAGTCTACTGAAACCTGGTGATGATTAGAAACTAGAATTTATTTATCTTGGATAACAAGTAACCAAATCAATAAATAGTGCTATCTAATATCATTTAGTGGGTAGTGAACACTGCATAAAGATAGATGAGTTATTTAGGGTCGTATATCGACTGCCAAACAATTTGCCTGAAGATAAACGATTAAGTCTCTTAGCCATCACTGAAACAATAGGGATCAATAAGAACAAATTTAACTAATGTGTGCGAAAATAAGTACATTTATCCTCTTGATTTACCCTAACCCTATCATGAGATCATCAGGGACGTAAGAATCTCATATGTGTTCATGTCTTATTATGCAACTCCTACCTCTTTTCACAATTATTATCATTATTATTTGTCACTCATAGGATTTACAATGAAAACTGTTTCAAAAAAACACGATAGCCGATGATTAGAAAAACACTAGAGAGAGGAGAAAAAGCACTACTGTTAATTGATCAAAACGTATGTTCAAACATGAAACATTTTGTTTTGTATTATTCAAAACTAACAGGAACTAAGATCATCCCTTCAGTTGTTATGATTAATCCCATACGGTACAGATTTAAGATATTTACCAGAGTTTGGGCATAAGAAATATACTTCGAAGTAATTCTGTTTCAGTGTCATATTATATTTGTATACCTTGCTTGTTTATTTTCAAGTCTCTCTCTAAACTAAACAACTGTAGTGGCAGAAGAAGCGTGTGGCTCAGGGTTCGATTCTCGACCGACGAACTTCTCAACCTCGCTTAACCGGGTGTTATGCCATTACTTTGATTGGGCACTAGTTAGTAACTAGTGTAATGTGTCTAGTCTTTTGTTTGTTGCGGTCTGAATTCTATCAGTCAAGTTTGCAATGTAGCCAGCATGCCACTAGGTGAATTCTTGATATTAGATGATTGAAGGCAATCAGCAGGAAGCCTTCGACCTAGGTTTCGTGCTAGCTGGCACTCACCAGTCAGCAATGCGTATCTGCAACCTTGAAGGAACTCATGTCCCTCCTAGTATCCAATACAGTCCTACAGGAGGTCAATCGAGAGCCCGAAAAGCTCAGTGATCACGTCTCTGACTGCATCACTGGGTGACGCAGGTTCGAGTCTCAGAAGGGAAATGAATTCTTTCAAGATTGCAGATACGCCTTGCTGACTAGTGAGTGCCTCCAACCATCTAATAACTTATACCAGTAATGAGGGAAGGTTGGATGTGAGGCTGGCAACCACACCCCTTGAAAATAAAAAAAACAGCACTACTACTGAAACTTCTAAGCTCTAGAGCTTCCACGGAATGCAAATGGAATTTAAAAAAAAATACAATATATCAAATTAAATGTGGCATTGTATAAAACAAAGTGTCTTTCCATATTTTTAGCCCATAAAATAATGAGATACAACAATAGAATTAAAAAAACATACCTTCATTAGATTTTGTGATGCAGCAAGTAAATTAGCTTGATTCTTGATATCATACGGTTGAACACGAGCTATATTACAGGATAAATTCACTTGAGGCATAACACGTTTTTGTAATTGTTCCAAGTCAGCAGCTAACTGTGAAATCACAGAGAGACGAACAGAGAAAGAGAGAGAGTGAAGAAAAGATGACGACCATTCATTCAATGCTGATGCCTTATAAGGTTTGAAAAGAGTTATATACATAATTATAGTCATAGTTATTACAGTATTGAGAAGACATACATACGAGATCGGTGTATATTGTTGAATAGACATGAGCAAATCCATTCTGTGTGAATTACATAGTGTTGTTAGTTTATATATACATATATGTGTGAGACTGGATAGCCTAAATCCCCTACACATTAGATTGGTGTTTTTTTTATAACTACATAAGCAGAATTCAACGAATAACATTTCAAGCATTTATAGTATGCTGCACTTCAGTGTTGTTTGTGGCAAGAATATAATTTGTGTTTGTTGTACTGACTGTTACACAATCATAAATTTGAGTTGAAGTGAGCGAGTCACTAAGTGAGTGAGTGAGTATCAATGCACAGAATTACAAGACATTATTTGCATCTCTATCTATCTACCTATCTATCTATCTATCTTAGCTTGAGGTCAACAGAAATAGAATTGCATTGCAGTAGTCATTAATATGAGATGAAATGAGAATATTAACCATAAATTAATAATTAAACCTGTTTATAACAGTGTAGATAGATTATATTCACTCACCATTTTCTTATTTTTTATATGAATAGTGATCATTATTATTATTATTATTATTGTTATTGTTATAATTATTACCACATTAAATTACACTAGATGGTGAATACACCTGTCATTTCCATAAACGTCTAGTATAAATATACAACAACTGATTGAAATGTATATGAATTGTAATCACACATATAAAAAAGATCATAACTAGTCGGAATCCTTCTCCATTGAAAATGTAACATATGGTATTATTATTACTATATTGTTATTATATAACACCACCTAAGGAGGTAGGTGTACTCTCACACACACACACACACGCACATAGAGTCACATTAATCCATCCATTATAATGTACTGTGTGTACACTATCATAACACCATAGATTTCAAGAAATTTATCTAAAGAAGTGTAACATGGAAATCATCATCATTATTGTTGGTTGGTTGGTTGGTTGTTATTTGTGTAGAAGAGAAAGGAATAAGATTTTATGTAGAGAGTAGTAAACTAATTCATTCAGTCAAGCGGGCTTATATATACACAGAGCGCTTTCACCAGATGAAATCGTTACAATTGATTATTCTAATATGATTTTTAATTTTTAAAGTGTGATATCTGAAGTCGAAGAACAAGGACAATAGGAAGAAGAACAATGATATGTGTGAATAGGTCATACATGCATGACATGTCACTATTATACTGTGTGTAGAATATCTTTAACTAGGGCATTCAATACACAAAATGGCTTTCTCTATTTTCTATGCATTACTTAACATGATTATAGTTACTCAATGTGAAGTAAAGTTGTGGCAGTGTATGAGTGTGTGTGTGTGGAGAAAGAAATAACCAGTTCACTAGATAGAAGCATATTATTTACCCACAGCCCCTACTGTGACTAGGCATACACTATGCACAGTCCACATGTGTTCATTTACAGAAACAAGTGTCTTTCAGCATATTGTTTCACTGATACATTGATTGTGAAAAGTATTCAAACAAGCAGAAGATTCAGTGATGAGTAAAGTTTTGTTTTTAACAAAACAAATAAAATAAAGGATGTGTGAGGCCCTATGTTTAGAGTATATCATTATTACCGTCAGTAAGGTTTCATTATGATACTTTGCAAACTGCTTCAACACTACGGAGTGCAATGTCCCAAACCTTTATCGAACTCATCCAACAGCTACATGATGATGCCATATTTCAAGTGATTCACCAATGGGAAACTCAGAGAAACCTTTGAAGTGAATACAGGAGTAAGACAAGACTGCTGTCTACTATCACCGACGATATTCCTAATTGTGACTGATTGGATCACGTAGCACACTGTGAAGACAAGAAGTCCCTGGAAGATTTGGACTTCGCGGGCGATTTGTTTTCATTTCCATACAAACTCGAAGATTTACAGGTGAGAACCAGCAAGTTGGCAGAAGAGTTAGGCAAAGAAGACAACACTTCACGTGAATAACAACAAGCACCAACAGCGATCACCGGGAGAAATTTGAAGGAAGTCACTTTTTCACTTATCGGAATAGGCAGCATCGTTCCAACTACAGACGGGAGGGATGACGATGTCAAAACCAGTCAGGATCGGAAAGGCGAGACAGACCTTTATCACTCTGAAATCAATGTGGAAATCTACCGTACTAAGTATAAAGAACGTGCGTCAGTGGCATAGCGGCTAGGACGCTCGCCAACCATGCACATGGTCCGGGGTTCGATGCCCAGCCGACGCACTCATTTACCTCGCTAAGCCAGAAATAATTCTGGTGAAAAGGAAAGGTTGGGCGTGAGGCAAGCAACCCCATCCTGTAAAATACACACTGCTACAGAAACTTCAATCCACTAGCTTGAAGCCCTATGTTCCACTGGGGAACGTGAAGGAAAAAAAGTATAAAGAACAAGATTCGAAGATTCTAAACATAAAGGTTAAGTCATTTCGTTTATATGATTCAGAGAATTGGCGCTCGCGTTAACGAAAGAACTTTGAATAGGCTTCAGACTATTATCAACAGCTGTCTTCGCGCCAGAATGGAGAAGGATTAGCAACAACGAACACTGCAGTGCAAACGACTGACCAAGAACCCATTACCGAATAAATAAGTCGAAGAAAATGAAGATGAGTCGGACACACACACACAAAGACTTGGGAAACCGTTGGCTGATATCGCACACTAGGCGCTACAGTGATACCCCCGAATGAGAAACGACGATTTGGCCAGGGATCTGATCTGAAACAATCATAATATTTCAGCTTAGATATTTTGTTTTCAGTTAAAAGCTGAAGTATATAACTGATACAAACACAGATCTTTGACAGTTGGAGGCAATCGGCAGCACCGTGATGGTGAGCCACCTAGAATGGTGGCCACATTGCAAATAACTGACTGATAGAATTCAGTCTGCACTAAAGAAAGGACTAGATACGTCACACTAGTTGCTAGTGTCCAATCAAAACACAGATCTTTTTTGGTGTCAAGTTCCTGGAGAAAACACAAAGTTAATAGTCAACCACAAAAAGCTCAAAGGAAAGAAAGGACAAATACCAGGAAGAAATACGTTGGGGGAGTTGACAGAGAGATAGAAAATAGACATGGTTTATACGAAATAGATTGAATTCAGAGCTCAGATATTTTATCAATACTCACGGTAATTTAATACGCTAAGAACTCCAACTATCATCAACAATTCCGTTAGCTAGAGTCATTAGTATACTACTTTTCTACGGAGGAAATCGAATAGTCATGTGTCTGCAACTTTGAATCTAGGAAGGAAATTGAATTTATTAAAGGTTGTAGACACACCATATTGGTGAGAAGAAATAAGCAGGAAACTGAAGTGCAAAGCTTCCAGATGATTAACTCCTAATGTTTAAAATTCAGTTACTTGTATGACGGATATTATGAACTAAAGTGAAAATTGAATAAGCTACCCTGAAGGGGACTATCACAAGCTGTCAGCACCATTATTCCTTCAGACAGCCAAACAAACGAATCAACTGGAACACAAAACAAGTATTAATTAGATAACATTTCAAAACCAATGATCAGTGGACAGCCGTCTCATCCTAGTTTGGGACTCTTCAACAGGAAACATGTATGGCCCCACCTTCAGTGTCACCCTCAGTACCTTCAGGTTCTAAGACAAGCTCACTAAGCATTCAGCGACTGGAATGGGATTCGATAGCCCATGGATTCTGCTGATGAAGAATCTCAAACTAGGACAACACAGTTGGCCAGTGCTCCCTGCTAGTTTTAAATGGTTATCTAACCGATGTCAGTCTGCGATCAAACCTGACACTAATCAATATCCTGCAAAATAACACCTGAAAAAAATTGGTGGTCTGTTGTAACTTTACTATACCAATATACAGTCATCTAATTTAAATTGGAAAACGAAACTTAGCCTCTAGATTTATTCAACTGAAAAAGTACACACATTCATGTTTAGTCTGACGTCTATAAGTCGTATCTTTCCACCTAATTTAGTCTTTGTCTTAACATTTTAGGAAGAGGCAAGCAACCGTATGATATTTACGCATGATATAAAAAGTGATCGATTAAAATTCACAACATGCTAAACAACACGTCTGTCAACAACATTAGATAAGTGAATCAATATAGACAGTTTTACAATATAATAAAACAATTACGTAATAAACCTTTTTTTTCAGCCTTACCTGATAAGTATCACTTTGACAAATACGTACAACTTCGCCTCCAACTGTAGCTAGTGGACCAGCATTATTGGCTGTAAGCCGAGTAGCGAATTCCAGGCCTTTAGTTAAACGTGATCGAATAATGGGTGCAGCCATTGCATGCGCTGTATTAACCAATTGTTCAGCTGCTGCTATAACTATCTGTTGATGTTCTAAGGATTGTGCATTACCGTCAGCACACTCCTATAAAGTTGAACAGACAGAAACATACAAACAAGTACATTAAAACATTATAAATCAATGGCGAAATTATCATCGCAAGTGAATCCAAATAATAAAAATTAGGCTTAAATGATACTGTGATATAATAGTAATATTATAAACTAATAGCTGTGTATTGTAAAGTGAGAGATCTTTTAGTGAAACAGATGAAATGTGATTTGCAATGCAATGGGATTCGAACTCAAAGATGACCTAGCTGACGAGACTCTTGAAAGAGGAATGTTAAACTTCCAGAGTACAAAATCCTCTGCACACTGGCTGAGAGTAGTGTTTTCCAGTTCAGCATTATCTTCCAAAAACCTGAAAGATGAGATCTCAAACATGACCAACTCCATGCATATATACCAGTTCGACTGATCCTGTACAGCTAGATATATTGGTTATTCAACGTGGATTGTGATGAAAAGGGTGCTGATAAACACTATCTTACATTCTAAGAGGAAAGAGACAACTGAACACCTTGTCAAAACTGGTCATTTTATCTCAACAATCACTTCATTTGTAGTCATTTATAAAACGAAAAAATTAGGCTGTCGAAATCACAGCTGGTTTGAGACATCTGTACTGATGGAGCTTTAGTTATCGAACTAGAGAAGCCAAGGATTTGCACACAAAAGGAACTTATTCAACATTAAAGAGAATCCTGCTGCTTTCTTCATCGGACGTAATTCTTGCGTAATATCATCCCCTTTCCTGTTTTCGTGATGATTTAGCTAGTACTTTGTTCCTTAAGCACATTGTTTTACTACGCCACTACTTTGTATTTCTTCACCTTTATTATGTCCCCATTGCATTCTGATTAACGCTCACAAATTTTAGTAACTTTCCATATATTCAGCTATTTTTTTATATATTTTGAAATATGAAACTAATAGGCATATTCGTCACCATCATTATCATATGTAAATCATCATGGGAAAAATTAATTTCAATATAAAAGATCAATTCTGAAAGTAACTCATTCAAATATCAGAGTAGAAAGAGAAATACAGTTAACTTTGTCAACACTAATAACCTTAAACTTTTATTTTGTTATTCTACTGATATTTCCATGCAAATATATTTCAATTGTTTGTTGGCGTGGTTTTGATTAAAGTTAAATGACGAACTGATATCAATTAGAGATGCAGTGATCACTGGGGTCTAGCAATTTGTGGACAAACACTCACTGATGATTTAGCAAATTGGCAGAGTTAAAATATATATAATATTATTGTTTCCTTTAATTCCTAGAGGAACATAGGGCTTCAGCCGTGCGTCTCCATTGCGTTCGGTTCTCTGCTAGAGTCTTCACCTGGCTCCAAGTCTGCCCACACGTTTTCATCTCCTCTTCACATGACCTCCTCCAAGTCACCCTCACCCTTGCACTGACGACCAACTCGCCGCTTCCCTTTCGAGTTCCACTCAGCAATGGCTTGTCTAGTGATGTCACTTGATGGTTTCCTCAGAGTATGGCCAGCCAATCCATCTCCATTTCTTCCCACCTATTTGTTTCACAATCGGTTCCTGCTGTGTTGGTTCGCTCATTGCCAGAGATCTCTGTTGCTGATCTTTTCTGGTCGGCCATCTGATCTTGAGCGAAGTATTGAGCGAAGACAACTGTTAATGAAGGTCTGTAGTTTGTTTGAGATGCTGTTTATGACGCGCAGTGCAAGTCTCTGATCCGTATAGTAAGTAGCACTGACTTCACATTGGAGTTGAAAATCCGGATCTTATTTTTGATGCTGAGTGCTGTTGACCTCCACACAGACTTGAGAGTAATGAAAGCTTGTCTTGCTTTTCCGATTCTTGAAACGATGCTTCCCAGGTAGGTAGGTAAAAGAGGTTGTTTCTTTCAGGTTCCTCCCATTTATGCTGATTGTTGTCTGTTGTTGTTGCTGCTGTTGGTGTTGGCCAGGAATCTTCATCACATCTGTTTTCTCTATGTTCACCTGAAGTCCTGTCTTATCTGGATGCTTCTTCTGCCAACTTGTTGCTTTTCACTTGCATATCTTCCAGTTTGTGGGAAATCAGATATATATCATCGGTGAAGTCCAGATCCTCCAAGTTTTTTGTGTGGGTCCATTTTATGCCTGTTTCCTCGTTGCCCAGCCCGCTGTCTATCGCATTATCCAATCTACTGCAATCAGGAAAATCATTGGCGATAGTAGGCAACCTTGTCTTATTCCCGTCTTCACTTCGAAGGATTCCGTAAGTTTCCCGTTGTGGGCTTCTTAATTCCGTTTCCGAGAACAAACTGTTCATATTCCAGCTTATTAGAGAACTTATTGTATGAGGGTATACGAAACCACCCAGTTGTGCAGTCTGAAGTAGATAGAATGGAATTTGAACTCGGGACACATTGACTTAAAGTTAAATGCTTAAGTCAATGATCCACATATCCACAATTTTTAAAGGTTAAATAAACACATTCCTCTAGAGTACATAAAATGCGAAATATCTGATGAAATCCCAATTGTTGTTATCATTTCCATATGCTTTTAAAGACATAAATCGGATCCTACAGATCATTCAACTAGCTTCAATATAAATTTCTTGAAGTTCCTACAGAGAGTGGTGGAGTATTAAGATCAGCTAAGATACCTATCAGTGACGATGGATGTACACCTGAGAAATGTAGGCTGAGAAAAGTGGGCTAATATGATCGTCACCAATGCCTAAATAATAAAACTCGATCCAAAATCTGTGACTCTTCCTTCATTTACAATACCTATGAGGTAGTATATTCTCTTAAGTCCATTTTTCTTCTGCGGAGTTTTACATTATTATTATTATTCCCCTGGGTTCCGAGTGGAACATAGGACTTCAACAACACATCTCCACTTCGTCCTATTTTCTGCCGTTCTCTTCAACTGGGTTTACGATTGACCATTATCTCTCATCTCCTCCTCCAACTCACACGATCTCTTCCATGTCACCTTCGCACTGACAACCCACTCGTCGCTTCCCATTCGGATTCCACCCGAGCAGTGGCCTGTGTTGAGCGCGATGTCATTCGACGGCCTATTAAATGTATGCCCGATCCATCTCCGTTTTCTCCTACATATTTGTTAAGCGATCGGCTGTTGGTTGGTTTGTTCCCACAGTTTCTTGTTATTAATTCTTTCTGACCAACCATTTAATCTTCATTATGGAGCCAGCGTAGCGGGCAGCTGTTGATGAAAGTCTGTAACTTGTTAGAAATCCTTTTCGTGACACGCTGGCCAAGTTTCTTACCCGTATAGAAGAACCGATTTCACATTGGTTTTGAAAATGCGAATCTTGTTCTTTATGCTGGCTTAGTAAAAGCAAAAGATTTCCAAACTGGTTTCAGGTTGATGAAGGTGAATCTCGCCTTTCCGATTCTGGCCACCTTTCACATCTTCATGAGTTCCGTCATTAGCTGAAACGATGCTTCGTAGATAAGTGAAGGCAGGAAGTAACCTCTCTCAACTTTCTCCCACTGATGGTGATTGGTGCTGGTTGTTGTTTTTGTTGCAATTCGTTGGTTATCTTCATCACCTCCATCTTCTCTATGTTCACCAGCAATCCTGTCTTCGCTGCCTACCTCTTCTGCCAGTTTGTTGGTTTTCGCCTACAATTCTTCGAGTTTATGTGACTTTAGACATACATCATCTGCGAAATCCAAATCTTCTAGAGACTTCTCATCGGTGATCCAGTGTATACCTGTTTCCTCGCTCCCAACGCACAGCCTGACGCAATTAAGAGTATCATCGTCGGTGATAGGAGGCAGCCTTGTCTTACTCCTGAATGCAATTCGAACGCCACGCTGAGTTTTGGTTGTGGATCACCTGACACATTGCATTATCATAAAGCTGTTGAATGAGGTTGATAAACACTTGAGGTACACCGTAGTGTTGAAGCAGTTTTCAAATTACTTCTCGGTCAACGCTCTCTGTCGAAGGCTTTTGCGAAGTCCATGAAGTTGAGGTAGAGGTTTTACACAGTTACCTTAAATTCTGATGTTATCAAAGAATCATAAGAGGTTCTTGAAAAGAGAAAAGGATTTATAGGAAGTGCAGTTATCTAGAATAATGAGTCTTCTCCAAGGCGAAATAGAGATTATGTGAGGAAGAAATGAAAGCTTAGAAGCAATCGTAGAGCTAGCTAGAAAAAAGACCAAGGGATATACAGTGAAATGATGATATGCTTTTAAAGCCCCCAAATGTTCCACTCAGAACCTAAGGGACAAATAACCGCAATAACAATGAGTCGTTATCAATCTGTAGCACAACATAATGAATTAACTTCCAGTGTGCTTTAGTGTAAGCAAAATTTTAAAATTTCACAACAACAAACGATAAACATAGTCCAGATTATTCAAAAGAAAACAAAAACCAACCACGACAACATTAAAAAAAACATACCTGTGCAACTAATAATAAATGATAAATTTCTTTTTCTAATAAATCAGCTCTTCCATTTATTTCATTCGCTGATATACCTAGACTGCCTTTCTGTCTCATTGCCTCGGTACGTAAATCCGCTACTAAACATTCAACAGCTGAAGCTAATGCATTCGCTTTACGTACAAGTAGTTGACCGTCTCCAACACTACCAGGAAGTTGATGTCCAACCGACAATAGATTCAATATAACTGGATCTTGATGTGCCTAAAAAGAAGACGTGAATAAAAATCATACAAGAATAGGGAAATGAAAAGCATTAAGAAAAAACACTTTATACAAAGTACATGTCCAGTCTAAAAGCTGATTACATCATACACACATGCACACAGAATACATTAATATACGCAGATACATTTACACACATCAGTTTATTATAACCTTTTAGTGCAGAAACTCATCTTTTTTTTCAGTAGTAAAAACAAAACATTTCGTTATGCCATGTTATCAACATCATTATCACCAGAAGAACAACAATAACGTGTTTTTTCTCCCTTTGTTGAAGGTATGAAGTTAAGTGTTACTTTGACAAACATAATATAATGCATAATACATAAAACATTCTCCTAAACACCTGCTGTTGTCCTCTAATACAATAGAATAGCACATGATGTAATGAGAAACGAAAATTATGAAAAAGAAAAACAAAGGAATTGTTGTACAAACTGACTTTAAATGAATAAAACTGAAATTTATGGAGCCAAAATTTAAGCAAATACTGTTGTATGATGGGATAAATTACTCCAGGAAAAGACTGTCTACACTGATGACTTATACTCGACTGACGACGATATTACCTAACCAACCTACCCTTCAACAATCAACCCCCAACGAATACTATATCATCATTCGTATAAATTCGATTTATCCTTGGCATTTTGTTGTAGAACGTAATAACAATTGGCACCGCCAAATTTGTCGTCGCCTATTTGATGTTTTTATGCCAATGAACGTCTCTCTCTATATACTACTGATAAATCTTATCAGTAGCACAAGCCACAGGGGTGGCAAGATTACAATTAATCCGGTTTAAAACTTAACCAATTACGAAATGAGCACGAGGATTTTACATTAGATAAATATTCTCCTCCCAGATAGGAAATCGAAATAAGAACTAACGTAATACTCAATACGTGGAAATAAGAGAATAATATGGACTGTATCAGTAACTAACTGACTGACTGATTGAGCGAGTTTCAACGTAGAAATTTGCATAGAAGTGAAGCATTATAAGTTGCCACACTCCACATACCACACAAAGGTAGAGATTAAAAAGAGTGAACGCGTTTACGCCAATGAGAAGGGTTTTGAGCCGTATAATCAACAATCACAAGTCATTAGTTCTTAGAATCTCAAGGAACCAAACCACGCAGTCTAAACCTCACTATGTGGCTCAAACAAACTGTCAGAGACGACATGGATTGATGACAGGTCTTGATTTGACCACTCTTAACCAGCAGTGCTTGTCGGGGAAGGCGATAGCTCAGTATGCACGACATGTACCCTAGCCACCTCCTCAATCGACGTAGCGTCATCTCATCCATTGTGTTGGCCTCCTGACGTAACATTCTACACCTAACTTCAATATTACTCAATATATTATGCCATTTAACATGGGAGATATAACACAAACATTTGTGGTTAAAGACCACTAGCTGTTACAGGTCTTCTACTTTCACTGTCAACGTTTCACAGGCATAACGAAGGACAGAGAGAACTGCTGAACAGTACACATATATATCCTTTGACAGGTAGCCGGATAACACGTCTAGGTTAGCACAACTAGGGTACATCTTGTAGTCCCACTGAACTAACCCACATAGAAAATAGTTTCTCAGTGATTTGAGCAAACATGCACAAATGTCATAGATTATCAAATATACCATATCCTGACCACTGTAGACTTTTTTCGACTTCATGTTTTAATGAAAAATGGAGCTGGTGATGTTTTAATATGCACAGTATCAGCAGTAGTTTTTTCAGTTAGTGAGACCTAATAAGAAAAACTGGTTAACTTTTTCTTAGTGCAGAAGTACATTTATATAATTTATAAATTTCTCAGGTATAACTGCTCCAAATGCTGTGGAAATGTAACACTGACGCTTGAACAACGGTGATTTTCTTAGGCCTTGAATCTTCAATTGTAACTTTGCAATCAATCTCATAAACAGACAGTTTCGAAATAGTGAAGTTTAAACGGAAAATCTCGGCCACACCAGAATCAGAACCAACATGACAATCTACAAAACAACATGACATTTGGATCAAAAAGATATTCAAACAACAAATATTGTTGAAAGTTACTCACTTGTATTGAAGTTGCCATAAGACATTCAATTAAATTATCTAAATCACTATGTACAGCATAAACACCTTGTTCTAAATCATTGACTAATTTACAATGTACATTGAATGTTTCCTTATCATTGATTAATGATGCTATCACAGGATCTGTAGATGATGTATCAATTAAACATTTTGCTGGTGATGGCACAGCATCTGCAGCTACTCCAACCTAAAAAAAACAACAACACAAGTATACATAAACATCATTTATTAGGTGAAGAGAGTGGTTACATGAAGCAACATCGACTGGATCATAAGAAAAGCAATAACAAAGGCATAAAAAGAGCAACTCTACTATAGTAAGTACTAAAATATCCAAAGTATAGATAAAGGAACCAATTATATTATATTACTATTCATTCATTCCTATCGTCCCGAGTAGATTATAGGGTTTCAGCAGCACATCTGCATTTTCCTCGGTTGTTGACCATCTTCTTCAGCTGGCTCAACGATTGCCCACAGGCTTTCATTTATTTCTCATAGAATCTTCTCAATGTCACCCTCGGACTGACAACTCCCCGCTTCCCATTTGGATTCCACTCAAGAGACTGCCTCGTGGTATCACTCAAAGATCCTCTTAGCATATGTCTAGCCCATCTCCATTTTCATATGATACATTTGTGGTTATGAAAGACGAGAATGATGCAGTGAACATCCTTGACAAGTTTAATGATGCATATTCAGCAATAAACTTTACCATAGAGAAAGAAAGTAATGACAGTATCTCATTACTAGACGTCTTCATGGTAAGGAAAGAAGATGGCACACTAAGAAGGAGTGTGTATAGGAAACTTACAACAACAGGTCAGTACACTCATTTTTTGAGTTTTGTACCTTTGAAATATAAACGTAACCTGGTAAAGTGTCTGGTTCATAGAGCTAGATTAATCTGTTCAGACGGCTGCCTCAATGAGGAGCTTAAGATTACTAGAGAATTACTTAGAAAAAATGGTTATTCAGATAAATTCATTGAGAAAAATATGAATTCAGCACCAAGGAGAGTCATTATGGATATAGTTCCAAAAAAACCAATGTTCATAAAATTGCAGTTTCTCGGTGACAACTTCAGCGAAATAATAACACAGCGCCTGAAGAATGTAGTTAAAAGAGCTTATTATGCAGCAGAGGTACGTTGTCTCTCCACAACCATCCCTATTCTACTTTCGAGAAATAAGGATAAACTACCTAAATTCGCCTTTTCTATGTGTATCTACCAGTTTGACTGCAGCTGCGGAGCCAGGTACAATGGGCGTACAATTAGGCAGGTTCATCGTCGTATTTCCGAAAATCATCCATCATGGTTGAGCAAGGGACAAACAAGATCTATTCGCAGCTCTATTGTAGCACACCTTGTTGATACTGAGCACAAGGTTGATGTTAATACTGCATTTAAAATTATTTATCGCATTCCGACTAATCTTAATTTTGCTCTACGAGTTCGTCTTCTGCAGACAGCTGAAGCAATCAGAACCCACTTGAAGAAGCCAAGACTATGTGTTCACAAGAAATTTGTTCCTTACCGTGGCCATCGTTACAAGAATGCATAAACAGGACTACGTCGCCCCCCTCCCCCTAAACCTTTAAATACTATAAAAATTATAATTGTCCAAATTATTTTATTTTTCTGACCATTTCATCTTTAATTACGTGTTATCCTTGTAAAATTAATTTATTCTAACCATTTCTACCTTTCAAATGTGTATTGACTTTCTTCGTTAATTATCAACCCATTGACATTTTGATACTGTTTAATTATTGTTAATAAACATATCGCCACTTGTTTGGTAAACTGTTGTGTATTGTAATAAAAATGCTATACGTGTATATTAGAGTAGAGCCAGAGATGAGGATCTAGTTGAAAAGTAAATATTTCTTCGCTCAGTCTTTCTGTTTTCTAAATGTCTAAATGGGGATTTTTTCTATATGCATATTTCTTGAGCAATAGGCTCTTGGCTGGTAAACAAATGAATGTTAGATATATATAACCACTTGAGTTCAGCTGTAAAACTAAAATCATCAAGCTCTACTGATAAAGATGATTTAGAAGTTGGTTTAGATGTGTACTCTCTTGATAATACTTTGTGCCAAAAGTATGGAGTCTGAGAACAGTTGAGTCAAAAATAGAATAGTAATAAGATAAGACAGGACAAACGAACTACGAGGCGAGAAAGTTAACCTCCTATTATTTTTAATTGGGTACCTACAGGTGAAAGATTCTTCACTTGGAAGGAAATGAAACCGTTGATCCTTAGTTTTCAAAACGTTTTCTATTTTGTGGTGAAGCCAAACATGAAGTGAGTCAAACGTTCGAAGACCTAACAAGTATCTAAAGAAAAATTTCACTTTTCAGTTCCACATTTTGTAATAAACTCCTCGAAAAAGGCCTAATCAGTAGTGTTGAGATTTTTCAATGTTACAGACAAATAGCTACAGTCTAGAAACTAGATTTTTTCTGTTATTTATAAGAACAGAATGTCTGCAATCCTTATATGACAGAATAGATTGACAGCTTTAGATGAAAATAACAAAATTTGGAAGCAATTCGCCGTCGAAATATAATAATTGATAGTCAGTTTTTTATTTTCATGGTAATTTCACCAAACTCCTCGAGGAACAAGCTGGATTCAGGGAAAATGAATCACATGCTGATCAAATTTCAATGCTAGGCGACATCATCATCGAACAGAGAATAGAATGGCAGCAAGTGTCTACCTTGGTTTCATCGGCTTTGAAAAGGCTGTCGACGGTGTTGAACGCGAAGTAACTTGGAAACTGCTGGAACACTATAGAGTGCTCCAAATCTTTATCAATATCATTCAACAGCTATATGACAATGACACATATCAAGTGATCCACAACGGGATATCCAGAGATGTCTCTGAAGTGAAGACTGGAGTAAGACAAGAATGCCTACATACCTATCATAGACGATATTTCTGATCATGGTGGACTGGATTTTGTGATAGACTGTGGGGAATGGGAAGACAAGAATACGTTGGACCGATAAGAAAACTCTAGAAGACCTGCACTTTTCGGGTGATTGATGTCTGCTGTCATCAGCAAAAGGAAAAAGATTCGGATTCTCAACACTAATGGTTCAAAGACTTGACGTACACCTCCCCAAAAGCATTTCCAACAGGTTGAAGACAATTATCAACAGCTGTCTTCGCTGGATACTGAAAATCAGATGGTCAGTAAGGATAAGCAGTAAGGAACTCTGACAACCAACCCACTAATAACTCATTCCCCAAAAAATACGCCGAAGGAAACGCAGATGGGTTGGACACACTAGGAGAAGACCGTTGAGCACCATAGCGCGCCAGGCCATCACGCGAGTGGAAAACGACCAGTTGGACGTAGGTTTAAGGGTGGTGTAGAGGAAACAGTGTGAAGAGGAGATGAGGGCTTATGGTCAATCGTGAAGGCAGCTAAGGAGGACCACGGAGAACATGATAAAATGGAGGTGTTCTGTTGAAGCCCTATGTGGAACCCAAGGGAATAATAATAATAATTCACCATCACTAATTTTAAAGTCTGATAAAACAGATTGGAGCAAATGAAATAATTACTGCAAACATATATATGATAGAAATGGTACATACAAATTGCATACCTCTTTAATAGTATGCATCAATTGTTGTTGAGATTCCGGCTGTTCCATAGTACATGCTACAACTTTAGCACAGGTAACTAGTTGACTTGCCGATTTACCAGCTCTTGTCGCTGCATGTACTAACCTTGACTGAGCGTTGCGTAATACTTGTGCAACAACATCATTTGATGAATCAGCTTTATTACTTCCAGCCAAGCGTTGATTCACTTCTTGATCTAAAACTAATGCACCCATTTTAGCCTTTTTCACTAATCCTGTCATTGAATTGGCAACACCCTATAAAGTAAATATGTAAGAGAAAAGAGTCGAAGACAGATATATTAAAAATTAAATTAAAATTAATTCAACACATATGTTATCACTTGAGACACAGCATTAATAACAATAATAATCGGCAAAATTTTGAATAAGACGATGTTTCAATACGATATTTTTCTTAATCCTTCGTGCTTCGATTGAAACTAGCTAGAGCTTTGAAATTCTAATAGCAGTGATGTTTTTTAAGGGGTGGGGCTGTTAGCCTAACGCCCAACCCTCCCTCCTTACCGGACTTACTACCGTTTAGGCGAAGTTAAGGAGTGTGTCGGCTGGGGATCAAACCCCAGAACACGTACGTGTTTGGCGAGTATTCTACTACTGAACCACCGATGCACCTCCATGGAACTGGTTCCATAAATATCAGTGTATGCGTAAAATGTATTGTATGTGTGAACTAGCCTACATCACATCGTTGTATAAACTGAAATCGAAAAAACATGGGCAAGGTGTGTTATACATCCCTCTTCGAGAAAAAGTACCACGAACTGGTTACTTCAACAGTAGATGAACTGCTGTGTTTTACCTATGCATTGAATCAACACTCTACTCAATTTAAATCTGCTAGATGAGTTATATGTATGCATGTGCATAATTGTTCAACGGGTAAATCGGTGTAGAATATGTTCAGTAAGGGCTATTAGGAGAATATTTGGTTAACATATAAACGCATTGAATAGTCACTAAAGAGTTACCAATGTCATTTATGTAGCCCTATTTCATTCACATTACTGGTACATGAAAATGTTTCTAGTTCATTTTTTAGCCAGTCAAAAAAGTAACTAATCAATCATGTGTATAACTGAGGTGAGGATTAGTTCTTATTAAGTTTCACTTATTAATAACCAGCAAAATGTTTAACTGTGGATGTATGGTAGAGAATATACAGTACAGAATTTCCTGTGTTTTTACCTATAAAATAGTAATCAAAAGCATATAATTAGAGGGAATTTCGTTCCAACGTATTTCTCCCTTCAAAAAAGATAAGGTTGTATGCTGAAACCCATTTAAAAATGTGCGCGTATGGAGACTGTTTTTTAAGGATGTAAATAGATGGTTAAAACAAAGTATAACTGAATAAATTGCGTTCATTATGCTCTGTGGAAAACCAGTTAGCTCAATGATTTAAGCTGGCTGGTATTAAAAATTAACCTAACAGATAAATAAGTTATTCCATTTCATTTTTATGCAGTGTGAAGCTATTTTCACAAGATAACAACAACTAAACTTAAATATCGGGATTAGCCCAAAAGTCATACATTAGAAACCATTGGTGTAGTGGTAGAAAGCTGACGAACCACGCACGTGTTCCCGGTTCGACCACCGGTCGACGCACACCTACATCTTGATTAGCTGGTAATAGGCCTGGAAAAGGAAGGCAAAGTTTCGCGTGAAGCTAGCAATCCCATCACCTCATTACAGATTCATAAAGGTATCCTCATGTGCAAGCGTCGGTGGCACAGCGGTAGAATGCTCGCCGACCATGCCTCATGTTGTCCGGGGTTCGATCCCCGGCCGACTCACTCCTTTATCTCGCTAAGCCAGTAATAAGACTGGTAAAGAGAAGGCTGGGCACGAGGCTAGCAGCAACCCCATCCCGTAAAAATAAACACCACTGCTACCGAAACTTTAAGCCTCTAGCTGGAAGCCCTATGTTCCACTGGGAATGTACAGGAATGAATCATCATGTACAAAAGAAATGATGAACAGAGGTGATAAGATGTTATCAAAACAAGAAAATAATATATGTATGCCATAAAAATGTGACCTGCAATGAATCGCAACCCCGAAGTCAACTCATATTTCAACCAAGGTCAAACACAAACAAACAAACAAACAGTACTGCACAAATCTTAAAGACTAATTGTCTTTTATCCACACTAAATTACCTTAGAAACAACACTTCAAAAGTCGCTGTCCAGGTTAACAGGTTAATCTCAGGTCATTGACGGCAAATTGTCAAAACTAATAAACTTAGATTAGTTCAGATGATAGGTTTAGGAAGAAAGCACAAACTGTTACCATACACTAGTTAAAAATAAATAATTAAAGCTTACAAATAATATTAATTGATAATGACCTCTTCAGTAGGTAGTGGTATTAGTAGTTAATATTACTAAAAGGTGAAAAACTATGACGAGGAAATTCAATCACCCCGCCCTTTAGTATTCTACTGTCAGTTTTGTTCTGTTTAACTTTTGATACAAATCACCATGTTAGCTCATTTGTGAATATACATAAATACTAAGCTAATTTAACCAAAAATAATTCTTACTGTGTATGAGCTACTAATAAGTAGTATAGATGCAATGATACGATTTACCTTCACTATAACATTTTCTTAAATAACACACACAACTACAACTACTTTCTGGAATAATACTGAACAAGTGTAAATGTTTACTTCACATAAAATAAACAAAATATATGCAGGAAAACATGGCCAGTTGAATTATTCAGTTTATCAATTGAATGATAATAATATTAATAATAATCTATATAAAATTGTACTAAGTACAGTTTATGCAATAGCCACATTAAATAATAATAGTTTTAAATCACAGCTATTAAATGAACAATATCAAAGGAGGTTGAATGCCATCAAAGCGATAAAAATGCTTAAATGCATTATGTTACATACTACTGATTAAAAGATATGAGTAGTTGAATGCCACTCATATCATCAATCAGCAGTACTTGATAGCCAGCCAGATCGAAGAGTGATCTAAACACCGGATGGCCGTTTCACTCGACCGGGGCTGAACTCACTACACTGGCAACGTACCGAGTTTGAATCAGCTCAGACAAATTGAGAACTTGATATACCTGCTTCATCAGATATTTTTTAGTAAATAATATTGTTTTTTTTCATTTAAGTAGACTTTAACTGATAAAAATTGAAAAAGGCATATGTCCACTTGGTTTATACACGCATGATGTTGTTTACCGAAGGTGTGTTTCATCAAGGTCCTGACGACTGACAGAGGTGTGGAGGCGCCCGGCAGTCAGCAACTGCCAACTTCAAGAAAGTTAATGTCTTTTTTACATTTATGGAACATAAAAAGGACTAGTTTCCTGTGACCAAAGAGTCTAAGGTGTTAGACGTCTCTCGAAAAAGCACAATATCACAGATGAATAGCTGCATGATAAATTCGAACGTAAATATTTTAGAAACAACCTTCTTAACTCGTTCACTTTAGAATGAGAAGACAGTAAGATGGGTTGTATTGTTTTCTCGCATACTAGATTTAAATTTTAATTTAACAATGTGCTTACCTTAGTTAATGTCAGCAGACGATCTCTTGCTTCCCAGTCAATTAATGAATTGACATTTGTATTAGATGGTGATTCATTATCGCTAAGGTTATCAGAACCATTTAGATTTGTTGTTGATTTTTGTTGTTGCTGTTGTTTTTGCGTCGGTGGTGCAATTAACTGCAGCAATTGTCGACTAGCATCACCAACACGACTAGCAGCTTCTAATAAAGCTGCACGATCAGGACCACTCTTTGATGAATCAAATAATGAACTTGTTGAATGTGTCAGTACAGACGACTAGAGCATTGAAAAAAAAACAACATAATCGGTTATGATAATTAAAGTTAGGCAATGAATTTCAGTATTCAAAAAGACAACATTTCACCAACAGAGACATTAAACAAACATGAATTGAATAATATCTCGATTTGTATAACTGCTGCCTGATGAAGTATGAAATAGGATTGGTAAGATCGTTACACTATAGAATGAAGAAAGCCTTATCCAGCAGATAGACTACGCAGAGAAACGTGTCGTGTGCTATTAATTAGTCAAGCTTAAAATTATATCAAGAGCCTAGTTCTTCAATCTTAACTGGATGGGAAATATGTAGGAATAGATGTTAAATCGCGATTACTATGTTCCGCCAGAGGTTAGAACCAGACCTATCCTTTCCAAGAGACTACTCAGCTTTTATCAATATTAGAAAAAGGTTTCATCAAGAAAAGATATCAGTTAAGGAACCAATGAAAATCAGGGAGTACTGGACAGTTGGGAACTCTTCACAGCAGTAGGCACTCATAAACCCACCTGCGACCGAACAAAGCACCTTCAGGTTATGAGACGATCACATTACCATTCAGTCACTGAGACGGAATCTTATGGCTAATGAACTCTAATTCCCACTAATTCGTGACAGATAGCGTGACACTAGTTAGTAACTAGTGTAATATGCCTAGTCCTTTGTTTAGTATCCAATCAGCGTATCCGATACAGTCCTACAGGACGTCAGTCGCCAGCCCAAAAAGCTCAGTAGTAACATCTCTGCTTGCAGCACTGGGTGACGCGGGTTCGAATCTCAGAAGGGAAAGGAGATCCCTCAAGGTTGCAGATACACGCCTTGCTGACTGGTGAGTGCCGACTAGCACGAAACCTAGGTCGAAGGCTTTCTGACGATTGCCTCCAACCATCAAATATCAACAAGTTCATCCATTACAATGGTTCTCTAAATAATGTCAGTCCGTGATGAAATCCAAATTGAAATCAATTAAATCCCTACATAGAGACACTTTAACATTTTCATCTTTCTAACTGATAATCTTTCTGAAAGGATCGTTACCTAATGGTAACTATAACTTCTTTTTAACTCATTTTACTGTTAAAACTTACATACGATTCTAATTTCTGTCATCGTGAACCAACATTAGTTAGAGTCTCAAACTAAAATGAAACGAGTGTCAAATACTCCATGATTTTTAATGATTTTCTAACTGATGTCAGTTGGCGATGAAATGTAACTGGAGACCGACCAATTCTTGAAAATATAGTTTCCAAATGGAAAGCGAAACCGTAAAGATGATTTGTACAGATTCGATTGACTTAATCAAAAACTCAAGTCAGCTGAACAGTCAGTGAAAATAAAGAGAACACTGCGCTAGTTAAATTCTCTATTGTTCCCCCTTAGTTTTTCCAGGGCTACTGAAGAAAGACTATACCATATTACGCAGGATGTTAAAGGTTGTCAGCAGGGTAAGCAACGTGCCACTTAACCAGCTTGTTAATATTCTGGTCGACAGACACTTGGACTCATGTGAAAAATGGGCTAAATCCATTCTGTCTAACTCACACCACCCTCTTCATTCACAACTCTCCCCTTGCATCTCATCAGGCAAAACCAGAAGCCTATATAGAAAACTATATGCTCGCACTAGCAAGTACAAAAACTCAACCATACCCTACTTAGCTCGTGTTCTGTGCGATAAAGAAAGCATTAGGCGTGATACCTATAATTTATTAAATAGTCAGTAGAACAACTGGATCTCGTCTTTCCAACTCACGTCATTTATAGGTACAACGTTTTCTTTCTTTCTTTTCCTTTTCTCTCTCTCTTTTTCTGTTATGTGCTGCTTTGTTTCTTTCTTCCTTACAAACTCTATTTAAAACATTCTTCTTCGTTCTTTCACACTCTGTATATCTCGACCTTTTTTTACCGCTTACGCCAGTAAATATGCTAGCGTCTACTTTTCTAACACCTTCAAACACTCTGTTCAATTTTGGCTTTGCTACCGACATGCCAATATGTTGTTGTCAAAACTAACTGAGATTACCCTTAATCTATGTAGAATTTTATTTATTGATAATGTACTAACTGGATGCAATACTGTAGTGAAATGCTGAGAATTCCATTCTGTATCACAAGTACTGTTTTGGAATAAAGCAAATTATTATTATTATTATTTAGTTCCAGTTTATTGTCGCCCGTAAATTACAAATATAAAAGACAGACTAGAACTACCAATCTAGATACCATGAAATAAAAAAAGCGGAGACTTACTTTATCTGAAGAATTGTCAGTCGATACAGCTGAGAATGTAGTTCGCATTAATTCAAGAAAAGCATCAGACAGTGCTTGTGCAGCTTGTTTTAAAGTAGTCTTATCACCGCCAGCAGTTTCCAGCTGATCATATAAACGTACACAATGCATTAAACCCTGGACATTCATTCCAATCGATGTCATTGAAGCATCCATATTAGCATAATCCATATCAGCATGATTATTCATATCTGTTAACATGTTGTTGTGTTTTTTTTATTTTTTTAAACATGAAAAAGAAAGTAAAAAGAAATTAAGCTTAACCTTTAAAACTTGATGAAAGGTGACGACGTAATAAAGATAAGTTGTTGGTATTGTCTGTAAAATAAACTGGGAAACACAAATTCATTAAGAAGAACATAGAAACACTATTCAAGGATAAATCCTTCACTATTCGATATCAGTTACAGAACCAACGAAAACTAAGCAGAAATAGACAGAGTTGTTCATATCAATTAAAGATCATGAAAACCAATCAAATCCCTACAAAGTGACACTTGAAAATTGATCTAATGCTCACTAGTGATTGACAACAAGATGAAGTAGCCCGGAAAAATTGTGACCAGTTGGGTCTGTCCTGTAAGGTGTGAAGTCAAAAATTGTCAATGATATTGGCTGGTGATGGCACGAATTGGAAGAAGTGAGGACTGATGGGTCATTGGATCGGGTCCCAGTGGATCAATGGTCTACGAGCTCGCATCGTACCCTGAAGTCCCTGGGTTCGAACCATGGTGGCATGATGAGTTCCTACTACTGAACAGTCACAAACTCAGACGAAACAGTTACTGAGTACTTCGTGATGTTTAATGGTCCTCTGCCTGATATCAATCTGTGATCAGACTTAAAGATCATGAAATCTAACGACTGTAGATTCAGTAGCGCGAAAACACCATTCCAATACTTTTCAGCATTGATAATTCTATAGCATATTTTGATTCCTGAAGAGATCTGCCTCCAAACGCATTTAAAGACTGAACAGCCGGAAAAAACAACCCCACAATATATCATGCAGTCTAAACATCAATCTTAGTAAGTGAGACAAGCTGATATCAGCATCTTTTACGGCAAACACTTTATATAATAAGAACTGAAATCATAATAATATCGCGAAATGGAGGGTAGAAATTAGAACTCATGGGCCATTGAGTTCCATTCAAGTTGCTGAATGGTAACGTTCTCATCTCATAACCTAACCCCCCTCCATTTGATCACCAATGTGATCATAGGTACATATTCCTGAAGAGTGCTGAACTAGGATGAAATGGCTATCCAGCATTTCCTGGTTTTCAATAGTCCACTAACTGATTGTTGACTCGTGATAAAATCCAAGCAGGAATAATCATCTTTGTTGATTCTTGCTATTGCCGACTGTCCGTAAAATATTTCAAATTAAGGGAAGTGATATGTTAAATTGGGGAAAGTTTGCCATAAGATGGATATCGCAATCTTGTAGTTGTTGGAACAGTTCAGTGTTGTCTTCCAGTGTCATTTTTTCAGACATCATTTTTATTTATTTAAAAAAATATATATACCAACAACAGATGCTGACTAGAAGACTTATACAATGGGTGGATATGTTTTTAAGCATCGAATAACAACACCGTATGTTTACACCACTATGATAAGCAAAAGAGAAATTAACAGCAACAGAAGTCAAAATAGAGAAAAGTGAAAGCATCAAATAACCGCCTAATAAAATGAACAGTGAATATCTATATATTTTTCATCAGATCGATTAATTTTTTGAGTCTCTATAATATCAGTTTTCAGAATAAATAAATATTAAAACATCATTCCAGGTTGAGTAGACCAAAATCAAGGAGCATTATTAACGAAATTGTTATTCAAAGAATTAAGCACTTAAGAAAAATTCAGACTAGTACACAGGTAATGAATATACTCATACTTATTATCTTATGAAAGTATGGTGTTTTAATGAGTTAACCTTAAATTATTAATAAGGAAGTTCAACATAAACATAAAAGCGGTGGTGAGAAAGTAAGTAGAGGTGCTTCATATATTAGACCGAAAATAAGTAAGTACGAATGTATAAACCGGACCTCAATCTTTAGAAATTATAATTGCCCAAATTATGTGAAGTCAGTGCTACTTACTATACGGATCAGAGACTTGCACTGCGCGTCATAAACAGTACATCAAACAAACTACAGACCTTCATCAACAGTTGTCTTCGCTCAATACTCAAGATCAGATGGCCAGAAAAGATCAGCAACAGAGATCTCTGGGAGCGAACCAACCAAGAACCGACTGTGAAACAAATAGTCAGGAAGAAATGGAGATGGATTGGCTGGCCATACTCTGAGGAAACCATCAAGTGACATCACTAGATAAGCTCTCGAGTCGAACCCGAAAGGGAAGCGGCGAGTTGGTCGTCAGTGCGAGGGTAACTTGGACGTCATGTGAAGAGGAGATGGAAACCTGTGGGCAGACTTGTAGCCAGGTGAAGACGTTGGGAGAGAACCGAACGCAATCGAGACGCACGGCTGAAGCCCTATGTTCCTCTAGGAATTAAAGGAATCAGTAATAATAATAATAAATTATTTTACTATTTTTCTGACTACTTCATCTTTATGCATTTATTCCCCTTGATGAATTTGAATAAAGCAAGAACAAAAGTGGTTTGTGCAGAATAATATGGTACCATCATTTATTTCGTAGGCTTCTCATCAGCTGCTTACAGCCTAGGCTGTAAATAATAAATAAAACTTATGAAATTCATCTAGTATTTTTTTATCTAGTTTTCATATGATTTTTAACTTATAGTACTGTTCAAAATACGTCAATAGGAAAGCTTTGCAAGAAAAAAACATCGAAATCTATTCACACAATGTACGTAGATGAAACGTATTACCAGTTCGCCAAAGTAGTTTGAAAAAATTCGTATGGTTTGAGCTGATTCGGCTCAAACATTTGAGTCAAATCGAGTACACCGATGATGAGATTGGGCTCGAAACGAGCGAAACGACTCTCCGGTATTTAGATCACTTCAGTACAACTATCAGTTAGTACTGGTTGATGCGTGAGGTGGTGTCCAACTGCTTATGTCAGATAATCAGTAATATATAGCCTCATGCATTTACTATGCATAAAATTTCTTTAACGTTTACAACATTTCTTGTAAATTTATTTATTATTTTTTTAAATACTTATTTCGCTCAGTACTAACTGACTACTTGTAATCCAAAAATAACTCATATTAATTTAGATCGCATACAAACAATCGACGAGGCTGTGAAGTTACGTCGATTGAGATGGTAAGGACATGTGTTACGTATGCCTAGTCATCGCCTTCCTTGACAACGGGCAATGTTAGCCAACATAGGGTCAGGCTGTAAGAGAGCTAGCGGCGGTCAAACAAAACATGGCATCAGTCAATGAAATCTACAACAGTTAGTTTAAGCCACGTAGGAAGGTGTAAACTTCCTGACTGGTTGGGGTCCTCGGAACAGTGAAAAACCAATGGCTGGAAACAATTGGTGACATGGCTCAAAACCGTTCTCAATGGCTGACGCAGATGCATCCACTCCTTGTGACTTCCAATGATTTCCAATGAAACTGTTTTGTTCTCTGTTATTACTATTCCTTTGTCTCACACCTCTGTTTACTGTTTCTATTATGCATTTCTTCTACTTTCTTCTCTTGCTTTGTGTGCTACATGGAGTGTGGCGACTTGAACTGCTGCACATCGGTGCAAAGTTCTATGTTGAAAACAGACAGACAGATAGCACACAAAAACACATGAAACATTAAGTGTATTAGATAAGGTTTAATGAGAAGGAAAAGAAAATACGACAAGAAAGTGATGTCGACTTCCAAAACACACAGACACATACTACTACTACTACTAATATTACTACTTATAACACTCAACAAACAGCATTAATGATGGAATTATCTTTACACGCTGTAGAGGATGAAGAGAAGAAGAAGAAGGAGAAAAGGGGAAACGAGTAATATCCGTTAATGGATTACAATGTAGTTATTATGTATGCCAAGTGTACAATAAACACTTCTTCAGTCAGTAATAAAACACTCTTAACAAGAAACAATAATAAAACATTAATAAGGAAGGCATTTGCATATTTAATTCATATTTAAAGACGAAAATAGTACAAGTCACATGAAACAAAATATTATTTTCCTAAAAAAACAACAATAAAAAAGGGGAACACATTTAATGTATAAATTAAGCAGCTTTAGAAATGAATCTCTCTTTGCAAAGTGATAACAGTCGTAGATAAAATAAAAAACAGTAGATAGAAGGATGGACATACGTGAGAAGATCTCTGAAATGTTCTGATAAAGTGTATACGATACACACCTCTGTTATTAAACCAAATAAGTTTGAAATCTAATAAACAACTGAGGGAGTAAATCCCCGTGATAATGATTAAAACTTTGAACGCCTGCTACTACACCACTTGGTACTAACTACAAGATAGAAAAGCACAGTTCAGACAGATAGAAAAAGGTGTTTCGAAGACTGACTTGTATACAACTTCTAAATAATACAATATCAAACTATGTGTATGTATTATGTAATAATAATTGTTATGCAGGGACAAAAAACTCTCTTTTCTCTTAATATCATCGTTAACTTCGAAGCATATCTTTGTCGTTCACATTAATTGTATTATTATTACCATTATTCCCTTGGGTACCGAGTGAAACACAGGACTTCAGAAGCACACCTCCATTTCGTTCTGCTTCCTGTTATCATTTTCATCTGCTTCTACGACTGCCTACCAGCTTTCACTTGGTCTTCGCATGATCTGCTCCATGTCATCCTCGAGTGACTAACACGTCATTTCGCAATCGGATTCAACTTGATGGCCTGCAGCATGATGTCACTCAACGGTCTACTCCATTTCCTTCTGCAAAACTGACAGGCGGTATTTTGTCGGCTGGTTTGCTGCCCACCAGATCTCCTTGTTGCTTATTCTTTCGGGCCTATCATTTGATCTACAGCATCGAGTCAGGGAAGGCAAGTGTTGATGAAAGTCTGCAGCCTGTTGGAAATGGTTTTCGTGACCCGAGGGACAAGTCTCTGAACCATATCGAAGCATTGATTGGCTTGACATTAGTGTTGAAAATTTAGATCTTGTCCCTTATAGTGTGTGCAGTGGATTTTCATACTTATTTCGGAACAATAAACGCGCCTTGCTTTTCC